ACAAAAGCGAAAATGTTAATAAAAAAGATTTTATTTATCCAGAAATAGAGTCAAGAGAGTGTTTCTTGGACTTTTTACTATGAACCACATCAGGAATGTCTCGCTTAATACTCCAACAGTAATCTACTAACGTATGAATATCCCATCGACCCTGATATCTTTTTTCCATCTCTTTAATATCCTGATGAAACTTTTCCCCTTGTTCCTCGCTTACACTTCCTAAGCTACATTTGGGGAAGTAGTCAAGACGGCTTTTCAAAAAATGTATCTGTAGATTCATATTGCATCTTAATTTCATAAACTTTTCAAGCATGTTACTCACCAATTCTTCGTAGTTAGAATCTTTTTTGTTTCCCAAAAAACCTAGAATCACTTTCTTCAATGAAACCCAAGCTTCTCTTTCTAAACAAGTCATTGTTTTTCAAATTTCTCGTCTTTAGTAAGTAATCTAATTTGAGGCCCTATAAAAATGCCTTCCTTAATCTTTGCATCACTGAGATGAGGAAACTTTGTACAGAGGTATTTAAAACAATTTCCTTCCTTATGCAGAGCCTTCACGAATTGCTTCATTAGACTCAATTTTATGTGCAACGGAGGTAACAAAATTTTATTAGGATCAACTAACGTTTCATTTATTACATTTTTCATGCCAGGTTCCAAGCTTTTTCTTACTTTCTATTTTTTTCTGTCCAATGAAGTTCTCTGGCTCTACTGTCCCATTCGCAAAGAAAACATGAGAATTTGGTAAAACCTTGCTGTTGTCCTAGAAGCATACATAAAATTTTCAAATCACCGCAAATTAACAAATTGTGTTGTTCATAGTTAATATATCCCAACCATGTTTTTAAGTTTTCATATATTTCTTTTAAATGAACTGAGTGTCCAATAGGTACTGATGCATATATTCCACTACTGTGAAGGAGAACAGCTTTTAGGCTTCGTCTTGAGGAATCAATGAAAAGTTTCCATTCATTAGCATTATAAGACTTTAATCTCAAAAAATGTATCAAGTCAGATACATTATTGCAGAAAACTAGTCAATCTACCATAGAAAAAAAGGAATAAATTTTTTTTTCACGATGTCTGTACCAAGAAAACGTTGTTTCTGATTCTAACAAATGCTTTTCTTTCAATCTGGATCCTAGTAACTTTGCACTTTCTTTAGATAGACTTAAATCTCTTACAAGATCATTTAAAGCAGACTGATTGAAAGGCTTTGGACTATTGTCATCAACCGGATCGATTTCATAAGTTTCAAAATACGTTGTTCTCATCAACAGGATTGTCGTTGTCTAAAGGTGGTAAAGAAGAGTTCATTGGTGGAAAAGAAATAGAAATATCAGGTCCATGAAAAACAGGTCTTGTAGCGCATGAAAGTGTATAAGAGATTTTTTTTTTATTGCGAGCATTATAGCCCGTGATTTGTTATGAGCAAAAGTAACAGCTAGTTATATGATCAGTTGGTTCACGCCAAATCATTGGAATACCAAATCGCATGTCACTTCTTTTTCCTTTCAACCAATATCTCAATCTTTGATAGCAAGTTGTACAAATTGTATGAGGAACCCATGGTTTATCAAGGTTTTTTATTTCAATATTAAAATATTGAAAATAATATGTTTTGATATTTTGAATTATAGGAACTTTTTGCTTTTGCGGAACGTATTCAACACAGATGTAGCAAAATTTATCAGGATCGTTCTTACACTTTCGCGAAGCCATTTCATTAAAAAAAAATGTATGTATTAATCCTTTATATCTTGACAGTACTCGAAATACCGCTTTAATCAAATGCTTATATCTTCGTAATATGACCAGTTTCCCTGACGGTACTCACAAGGACACGAAGATTGTAGTTCCGACAGCAGGCAGTAGATGGCAGCTGAAGGTGAAAATTGTTTTTCTTTGTGCTGTGCGCATTTTTTCTTTTCCGTGCAGCATATGGAAGTTATTTTGCAGTAGGGTTGATGCGCGTGTTGATTATATTATAGTGAAATTAGTGGTTTATTATCAGTTTATCGGTGCTATAATTTTTTATTCTTTTCAGTATTGTACAGATATGCATTCCTTACATTTTATTTGAACTTTCTTTTCCCTTCATATTGCATATATTTCTGTCGGTCTTCTAAGTACCAGCTGCATAATTAATCATTAAAACACTGTAAAAAGCATTTTCCTCTTTCCTAGGGTTATTCTGCATCAAAACTTGTCTAATGATGCAAAAATACAATTAAGAAATTGCTGGTTAATAAATTCAGGATATAAAGGGTTAAAGAGAACAAATAAAATATGTAAATATTCTACACACTTTAAATTGATATGTTACAATAAGGAGGAACAGGATATATGAAGTTATTATTGCAGCATAGTGTTAAAAACGTAATACTGCATTAATTTCACGTCAGTTCTGTGAAGTTCCTACTTTTATCAATGAAATAGCATTAATTACGCAAGTAATTCAGAATAATCAAGAGCCAATTGTCATAATTTATAATATTATAAAAATAACTTCCAAAGAATCTTATCTTTTTATTTTCATCTTTTTCTTACTGTGTACAATAAAGTATTATATTTTCTTTCATTTTATTAGTTTTAATTTTTTTAATTTTTAAGTTATAATTATCTCGAAAACCTGACATGATAGAGAAATTCTAAGACCGGATTCGTATTCAGCGGACAAAATTACGTAGGAAATGACCATTGAAATTCAAAACGCAAAATCATGCAGACCTGTGTAATCGGAAGGGGCAAGATCCGGTGAATATGGAGGATGAGGCAAACATCCCAGCCAAGCTGAAACAATTTGTTCCAAGTAGTTAATGACGTATGAGATCTGACGTTGTCGTGGTGGAAGACGACACCCTTGCGATTTGCCAATTCTGGACGTTTTATGCGGATTGCTTGGTTCAATTTCGTCAATTGCGAACAATATACAGTTGAATTAATCGTTTTGCCTGACGGTAATAGTTCGTAATTGATGACACCCTTGAAATCCCTAACTCTTCATTTTTATATGAACTGTGCACTATGTTCCGAGCTCTGATTTAATTAAAGGCGTTCTTCTTGCTAGTAAATACTTTGCAATTATTTTAACGCTCTTCATGTTCTCTGATTGCTAGCTATTTGATAACTCGCAATGATATAGCAAGACAAGTCAGCAAAAGAATAAGCATATGAGAACATTAAATTATATATTCTTGACACAAAAATTACGCAATTATTTATTGCAAATTTGTCATCACATATTTGCCAGCATACTTGCTCGCAACTTGTCCACGTATTGAGGAATCACCTTGTTCCATTTTTTACTCAATTAAATTGATTTATTTGACAGCAAGTTGCCAGCAAGTTTGCAGACATTTTGTTATCTGGGTTAGAAGTGCTACATTTTATATCGATAAAAGAACGGATCGAATACAATACTTGTGTACTTATAAATAAAACGGTAAATGGGTTATGTCCCACGTATATGCAAAATAGTATAAAATTGGTGGAATATGGAGAGGGTATAAGCACACGGCAAAAAGGAAATATTTATATTAATAGATATAGAACTACGGGAGAACAGAAAATGTTATGGCATAACGGGCTGAAAATGTACAATATGTTACCGAACGAAGTAAAAAGAGAAGATAGATTGCCATACTTCAGAAGAATGCTAGCGAAACATATTCAGAAAAAAGAGAGGGAACAAACAAATGGGTAATAGAAATGTGACTAGTAGGCTATTTTTCAGAGTATTAATTCAAACATTTATTATTATATTTAATATAGTAATGTATAAGTAAACGTTATGTAGCTATTGAAGCTAATAAATGGCTATCATCTCTCTCTTTCTCTCCCGCTCCCTCTCCATATTCCGTGTTTTACAATTACAATATGTCGTAATTATACAATTACAATATGTTTTATTTATTTTTCAAGCATGAAGCAGAACTGTAATTATATTCTATTTCATGCATTTACTTGTTACTTATTGCTGCTTTATAGTATATCTGCATGTCATTGTTTTTTATAGTATATGCGACTTAAATGTATACGTATGCATGAAACAAAACACCTAGTATGATACATAATACAGGGTGTATAATTTAAATAAAGATTTATATATAGAATCATTTACATCTAAAATATCAAATTTTGATATTTTATGCGCTACAATGGAAAAAATAAATTACATTAAAATTTAAGTAGAGAATTATATATTTCTTTATTTCTTCAATTCATATACTTTTTAATATAAGAATATTAAAAAAAAAATTTGTTGTGTGTAAGTCGCATAAATATGTATACAACCTTCATGTCAATTTTAGTACAAAAAGTTAATGTGCGTGTGTGTAAATGTAAGAAAACACATAAAAACATTATTTTTAATTGTCAATAATCTATGATACATGCATATATACACATGTAAAAATGATAAATAATTTCGTGCTAATATACAGGGTGTCCCATTGTAAATAGTCGGTCCGAATATCTCGAAAACTGAGCCCGATAGATAAAAATATTTCAGACAAAAGTTGTATGGTTACAAAGGGGATATAAAACAACTGTATCGGTTTGTTTACAGATGGCGCCACTTTCGAGATATTCACTGATCCTTATTTTTCTTAAATGGAATACCGAATTTTTTATTATATCATCTTTTTCTACTAATTAATTTAAACAATTTTTGATGATATTTTGATGATTTTGAAATTTCCAAAAGTCAATAAGTTGACAAAAGTTAGGGTACTATTGTAACAATTTATTCTTGAAACCAAATAAAGTAAAAGTTTAGTATTATTTTTTTCCGACCAATAGCAAGATATTGTAAGTTAAATATTGAAAGTTGCCAAGTTTTCTTTAAATATCTCAAAAAATATTAAGCAAATAAAAAAATGTATTAGACAAAAGTTGTTAAAATTAATTGGTAGAAGAAGATGATGTAATAAAAAATTCAGGTTTCCATTTAAGAAAAATAATGATCATTGAATATCTCGAAAGTAGCGCCATTTGTAAATAAACCCATATAGTTTTATTTCCCTCTTAAAACCATACAACGTTTGTCTGAAACATTTTCGTCTACTGTGCTCAGTTTTCGAGATATTTGGACCGACTATTTACAATGGGACACCTGTATGTATGTGTTTTTGTGTACAAATATTAATAAGCAAAGGAAAGAGGGCAAATATATAAGTATATAGGAAAAGTATTTAGGTTGCTATATAACAATTTATTTTTATTCTTACAATTCTTGGACCAAATCGCATTTTTTGTTATATTTTTTTTTAATTCCTGCTAGTGTAGTCGTGTACTAACCTACAGTATTACTGTAATCAATGTTTCTACGTCCGCTGTTGCGACATATTTTTTAAATGGAACCTGTAGCATTTTCACAGATCAACGCTACCGCCGGCAGAAGCGACCGCTGACGCAGCAGAAACGCTGTCTTTTCGTCCATGACGTCCCATCGATACATTGCTGCTTGCCTCAGCACTGGCTTCTGAAATAGCGCCTGCCCTCTTGATACCGTGATATCCTTTATTAATTGTGACAGCTTTAGCTTCAGCCTTGGCTTCTCCCTTCATATTGAAATGCATCCACATATCATGTCTCAATTTCTGTTCCCAATCTTTTGCTTGAGCAGCGGTCTGAGCATCTGCAATAGCAACAGCTTCAGCTGCGACGGTATTGGTTTCTGCTTGTGCCGATGCTGCAGACTCAGATGCGGACGCCCTTGATTGAATTTGACTGGCAGCCTGAGCTTGAGATGTACATACGACCTGGTCAGCGGTCGCACGAGCTACCGCGGCTTTAGCTTCAGATAGAATAACTAAGGATTTAGCGCTAGCCTGGGTGACCTCGGCTTGTGCTTTCGCAGCTTCTTGTGCGGCTTTTTGTGCTTTTATTGCAGATTCTTTAGCTTGAGTGGTTGCAGCCTCAAGCATGGCAGCGGCTTCTGCCATCTCGGCATTTGCCTTGTTAGCGATTATGGACGCGGCATTAGCTTTAGCCTCAGTGGTGGCGGCATTACTGGTAGCTAAAAGTGCTTCCTGAGAAGATATTTTAGCGGCATCAGCAGCCGCAGCAGCGCGGGCGGCGGAAGCCATTGCGGCCTCGACTGCCTTAGCAGCCTGCGTAAGATGAATCGCAGCTATGTATCCGGTTTTATCAGCGATCTCCATTGCCGCTATTGCTTGTGTGGCAGTAGCATCAGCGTTAGCATTAGCATTAGCACTTGTAGCGGCCTGCGTCTCAGACCATACCTCAGCACTATTCGCAATTACGCCTAAACCGAGATCAAGGAGCGACCGCTGTTCTGTGAGAGTTGATTCGTCAGACATCGCCGATTGGATGACTGCTGCACCTTTTGCAACGTCCAATCCACCATTTTTTATGCCAACCTTCAGTGCAGGTACGTTGAGCGATGTTTCCACAAGTCCATCCTTCCCCTCCTTCCACAAGTTCTTTTCCTTCCTCTCTTTCAACGGGTAATGTTTATCATGCAGCCAAACGATATTGCCAGCTGATGCCGAAGCTGATGCTTCCGCAGACGCTGCTGAATTAGACTCAATAACTCGACCACTAGCGAATCCCCAAACGAGGAGAGACGTCACAAGAATCGCTGGAATCTTCATCTTCGACGCAACTTCGTAGATTGATGCCAGGTAGTGAGTGTACACCGATTATATACTACGCTGGGCAATTGTGATAACACGAATGTCTGTTTTTACGGCAGTCATACGAGGCCACATAACACTTTTTAAAATATTGTCTTAACAGCTTGAAGTGCGAAATCCACAGATTCAGGCTGTAGTTTGTTTAGGTGTTTCTGTTGTTTATTAGAAAATATTTGTTCTATATCTAATAAGTAAACTTATCTTTTTGTTACTTGCCGATTTTATTAAAACTCAGTATACTAATAAATAGTCAAAAATAATAGAATATGTCTTCTTATATTTGCAATGTATGTTCTACAATTTTTTAAGTGAAAACCTTTCGTATTTATTTTATATTAGCATGAGTTGCAATTGACTCGTTGCATTTAAACTGACGGTGTTAGAACTATTTTTGATGTTTAAAGATGGTAAGAAGTTTTCATACTGTTGAAAGCAAATTTAATTTAAAAATTATAGAATTAAAAATGGCGTATCTAATATGACAATTCCATAAATCTTAACTCGCTCCTTGCTGAACTCAGAAATAACCGATGAGGAAACGGCAAAAATTTATCTATTTCGTTTTTCCGTGTTTCTTGTTTTTTACTAATATTTTATACATTTTTACATTTTTTATTGATCTTAATTTCATTTTGCAATTATATTACTTCTCACGTCGCGTTTATGTTTATTTTTCTCTTATATTCTTTGCAGTAAGAATATTAATTCTTTTCAGTCGGAACTCGGGATATTCTCAGCAAACTGCAAAATAATTCTTTTATAGACAAAATATTTGCATACCGGGCATATTTTATGATTACTGTATTATTGCATAATGCATATATAAATTTCAAAATTTTATAAATAATAACCTATTCAATTATCAAACTCGAGTGGTTTCTTTTGTAAATATTGCATACTGTATTATTGCATAATGCATATATAAATTTCAAAATTTTATAAATAATAACCTATTCAATTATCAAACTCGAGTGGTTTCTTTTGTAAATATCCACTTTACTTCACGAATACTTAATATGAATACTTAAACAGATTTATAATATAAGTCGAGAAGAAGATAACTAGATAAAAAAAGTTGTTTTCTAATATTATCTTCGCAAAAAATATAAAACACGAAAAAATAAACATAAGCGAGATGCGAGAAGTGACGTACTTGCAAAACGAAATTAAAAAGATTAATAAAAAATATAAAAACATAAAAAAAGTATTAGGTGCGCATCTAAGTTCTCGCTGTTTTTTTGATGAAAATGCAACTTTATTGTGAAAAAATGGTTACAAATGAATCATTCAAAATATTGCCCATCGCTAGCGACAACTTTTTCCCATCTTTCTGGCAGAGTTCGAATACCGTCACGGTAGAAGTATTCGTCTTTTGAGGCTATCCACGAATCAAGCCATTTTGAGATGTCTTCATATGAGTGGAACTGCTGATTAGCCAGACCATGTGCCATCGAACGGAACAAGTAATAATCGGACGGCGCAATATCTGGGGAATATGGCGAGTGGGGTAGGACTTACCATTTGAGCGGTTCTAAGTAGGTTTTAACGGGTTTGGCAACGTGAGGTCGAGCGTTGTCATGCTGTAGAATCACTTTTTCGTGCCTCTGCTCGTATTGTGGCCGCTTTTCGCGCAGTGCTCGGCTCAATCGCATCAATTGAGTTCGATACCGTTCCCCAGTGATGGTTTCGTTCGGTTTCAACAGCTCATAATAAATAACACCGCCCTGGTCCCACCAAATACACAGCAAAACCTTCGCAGCGTGAATATTCGGCCGAGCCGACGATGTAGAAGCATGACCGGGCAGTCCCTATGATTTTGTTCTCTTTGGGTTGCTGTAATGAATCCATTTTTCATCACCCGTAACGATGCGATGAAGAAAACCCTTCCTTTCTTGCCGCTGGAGCAGTTGTTCACAGGCGAAAAAACGACGCTCAACGTCTCTTGGCTTCAAATCATAAGGAACCCAAGTTCCTTGTTTTTGAATCATTCCCAACGCATGCAATCGCTTGGAAATGGCTTGGCGGGTAACTCCTAATACTGAAGCAAGCTCTTTTTGCGTTTGGCACGGATCCTCATCGAGCAATGCCTCCAATTCAGCGTCTTCGAAGATTTTTGGCCTTCCTTCACGCGAACGGTCGTCAACATCGAAATCACCGTCTTTGAAGCGACGGAACCAATCACGGCACGTTGTTTCACTTAGAGCAGTATCTCCGTAAACTTTTTGGAGTTCTCGATGCGCTTCAGCCGCCGTTTTCTTCGAATGAAAGAAGAAAAGCAACACTTCCCGCAAATGACGATTATTTGGCACAAAATCAGACATTTTCACACAACCAAAAGTATATGACGCAAAAACAAAATCACTAATGTGTCAAAGCGGTTTGTTTACCATATGTCTAAGCTTGGTTCATGACGTTTTGGTTATCTCACAATCGACCAGCACTTACTACTGGAGCCATCTCTTGAAAAACAGCGGGAACTTAGTTGCGCACCTAATAATAAAAAACAAGAAACAAAAAAATTAAATGAGAATAGGAGGTGCTGTTCAGCCAGGTCATGAATCATCGATCGAAACAAGTGGTAATCGGAAGCAGCAATGTCTGGTGAATACGGCGGGTGAGGTAGGACTTCCCATTTAAGCGTTTCCAAGTAGGTTTTGACCGGTTTTGCAACATGTGGCCGAATATTGTCATGCTGCAAAATTACTTTGTCGTGTCTCTCCTCATATTGCGGCCGTTTTTCCTTCAATGCTCGGCTCAAACGCATCAATTGTAGTCGATAGCGATCTCCCGTGATGGTTTCGTTGAGTTTGAGGAGCTCATAATATATTACACCCAGCTGATCCCTCCAAATACAGAGCATGAGCTTGGAACCATGGATATTCGACTTTGCCATCGATGTTGATGCATGGCCGGGCTTACCCCACGATTTTCTACGCTTCGAGTTATCGTTGTGTATCTACTTTTCATCGCCAGTCACGATACAATGCAAAATACTTTTCCTTTTCTGCCGTTGGAGCAGCTGCTCACATATGAAAAAATGTCGTTCGACGTCTCTCGGCTTCAATTCGTACGGCACTCAATTTCTTTGCTTTTGAATCATTCCTAATGCTTTTAAACGTTTGGCAACTGTTGTGTGATCAACCTAATGATTCTGCAAGTTCATTTTGCGTCTGACATGGGTCTTCATTCTTCGAGTAATGCTTCCAATTCTTCGTCTTCAAACTTTTTCGGTGCGCCAAAGCATTCTTTATCTTCAACATCATTATTTTTAAAGCGTCTAAACCCATCTCTGTATGTTGTTTCCGACAGAGCATGGTCGCCGTAAGTCTCCACAAGAATTCTATGTGATCCAGCTGCAGATTTTTTTTGAAAAAAGTAATGCAGTAAAATTCCCCGCAAATACTCTTCTTTGGCACGAAATTCGACATGTTTAACGCTATGAAAAAATATGTTTACGCTTCGGCGGAATAACATATACTGTCACTTCGAGCCTAATGGTAGAGCTTCACGATGAAGTTGGCTGTAGTATTGCCCGATGCAAAAAGGTTAAGATAACACCATCTATCGGGAAACAGCGAGAACTTATTCAAGTCCCCAATAACTCCTAACCCTCTCGCTGCGTGTGTGTGTGCGTGCGTGCGTGCGTGCGTGCGTGCGTGCGTGCGTGCGTGCGTGCGTGCGTGCGTGCGTGCGTGCGTGCGTGCGTGCGTGCGTGCGTGCGTGCGTGCGTGCGTGCGTGCGTGCGTGCAATTTGATGATTTTTGAATTTCCAAAAGTCAGTAAGTTAACAAAAGTCAGGGCGCTGTTGTAACAATATATTCTTGAAACTAAATAAAGTAAGAAAGTCTAGTATCACGCTTTCTTACGACAAATAGTTAGTGAGATATCGTGAGTTAAATATTGAAAAAGTTATCAAGTTTTCTTCAAATATCTCAAAATATATTAGACAAATAAAAAAATTGTTTTAGACAAAAGTTGTTTAAATTAACTAGTAGAAAAAAACAGTGTAATAAAAAATAAGGATGCCCACTTAAAAAACGCAAGTTGATCTTTAAATGACCTTGAAAATGGAGGTCAAAGTCAAAGTCAACATCACCATAAGGTAGCTCACCTAAATCCCTACAGTTTTTATTTAGATCATTTTCCTTGAAACTTCAATACTGAAGAGTTATTTGGAGTGGGACATTAAAATGAGACACCCTGTATATACAGGTATCGAAACCCGGAGAATAATTTATTGTACGAAAAGCTCTCTCATTGAGAGATTATTTAGCTATATATTATATGATATATATATATGTAAAGTATTTTTAGATAATCAATAAATGACGAACAATGTTGGTATAAATGGTAATGTTTTATTTATCCAAATATATATTTGCTGAATAGAACATCTTTAATTAAACAGCGAACAAAACATTTTATGTAACTCTTTCATCTTCTCTCTTTAATAAAATGATATTTCCTAATTGTAATCATGTAATAATTTTTAAGAAAACATAACCTCTTATTAATCCTTAGCTCTTCGTTGGCTTCGGTACAGAGACATCGCTCATTTGAGTAACTCCGGTGGCTCCGCTGCGAAGCCAAATGTTTTTAACATGATTACGCTTAAGATGCTATGTCATCATCGGCGTTGGCAATTGTGTAGTTAAAACGTACTAAGTTTGTAATATTGAGGTTAAATTATTTTACGACCTTTTTTATGGTTAAAAACATGGAGACGAATGAATGTTATGATGAAAATTTAGAGCTGAGTGATAGTGAAGACGTATTTGATTTTCAAATACTATTATTATTATTATTATTATTATTTTATTAGTGTTTTCAAGTATTATTTTCAAGAAAAGGATGGCAGACGTCAAACTAATGAATACTGTGACACTTGCCCAAGTGAACCCAAAATGCCCTTGGGAGATTGTTTCCAAAGATATCACACGATGGTGAATTATAAAATTTAAAATTTATGTTTCATTTGCAAGAGGAATATGCATATTTATAAAATAAATAAAATCAAAAACATTCACAAACACGTGTAATTCCTTCCACACAAAATAAGACTTCTTCTCCTCAGACGCTCCGCTGCAAAATGTGCCGGAGTTGCTGGTAGGCAGTGGTACAAAAACACGCAGAGCGCTAAGGGTTAATAACTTATAAAAATCTGATTAATGGACTAAAACAATATTTCTTAATAACTTAATAAACAAAGAAAATCATTGATGAAATGAAACATTAATTTTTATGATATTTCTTCTTTCTTATTTAGTCCATATTTTATAATTTTTAATTGGATCTCATGTATTTTTAGTTACTAGGTGCGCAACTAAGTTTCCGGATTTTTTTGATCAATGAAAAATGGAAAATTTCAAGAGAAATACAAAAAATCGTTTATTCAAAGTATCGTCCCTCGCTAGCTACACATTTTTGCCATCTCTCTGACAATACATGAATACCGCGACGATAAAACGACGCGTCTTTGGACTGAAACTATTCATCCAACTAATTTTGCACTTCTTCGAAATTGGCCAAGTGTTGCCCAGCCAAGCCATGCGCCATCGACCGGAACAAATGATAATCGGAAAGGGCCAGGTCTGGCGAATACGGCGGGTGCGGTAGCAGATCCCATTTCAGCGTTTTGATGGTGTCCTGGACGATGGAAGTGCGATGGCACGGAGCGTTGTCGTGCTGCAATATCACTCGTTCGTGTCTCGTATCCCATTCTGGCCGTTTTTCGAGCAATACATGGTTCAAATTGATCAGTTGTTGTCGGTAGCGATGCCCATTGACAGTTTCGCCCGGTTTCAGCAGCTCATAAAGGGTTTTTCAGTAAGGGCAGGTCGATGTTGCAATGGAATAAAACAAGCTGTGTGTGAGGTATTAACGAAATTCTTTTTTTATTTGAAAGGCCCATGTATGCCATTATGTGTGGAATATAACATCGTTCAAATGTCCGCCGCAGCTTCTCACGGTGGCACAGATCCGAGTGGTCCAATTTTCAATGATTCTGCCGCATAGATCCGGTTGAATTTGAGCGATGGCCTGGGTTATGTTGACTTTAAGGGCATCGGTCGATTGTGGCTTATTGGCATAGACTTGCGACTTCAGAAAACCCCACAAGAAAAAGTCTAGCGGGATCAAATCGCACGATCTTGATGGCCAATTCACGTCACCTGTGCGAGAGATAACCATACCCTCAAATCGTTCATGCAGAATGTCCATCGTGGCGTCCACTGTGTGGCACGTAGCGCCGTCCTGCTGGAACCACATGTCGTCCACGTCCATATCGTTCAATTTGGGCCAAAAGAAATTGGTTATTATCGTTCTATAGCGCTCGCCATTGACGGTGATGGTCTCACCAACGTCGTTTTCGAAAAAGTACGGACCAATGACGCCACCGGCCCAAAATCCGCACCAAACAGTAATTTTTTATGGATGCATTGCTACCTGTTGGACCTCGTGTGGGTTGGCGTCGTGCCATATACGGCAATTATGCTTGTTAACATAGCCATTCATCCAAAATTGCGCCTCGTCGCTAAAGATGATTTTTCGGCCAAAATTGTGGTCCTCTTCCAAATGCTCCGAAGCCCAGTCAGCGAACAAACGGCGTTGTCTATGGTCATTAACTTTGAGCTCCTGGGCCAGTTGGATCTTGTACGGGTGCAGGCCCAAGTCCTGACGCAAAATTCACCAAGTTGAACAGGCATTGCTAATGTAATATAAGATGGTACTCCTTAATAATAATACTGCACCTTATATCCTATGTTTTGATTGAAGGACCTAATGGAAATATTACGTAAACAGTCGATTCGAGAATAAGTACAGCCTTAAGTCTATCTTCGCCAAGTCAACCTCAAATCAAATAAGTCTTACTTGAGCAACATATTTTTCGCGAAGATCGCCTTATGTCAAGACTATGAAACATACTGATCTTGAGACGGTCTTGATTGAATAAGACCGACTTAACCAAGATCGTCTTAAATGCTGACTTGAGACTCAACTATGAATACGACCCTGAGGAGTTTTATTCTTTTTGTTCTTTTTTATATGGTGTATGTTGAGAGTGGGAAACAATATGGCGTATGTGATGGCGTATGTGATGGCAATTGTAAAGCAATAAAAAGAGAAAATTTTTTGGTTCACGTTGGTTCATCCTTTATAATCACTCAATTGGAAAGAATAGCGTCCACATACGCACACGGCACGAGCCGTAAGTACGCTCACAAGACGGCGAGCAGTTACACTACTAACAAACCGATCATAGCTCTGCCTGCCTATCCGCTTTGAACCACTTCTCATCCGGTTCAACTGGTTTATCCGTACTTATTATATGCCACAAACCTTTTTTTATCAGTAATAACTCTTGCATTTCCGTATTTAGAAAGTTGTATTGTTTAACTTTGTAATACTGAATCATAATAGTAATATTATATCTGCCGTTATTTTTCTTTATGTGCCGTATTCTAGGCCCACAATCTATTGGAGTGAAGTTTATTAAATTAGAGAATTAGCAGTACAAATTATGTACCTTACATTGTGAAACTTTATTGTACAGAACAAAAAAGAAGAAACTTCCGATTGAATACAATTAAATGAACTTTAAACAGATATACAATACAATAAAATAATTTTTCAGTAGAGCACAACGCAACTCAACTAAAAAATGTCCTTATTTAGTAGTGTAGACTAAAAACTGGAGGGGATAATCAAGTGCAGTCATGCTAGCCAACGTTTGCCACTAATCCTAATATACGCGCGCGCTTATACTTCGAGCAATATCTTCTCTATCACGCCAATTACCGAAAACTGTTGTTACCATTCAATATTATACAACCATAAACTTTGCAGAATAAAAAGTCATTATTTTATATAAAATTCTGGGCTATATGATATAAGTTCGCTGTCGCGAATTATTCCAAATTATTTTGAAGCGTCACTTCTTTAACGATATTTCCTTTTATTCGATATGTCGTCCAATTTAATCCGATGTCTCACTACTCTAGATATAAAAATTATAAATTACAGAATATAAAGTTAATGTAACATAGACTTGTATTCTACAATATTTCCTCTTATACCATAATATATCAAAATCATTTTATTTAAAAAGTTACTGCACTATTTTTTTTATTCTTTATTTTAATATTGTGTAGTATTTCATATATAAATAATTTAAATAATAACAATAAATTTGAATATGAACAATTGCTTACATATATATATATATATTATATATCTCGCACATATGCAAGTACACACATACATATGCATATATATGCGCGTACGCACTTACGCATGCATATGCACATTCATTTTTTATGTAATTTACATCATATAAACATTTTTTAATAATATCATTTCAAACAGTAATAGTACTTCATTTCACTTGTACTAAATACTTTGCACTTTATTAAGGTGTGTTATATCATTTATGTGCGAAAATCTGGGCCAGCATGGTAACACTATGGTAACACTATGACAGTTATGACGTATAGGCATAGAATAATTAAAATATAGTTTTTTAAGACATGAAATATTCAGACTTTTTAACCTCTTGTAATACATTTCTAAATCAAACTTCTCTAATCAATTAAAATCTATGAAACATAAGTTGCTGATAAAAATTTAACCGTCCAAAAAGTTAAACAAAATCTACTGTTATTTTCATTATTTTTATTATCCGTTGATAAAAATTATTTGATTCATAATGTCCTCATATGTGTGCGTGTGTGTGTGTGCGCGCGCGCGCAAGCGCGTGTAGAGAGAGGGGGGACTGTATATTATGTGCATGTATATGTGTGTTATATGTGTTCGTTAGTTATTATGTCGAAACAATTTGTAAACAGGTTAACAGTAATTCATCAATTAAATACCCAGACAGCACCGGACATCCAATGGATGTACGTTTCACGTCCAATTTATGTCCGTATGTCCGATTTACGTCCGTGGACATAAATTGGACGTAACAAGGATGTCCTTATTGGACATGGGACTTATAGGGCGTCCGATGTATGTCCATCGAACGTCCATGTCCGAAGTTGTGACAAACGTACGTCCTATGGACGTCTTTTGTAAAAAAATGAACATGTAACGGACGTTCAGTGGGCGTCCGTGTGCTATCTAAGATATCAGGTAAGATATCAGGAAAAATATATAATTAATGAATAAGTAATTTTATTTGCTACAAAGCTATACTTATATTGTTGTATCCCAAAAATAGTAGTTTTTTAATATTATTATTTTCGTTTCCGTCACTAATGTTTATATAATAATGAAAGTTGTTTTCTATCTAATTAAATACTTCTTGTTGTTGTTTGAACTGATCTTGAATGCTGCTTTGCTATTTCGCCAGATTAATTGTTCGTTTTTATTTCGACATGTCTTATCATTAGCTTTGGCACAGCGTTTAATCCGACAACAATGCCATCCCTTATAGCGTTCTGGAAATTTGTTCGCACTGCCATAGTGGATTCTAGTTCTGCGGTATTTGAGTCCAATTTGGCAGACGCAGAAGCTTGTATTTTGGCAGCTTCTTCAACTTCACGAGAAACTAGTTTTGCATGTTCTAAAGCAATTGATTGAGCAACAGCCGCTTTCGTACTGGTTTCCTTAGTCACTTCTTGATACATAGAAAGTTGTTCCATTTTCTGTTTTCCTTCTATATGTTTGGACAAAGATGCTTGTACAGCTGTTGTTGCTAAAGCCACTCTTTCCTTGTCATTTATAGTTTTGCTTTCAATAAATTTGTTAGCAGCCTCGCTAGCCATAGCCATTTTTACTAATTTCATTACATAAGAAATGGCCGTTTTCTCTGCGAGATCCGCGGATTGAGAGATCATCATGGACAACATGAGAGCCGCTTCTACTGCAGATGCTGCGACGTTAACTTCACTAGTGGAAACAGCAGCGGCAGCGGCCGCTTCTTCAGCGGCAGTTGCTTTAATTGCTGCTTGCGCCTGTGCTGATGCTGCTAATTTGATTGCTTTTGCAGCGTTCATTGTGGCTATGCTTGCCACCGCAGCTGTTTTAGCAGACGCTTCGGCTTTTGTCACAGCATTAATATATGCCTCAGTTACCGTGTTGATTTGTGCAGCCAACTTAGCCTCAACCACAGCTTTTGCACCAGCAGCTGCTTCGGCCTTTGCTTCAGCCTCAGCTTGCGCTGACGCTTCTGCGCGTGCCTCCGCTTCAGCACGTGCCTTTGCTTCCGCTCGAGCCATCGCTTCTGCTCGCGCAGATACTTCCGCCTCGGCTTTAGCCTGTGCTCGAGCTTTAGCCTCAGCTCGTGCGGATGCAGCTGCTCGCTCTTCTGCATCGACGCGCGCTTTAGTTTGTGCTTGTGCCTCGGCTTCGGCCTTCGCTTTGGCTTCTGCCTTTGCGGATGCTTCTGCCTTGGCTTTGGCTTCGGCTTGTGCAGAAGCATTTGCGCGAGCTTCCGCCTGTACCCGGGCTTCAGCCTCCGCCCATGCTTTCGCTTCTGCTCGCGCTTCTGCAGCAGCTGCTGCACTAGCCTCTGCTTTTGCACGAGTTGCAGCTTTAGCTTGAGCTATAGCATCTGCTTGCGCAGCTACTGCTGCTTCTGATGCAGCTTTCGCTTCTGCTTCAGCTTTGGCAATAGCTTTCGCCGAAATATCAATTTTATTCTTCGTGGGCGATCCAACATTGGAATAAGATTTTGCGTTATTGCTTGAGACTTCTGATTTCTCCGAGGCTGTGGACGAAGTAGAACTAGATTGCGATGTAGATGAAGAAACAGATGATGAGAAATGACGCGTCACAAAAGATTTCTCTTCTGTAGACCCGGAGCTCTCTTTGTCTAATTCTGTCAAACCTATAGCTTGTGTTTTGAACAGAGGATTCGTTATTATTTTCGTAAGAGATCTTGAACTCACGGAAGCTGCATCTTGTTTCGGAAACCATGGCGTAAAAGAAGTTGTTTGTGCAGCCGCGTTGGCATTTGCCAATGCTAGGGTATCTTCATGTCCAAATGCAGCCTTCTGTGTTAATAATTTAGATTCCGCTTCAAATCCAGGACGGAAGTTAATGTTTATTTGATCGTCTGTAAAAGCATTACCAGACGAACCTGCGATTGATCTTTGACCAGATAGGAGACTGCCGGAAATTACGCTCGCCAAGGATTCAGCTGTAGCCCCGGCAAGTAATTGTTCCGGGTTAAGACTCTGGCCGTTTACCAATCCCCAGATGAGGAAATACACAAGGAATATCTTCATCGTCGATGAAACTCTGCACATTGGCAGCGGCTCGCGCGATTCGTCAATTATATACCATCTCATGCACAGTTGTAAAAACATTATCGTTGTATGCCTTGTCGGTGATGTCTGAGACTGTTTTGTGAAAAATACGACTTATCACATACATCATATTCATGACTCTGCATTAGCTTCGTGTGCTATTATATATTTATTTGCACCTATTGAAATACAAGCTAGAGCTATTAATTTATGAATTTTAAAATCACATTAAACTACGCTATATAATATTTACATTGTTTTACCGTTATTTTCTGGCATAATTCGCAATATAAATACTATAATACTATTTTTAAATTACAATTTTGCAACACAGAATTGCAAAGTAATATATATAATATGTAATGTAAATCTAGATTTATAATTTACAAAATTAATAAATTAAAATTTCATAGTTTCTTTGTGTGTATGTGTGTGTGTGCGTGTGTATGGAATTATAAATCGCTATTCTGCATTCATATTCTTGTCGTGTGCAAACACAACGCTTATGGTCTTCGATTACCGTATCCATTTAAATCGATAAGGTAAAGTTTCTTTAAAATAATTACTAAAATTTCAATCTTAAATCCATTCTAACAACGACTATGCATTCGCATGGATTTCACTTTGAAAGGTTAACTTACAATAACTTATGGAGTAAAATCACATATTCGTACGTGCATCGTTGCTGCCGCATTCTATTCGATTATCCAATTAACGGCAAAAAAATTAATCGTAACTTTGTATCTGCACCAGTCGTGACAATTTATAACCAACGAGAGCTACGACACGCATTGCACTGTAGAATGCCGAGAACCGAGAGATGTATCACAACACCAACGAGTTCTACCACAGGCAGCTGCTAAATATAGCTGGACTACAGCATAACAAAAATAATGCCAATAAGGATGTTGCCCCACCATATAATGACGTATCCATATAGATTGGAATTGTTAACAAACTTGTGGACTTTTACGCATATGAACTGAATGTGGATTTCCTCGAAAATAACAGTATTATTTTAAAAAACTGAAATAATTTTCTTTATCCACATCAAAAAACTAAAATATTTCACATAATTATTACATAGTATTTAAAATATCAAACTGTTTCCTACGTCTTAAATAACTTACAAGGTATTGCTAATTTTTATTAAAAAAGAAAAAAGGAAAATCTTATATTCTTATATTAAAAAAATTTAACATCGAAATAGTTAATATATGAATATATTTCAATATTTAAATATTTTAAACAATATTCCAATTTCTATAGTTTTTTATAATTTTTAACAACTTTTAAACAATTTATAATATAAATTATAACTCGTTATTTCTGATATTTAAAATGTAACTAAAATGTACTAATGAAGAAACGTATCCATTTTATAATATATTGTGACATAATATATTTCTCAGTGTTTTCAGTATTCTTCATCCTATACTAAAATTACAAAATGTCCTTAGGCTTACAAATTAATGTAATATCTTTTCTTTAATCAAAATATAATTACAAAAAATGTTGTTTTCATTAGTTATGAAAATAATCACTATCGTTTTCCAAAGTTCTTTAAATCAAAATCTAACTATAAAATAATTTTGTCAAAACTCTTTCTGCGGCAGAAAAGATATATTAAATCTGTATATAAGTTCGTGGAGTTTTTTCGGCAACTTATGTATTAGTTTATGTATTAGGTGTACAAATAAGTTTTAAAGCATTTTTAAGATAATGCAAAATCCAATGATAATCCAATGAATCAATTAAGATAATCCAATAAATCAATTAAAAATGTAAAACTGATAACATGGTGGCTTGCGCTAAAAAATAATGTCAATACTGTAACGTTCGACTCGGTAACAGCAATTGCTTCTTCTGCTGGCATAGAAAGGCTTTTCTGAGCTTTTAGTTTAGTACATACCTTAGAAATAGATTACAAACTTAGTACAAACTTAGAAATAGATTAGATGTAGAAAAAACTTCAAAATTAGTAACAGTTTTAAAAGCATTTAACAAAAAAAGTGAAGTTGACCAAACTGAACATGAAATTGAGACTGAGTAATTTGATCTCTCAATAAGTTTTTTGTTACAAGAAAAAATTGATATTTTATATTGAGTTATAAAAACTAAAAAATATTTTATTTTGAGTTATTAAATTTAAAAATAAGCATTAAAAGTATTAATATGCATTGTTATTTTATCCTATTTGTATGTTCGAGTTAATGATCTAAAAATAAATATATTGATAAACATCTATCTTCTTACAGTTTCTTTCCAAATAATTATATTTTAATTGTGGCGTTTTAAACAGTAGTTTAAAACTGTTTAAAACAAAAGTGTATAAAACAATGTCTACTGTTTTAAACATGTTTTAAACATTCTGTTTTAAACACATTGTTTAAAACATAACAACTCTGTAACAGCATATACTTAAAATCGCAAAATTTCAATTTGTAATTTCTCCCAAATGTTTGAGTGTTGTATCGTCTCCGGTTAACAGTAGCTTATGCTGGACATATACTACATTCTTGCCAAAGCTCGTCAAAATCAGTGATCCCAAGTTTGGCAGCAGCCCTTGTCAGATTATAGCTCAGAAAGAATTAGTCTCGCTCGCGTCGCTGAGCGAGAACGAGAGCGAGAAAGAGGGAAAGATATTCTCGCTCGCGTCGCTGAGCGAACACGAGAGCGAGAAGGAGGGAATGATATCTTTCTGTCGCTCGGCGCGCCGACGATTGCCGAGCGCGTAGTCCACACGGATAGACTGAGCCGGCTATACGTGCGTCTGTGGTGGGGAAAATCAGAAAAGAGTCGTGGACATTGGCATCGTAGTTCATGTGCACGATTGTGCAGAGGGCGCCTCACACTGGGCTCAACTAAAAGCGACCCGTGACCCATCTCCTTCTTCTCTCTGGTGTAAAAGAGAAAGAGAAAGAAAGCAAAGAAGAACGTGAGAGTGGCCAACACGGCGTTTTCGGAGACACTGACTTTCCGCACTGGGAAAAGGCGCCATCTGCATCCATTTTGAGAAGGGAACTACGATGCTACATTCATTTTCAGGTTTCGGCGGTAAAACCTGCATGTGGTGGCAGTTCGTGCTACATCCACTTTCAGGCGGTTTATGTCCGTGCTACAACAATAATAGAGTACTTGACAAGCACGGTTTCGCACATTGTTACACGTTTATAACATGAATTAACATGGTAACATGTGCAAAAAAAATTGACATTGTGTATGATTAATATCATGAAGATCATACGAAGTATCCGGTAATTAGCTGCCAACCCGAAGTGTGAGGGTAGATTGGGTTGAGACAAACATAAAAGTCCCATATCGTTTTGCGAGATTCGCAATAATTATCGAGTTATTAATGACAGAAATCTGAGGAATAAAAGCGCGCCGACATAGATGATTCGAAAAGCGTTGCAGCTGCTCAGGGCAGCGATCATGAATCTTTTCCCTAGCGTGAACTAATAAAAAGTGAAAGACGTCTGTGAATCAGTGAAAAATGAAAAATTTTATATGAATTTGTGAAAATCGAAACATTTCACATTTCCTGCGACCGGAGGCCGCTGTTGTTCAAAGTTAAATTGTAGCAACAGTATTGTTATCGGGCAGCCGGCATCCGTCCGTGACGTCTGCCGTGCGCCTTTGCGATTACTGGTAAATTCAGTTTTCTCGATTGCTCGCGTGATTTCAAGTGGCCATAATATATGGCGAGAATACATGGCAATATATGGCAATAATATATGGCAATAATATACGGCAACAATATATGGCAACAATATATGGCAACAATATATGGCAATAATATATTGCCATAATATATGGCAATAATTTATGGAATATATTTTTCGTTACAAAAGTCAATGCAAATTTGCGGCATGCACAATGTAATAATAAAAGAGCTCTCTGCGAGCATTGAGACAAACGCTCACCGATGATGATATTGATGATGCCCCGTTGCATCCAACCAGATCCACCAATGTCCGCCCATGTCCGCTGCCGCTCTCCATGTCGCGCAGCATCCATCTTGCAGCGCGTCCCACGTTGATTGCTACACTTTCGCGACGCGGTCGGTACTTTTATCAGAGCGGCGATATTTGCGTCAATTAACGAATGTTTTACGTTGTTACCGGTGGAAACTTTTTGCGTGCTGCGAAACGGACTCTATAAACTTGATCGGCGAGGAGCAAGAACCGTGTGAAAATTTACCGACTCGTACAACGGATTTTTACGGCGCTTTTCGCGATCGCGTCTGAAAAGTCGCGAAAATGTGGGAGTATCGATATCTACGAGTGAAATATTCGCGACGTGAATGCACGCGAGGAAAGATTAGACAATTAGAAACCCCGAGGGGTCGCCCCGAGGGAGCGCAAAGATAGAGGAGCGGGGCAAAGTTTTCACGCATCGTCCGCATTCGCGCATAGCTCCGTCACGACGAAGTTTACTTCGTTCGCGATACTTTGGCGAAATGAGAATTTAAGCTTTCTTTGTTAGCAGCGCGGGTAAAAACGCGTATTTTGATAACCGCGGTTGCTATATTCAAAGGCACGCGAGCGAGGATACCTCAAGCTCAGCGTGCGCTGGCGCAATTTCTGCGCGCATTATACGCTACTCGAGACAATAGGGATCGTGATGAATGGACAATATTGCCAAATAATTCTACAGCCTGTTTTGCAATTAAAAGAAAAGTAGCTAACGGTACCGGCATTTATGCGTATGAATATATTTTACACGGACAATTGAATATTGTCAAATAATTAAATCGTTAAATAATTCTGCAGCCCGCTTGAAAAATAAAAATAAAGCAGCTAATGACGCGTTTGTACATATGAATATCTCTTATTCAGATGACTAAACATCAAAAGAGAATAATTATTCAGTATTTTAAATCTCGTATGTAATGCAGGCTGTCGATCAAGTAATCCCCTGATTGTTTCGAGCAATATATTTTATTCAACGTCACAAACACACACATGCAAAAATCTATTTGCAATTCGCATTGACTCGAACGATATTTTTTAGTCCCATATCCGTCATGCAGAATTTTGTTTCTCTTTTTATTTTGACTCACCGAAACGACTTGCAGTCAGAGCCGGCCACGTTCCGCTTCAACTCTGTAACAAAAAATTCACATTCGTTCATTAAATTTGACCAACGAGTACGGGCGAGTAAATCAGTAATTTACCCTCTGCGATCGTAATTCAAGTAGAGTCGGAAATTATATCCCAGCTCTAGATCGCCAAGGGTCAAACAGAGGACTATAGTAAACTTGTAAACTTTACCTTCCGACCGACTCTGTTTCGCCCGAATCGGATCCTCCGATGCGGCATCCCGCGTCCGCCGGATTGCTGTTGCTTTCCGCAACAACTAAAACAGAAAAGTAGTTTTCCCAGTTGATAATCTGCGGTAGAGAGAGAATATCTTTGATCGAGACGGATCGAAAATACGGAAATATTTTGATATGGGATTTTTATCTTTATATTTTTGTTCCAACATTGAAAATTTAAATGAGACTTGAAGCTTTCAAGAGAGCTGATGAGGACCAAATTGCAAAAGCAAAGATCGTAAAGGGTTGAACACAGATGTGTAGGAAACTTGTAAACTTTACCTTCCGGCTGACCGTGCTGTGCCCGAACCGGATCCTCCGGTACAGCATCCGCATCTGCCGGATTGTTGTTACTTTCCGCAACAACTGAAACAGAAAAGTAGTTTTCCCAGTTGATAATCTGCGGTAGAGAGAGAATATCTTTGATCGAGACGGATCGAAAATACGGAAATATTTTGACATGGGATTTTTATCTTTATATTTTTGTTCCAACATTGAAAATTTGAATGAGACATGAAGCTTTCAAGAGAGCTGATGAGAAACAAGTTGCAAAGGCAAAGATTGTAAAGAGTTGAACGCAGATATGTAGGAAACTTGTAAACTTTACCTTCCGGCCGACCGTGCTGTGCCCGAACCGGATCCTCCGGTGCGGCATCTCCGTCCACTGGACTTACTTCCCGTAACGTCTGGAACAAAAATTTAGCGTTTCTGGTTGATAAGCTGCGGTAAAGAAAGAATGTTTGGTCGGGATGAGTGGAGAATATTCGCTACGGTTTTTTTTCTTTATTGACATTGAAAGTCTGGATAGAACTTGAAAGCTCTTGAAAGAGCTGACGAAAAAAGATGACAACAAGAAGCGGAGACAACAGTTGTGTGCTCTCGAAAATACTCTTTTACGAATGGACATTTAAATTTAAATCCCGTAAGAAGAGTAAACAGACTTGAAAGAAGCGCTGACCGAAAACAAAAAAGGTCGCAGTCTAAGAAGCGATATGACGTTGAATATTCTATACAAGACCGGTATACTCATACAGTTCAGAATTATTCAAAATGTTTAATTGAGAACATAATGAATTAGAGATCCGCGTTCACCATTATCCGTCTGTATCTGAATCAATATCTGTTGTATACAACAACGCAATAAATAGATAGACAGACAGAAATTGACGAGAGTAATTGCAGATTCATAAGTCATGATTATTAGTCGGATAATGACGGATTGTGAATGCCGAGCGCGAAATTCCGACTTCTTATTCCCGGAAAATTCGTAAAACGTCCGCTCTCGTTATCGGTGACCTCCCACATAATAAATGATTCCACATACTTGGAAACGTGACGTATCGGTGCCGCCGTCCTGCTTCCCGGCTGCTGGAGTCCTTCGGATTTCACTCACTCACGCTTCTAATGCCGATACTCGCGATTCGACCATGCGGTTAATCAACGCGATGCCGATTGAGTATCTCGAGGACCGACGAGATACATTTCTTTCAATTACACGAGACGGAATGACAGGCGCGTCGCGCACAGCTGCTGCTGATAGAATAAGGTCGAATACGCGAGACGCGCGAATATTAAGGGCAAAAAGTGTCGTCGCTCGCGAGCCGATCAACACAATCGGCGCGATGTAAACATTGCGGGCCTCGGCGGCCCGTCGTTGAGGCAAGAGAGATTTGCCCTTGGGCATCTTTTCTTTTCTCAAAGGTTCCGGGATGACGAGAAGAATGCGAAAAGGCCTTTCATCTGTACGCGACATTGATTTACTATTTATTGATTACTGAAAATAAAGAAAATTATTTTGTCGAAGCATCGGATATTTGTGAGCTTTATGTTAATTAAAGAGGAATGTGTACAATTAGAAAATGTGTTAGCAACTAATTGTACAGTGTGTCAAAGTTGTTGTGACGCCGTTTTCAGAGAATATTAAAGGTGGTAGCGTTAAAGACTGGAATTTCATCCCATGCGAATTTTGTCTCGTTCTTATTAAATGTTAGATTATCCACTGCGGACAATAACTCTTCTACTTTTCACCTAATATTCAACGATGATGAATAACATTTACCCAGACAACACACGGATGTCCATTGGACGTCCATTATATGTCCATTTTTTTTACAAAGACGTCCATAGGACGTACGTTTGTCACAACTTCAGACTTCGGGCGTCCTACAGGTCCGATATCCAATAAGGACATCCTTGTTACGTCCAATTTATGTCCACGGACGTAAATCGGACATACGGACATAAATTTATGTTATTTATTTATTAATTTGTGTTTTTTTTACTATTACCGTGGTCCACACGGATAGACTGAGCCGGCTATGTGTGCGTGCGTGGTGGAGAAAATCAGAAAAGAGTCGTGGACATTGGCATCGTAGTTCATTTGCACGGTTGTGCAGAGGGCGCCTTGCACTGGGCTCGGCTAAAAGCGGTCCGTGACCTCTCTCCTCCTTCTCTCTGATATAACATATCAAAATATTTATCAAAGAAATATATGATATCGATAATTCTACATATTATGTAATTATTAATTGTATATATGCTTATAATATATATTTGACTTGCTAATGGAAATATATATATTTGCATTCAATGTTCACATGATTTACGTAGTCTTATGCCATATTACTTTTGACAATCTATAGCAGAGCCCGGCAAAATGTACACGCGTCGGTCGATTTTCGACTATCTCCGCCCACCTATTCCCTTTACCTCGCCGCTCCGCGCGCTGCCCACAAGCCGCTCGAGCCTCAGGAGCGTGTTTCCAATAGTTTTTACGTCACCCATGAGGTACTATTGTTGACGCGTTTTTTTTTAAGTGGTATCCCCAGTAGGCCTCTTCATTTTTCAAAAATGAAGTTTATAAAAAATGAGAAGTACTCTTCTTTAAGCGACGATTCCTTATCACGTCTTATGCGGCTTGCTACATGCAGTATCCAAATTGACGTTTCCACTCTTACCAATGAAAGACACCGAAAATCGAATTGAATATTCTTCATTTAACATATTTTATTTCGCTTCTGTTCAATTAGTTACGGGTTGTTACAGTCATCAGTAGATTAGGCTTACTGGGGATACCACTTAAAAAAAAACGCGTTAACAATAGTACTTCATGGGTAGCGTAGAAAACTATTGGAAACACGCTCCTGAGACTCGAGCGGCTTGTAGGCAGCGCGCGGAGTGGCGAGGTAAAGGGAATAGCGGTGGGCGGAGATAGTCGCAAATCGGTCGTCGCGTGCACATTTTGCCGAGCTCTGATCTATAGGATAAAGTGAAAGAGGTTTGATGCCGTGCAACGTTCTCACTTTATCGTAAACTGCCAACTTCCGGCTTCACTCCCCTCGAGGAAATGCTTGGTCTAGTTATATACGTCATTGAGGCCAAACAAACAGGCTATTTTCACGAATTTTTTTTCGGGAACTAAGCGGACGATTGATTTCAAACTTTTTAGAAATAATAATATATATTTAACTTATAAGAATGAATTTTTATAGTGTAAAGCCAGCGGCACACGGTGGTTGTTTTCGTGCTAGATTGTTTTCTGGATGAAAATACTGCGTTCTGATTGGTGTATTTCCGAAGATGGATAGAAATGCACCAATCAGAACGCAGTATTTTCATCCAGCAAGCAACCCAGCACAAAAACAAGCACCGTGTGCCGCTGGCTTTAGCCTATGTCATATTGTCGTATGTTTAATGATATATCAATTCCAAAAGTCATCGTTTTATTGCCAATAATACATAGGTTATGATCATTTGAGTTTGATATATGACGATAGTGAAATGTTTTATTAGCTATAATTTTAATAAAATTTTGCAGGTAAAGAATATGAAATTAGAAATTCCAACAAAAGGAGAGTGAATAGCAGAAAGTGTTATTTATTCATAAAGAGGCAGGTATTTCTATAAAAATATTTAAGAATATATTTGAAATTCACAATTCAATATATATAATATTTTAGTAATAGTTAAGCATTAATAAGAATATAATGGATACTGGTGATACTACCGTTAATAAAATGAAAGTATCAATATATCAATAATGAAAGTATCAATATATAAGTATCAATATATATACTAATTGCATAGTTTATTAAATACATAAATTTTTATAATTTTAAAATATTAAAGCTTAAGAAATTGAATTTTAGATGTCTGTTCCAAAAATAAAACATGATTGGTATCAAACGGAGACTAATGTTATTGTAACAATACTTGCGAAGAATGCAGAACATGTTAAAGTTATTTACGAGGAAAATATGGTATGTAAAATATTTATTTCTTAATATTTTCTATATAAGATATCCAAGACTATATATGACATCTGTTAGAATTGAATATTTGAAAATATTTTTAACAATTTTTATGGAGAAAATACTCAATATTTGAGTGTTTTTTCCATAAGACAAATAGTTATCAAAACATGAAAGCTACAATGGTTTTTGAATAGAATGTTTAAAGTTAACTAACAAGGAACATCCACGAAGTGTGTCTCTGATTTCGACAAAACTTGACATATTTGTAGAGTAGCCAAAAATAAGAGACCTATATTCTTTTTTATCAGTAATAGCTCAAGTTTAAGGGGTGAAACTGCCTCAAAATTTTATCCCCTTTATGCTATCTCGATAATTATTGCAGATAAGAAAAAATATTTTAAACAAAAATTGTATGGCATAAAAAACATACAATTTTAAAAAATTAAATAAAAAAGTTTAAAAAATTAAATAAAAAAGTTTAAAAAATTGTTCCCTATCTGCAATAGTTATCAAGATAGCATAGAGGGGATGAAACTTTGAAGAGCAGTTTCACTCCTTAAACCTGAGCCATTACTGATAAAAATATTGGTCTTTTATAAGATATATACACTCAATTTTAAGTATATATACTCACATTTGAGAATAAGTTCGAATAATTGAGTGTAAATACTTAATATTTGAATGTTTTTTTTCCATAAAGGCTGCTTTTTGTACATATAGTTTTGTGGTAGATCGACTTTTTGAGGTATTTTTAAGTAGATCAAACAAATAGTAATCCAAGGGAGCAAGATTTGGACTATTCAGGATGTTCGAAAACCAATACTTCAAAAAGCAATTTCTTAAATATTTGAACAGTGTAGATGGCGTACATTGTCATGTAGCAATAAAATACCTTTCAATAATAGGTGTTTGATTCAAATTGCAGACTTCAGCTTGTTGCACAATATCTTAGTGTAATATAAACTGTTTATTATTGAGCCCTTTACTATCTGTTTTGTCTACTAAAATACTTCAAGAAGTTGTTGATTTACTAGACTAACATGTACAGAAAATGGTGCACATATAGCTGAAGGACAATCCAAAAACATATTTTTCCGAGAGTATGTACAAACTTGTGGAACTTGTGGAACTTGTTGAAAATTTTATGAATGTGTTTGGCTAACACTCGGCTAAATTCTATATCAATATTCTTAAAAAAATACTTTTTATAAAAAAATTTTAATTTATATTTTAAATGTTAATTTATATTTTTAACTAACTTTTGTGTCAGGAATCATCTCCTCGGTTGTACAATTTCCAGTACACCATAAATTCTCTGTAGAACTTTTTATAAATTCGGTTATACAATTTCCAATACATTCTTTGTATATATAAACTTTTGATATTTTGTGAATTATTTTCCAGCTGAATATATCTGCAAAATTACTATCTGGTAATGACTACAATTTAAAATTAGATTTGGCTCATCTAATAATAGCAGAACAATGTTCACATAAAGTATTACCATCTAAAATAGAGATTAAACTAAAGAAATTGAATGGTATTAGATGGAATACATTAGAGAGGAATCTAGATGAACAAGATGTAGTACAACCCATATTAAGTGGTAAGCACATTTTATATACTTTATATTATTGAGTTCTTCAATAAGCTCGTAGGGACTTTTACGAAAATCTTGAAGTCGACAATCTATAGTCGAAACCCATAATCAAACATAAATTTATTTTTTTTTTTATATTTTTATCACATTTTGCCATCAAAAAATGACAAATACATTATTGGACAAAGTTATACCCAACTGTTAACTGTGCAAATTAATTCGATACCAGCATTAACTGGCTTTATATTTAATACTTTTATAACTCCATTTTTAATAACTCCATTTTAAAATTAAATATTTTCCCGCTTCTCTTCTCCCTCTTTTGTGGTTTACAAGTATAGACCCATATATTTCCAAAACACCATGTTATGGCGAAATAAATGACAACCTCACAAAACAGTAGTACACACAATGGCGTCCAATAACTACTTACCTTTCAATTAAAAAATGCTGCTGAAGCTATAGAAATCATTATTCTTCTTTGGGTAAAAATGTTGTGATCTACGAAACATGTAAAGAGTGATATCAGAGGTTTCGGAATGAAAATTTTAATCTTTCGAGTTTAAAACGTTCTGGCCAAATAAAAGAATTCGAAGACAAAATCGAGCAGCTATTGAATAAAAATTCTGCTCAAATGCAACAAGAGTTCATACTGCCACTTAGAGTTACTTATCAATGTATATCCATGCGCTTAGATTAACTGATAAAAGTTCAAAAGAATAGATGAATTCTACATAAGTTTAATTCGGAAAACAAAGAGCAAAGATTCAACATGTTCATATTCTTGCTAACTTGGTTTAAAAGAAGCGATTTTTGTGCAAAATTATTACGAATGTTAAAAAATGGATGTTGCATGATAACCCTAAATACAAAATCGTTAGATCTCAGCCAATCGTCGACATCCACCTTTATGTTCCTACCATAAAGCCCAAAATTTATGTCAAGATTTTAATAAGTATCTAGTAGAATATAAAGAATGTAAAGTACCATACGATTTTTTTCAAAAGAATGTTTTACTCGTTAAAATTGTGCCCGTATAAGATAAGTATTCTGTATTTTTGTCTTACTACATACTTCAAGCTCATCAAAATCAGAAGGGGACATTTCCACTTATATTTTTTTCCTTATTAAGTAAAAATGTACATATGTTGTTCAATTATATTTTTAAATCTGTTAATATCTTTTTTAAGAAATACCTCAGATAAATAATCAGGCGCCAAAATATCCAAGTTCCTGTAAAAAATTTAGAGATTGGGATAAGGTAGAGAAAGAGATAGAGAAACAAGAAGCACAGGAAGAACCAGAAGGGGAAGCAGCTGTGAATGCCCTCTTACAACGAATATATGGCAATGGATCTGATGAAGTAAGACGAGCAATGAACAAATCTTTTGTAAGTAAAACATTTATTATGTCATTAAATTAAACAATAATTATATTGCGAAAAATTATTTTTACACATTATTAATAAAATTTCATCAATTTAAACTAATATTATTTTATATTATTATTATTTCTATATTTGTCATTATTAATATATTTAATATTATTAGTATTAATATCATATTATTAATATTAATTAATATATTTAATATTAATATTAATATTATATTTATATTAATTAATATTATTTACAATTTTGTATAACACATCTTTTATGTGAAGTAAATTGAAGTTTCATAAAACTATTTGTATAAAGGAGTCCCATTTTATTCAACTTATTTAAATATAGTTGCAGTTTTGCAAATCCAATTTCTTAGGAATTTTTCAAACGTTAACAACATCAATAGAAACGTAATTTATATAATACATCTACAATATGTATAACATATATGTACAATTATAGAGAAATTGATTGCATCGAAGCTGAAAATGTTCATTTTTACCATTTTCCTTTCCACTCTCTTTTCCCATTCTTTCTGTTTCGTCTTCTCTCCCTCTCTCCTCTTTTCTTTTCTCTTGCATTCGCTCGCAGATATGGAAACCAATTTCCATTTCATATTCTTAATACTGACGGTCAAACCACTTTTCCGTTTATAATACTTCCCACATGATTATTTTCATATTTTAACCCTGTGTGATCATATGGATCATTTCTAAACAGTACCAACTTTCTGTCCATGAGTAAGTAAAAAAATTAGGAGAAATTGTTTTTCCATTATTTAGGTCTCTATTTTCTATTCTAGTCGTTGGTTGGCGACTAATATTCTCTTTTTTCTTTTTGTATAAGAAAATGAAAGAGTGCGGAAAGGAACAATTTATCATATCTCGGAAAAAATTTGTAATTTTTCAACATGTTAAAAAAAAGAAAATCAATTTTTTCTATAATTATCGGAGAGATGGAGCCTCTCCTACGCACATACCTATACAGAGTGTCTCAAAAGTAACGGACCACCCTAATAACTCTTCAATATTGAAGTTTCAAGGAAAATGATCTGAATAAAAGTTGTAGGGATTTAAGTGAGCTACCTTATGATGACCTTGACTTTGCCCTCTATTTTCAAGGTCATTTGAAGGTCAATTTGCGTTTTTTAAATAGGAACCCTTATTTTTTATTACACTACTACTACTTCTACTAGTTAATTTGAATAACTTTTGTCTAAAATATTTTTTTATTTGTCTAATATTTTTTGAGATATTTGAGGAAAACTTGATAACTTTTTCAATATTTAACTTACGATATTTCACTATTTGTCGGAAGAAAAAGTGGTATTAGACTTTCTTGCTTTATTTAGTCTCAAGAATATATTGTTATAATAGCGCCTTGATTTTTGTTAATTTGATGATTTTGAAATTTCCAAAAGTCAGTAAGTTATCAAAAGTCAAGGCGCTATTGTAACAATATATTCTTGAGACTAAATAAAGCAAGAAAGTCTGATACCACTTTTTCTTGCGACAAATAGTTAGCGAGATATCGTAAGTTAAATATTGAAAAAGTTATCAAGTTTTCCTCAAATATCTCAAAAAATATTAGACAAATAAAAAAATGTTTTAGACAACAGTTGTTCAAATTAACTAATAGAAAGAAAAATAGTGTAATAAAAAATAAGAGTTCCTATTTAAATAACGCAAGTTGACTTTCAAATGACCTTGAAAGTAGAGGTCAAGGTCAAAGTCAAGGCCATCATAAGGTAGCTCACTTAAATCCCTACAATTTTTATTCAGATCATTTTTCTTGAAACTTCAATACTGAAGAGTTATTAGGATAGTCTGTTACTTTTGGGGCACCCTGTATATAATAAATTGTTTTATCTCTCATTCATGAAAAAAAAAATATATATATATATATTACAGGTAGAATCTGGTGGCACAGTTTTGAGTACCAACTGGTCAGAAGTAGGTCAGGGAAAAGTTGAAAGAAAACCACCAGACGGAATGGAATGGAAAATGTGGAACTCATAAAGTTATTTACAAAGTTTTTCGTTGCTTCTTGCATATAATAATTGCATTCGATCCTTAAGTACTATACACACTAAGTATTATACACTTAAGTACTATACACATATTCTTTACACACACACACACACACACACACACATTCATACATATATATATATATAGATTCATATATACACATATATAGATTATGTTATCAAAGAAATTATATTGACAATGTTCTATCGCCACTTATAAATAATATTTTCTCTGTATATGATAATTCAATAATAATAAACTATAATTCCCTGTGTTAATCTCGTATACATAATTATAAAATATGCATAATTATATTAACTTAATTTTTTTATCTGTACAATAACTTTCATACAAAAATGTATATTACATGTATGTATACACATGCATACATGTATGTTAAAGTAAATTATATAATTTATAATTACGAAAAATGTACTAACGTATGTGTCCGCACACATGCGTATATGTATATGAATGAAAATAAATGCTCATAATATCTTATAGTTATTATATAGATTATAAAAAATACTGAATTTTTTAAATATTTTTTTGTAAGTATATTTAGCAAATGAATTTTTTTCTAGTAAAATTGCTGAATATGGAGTATGTTTCCAATGTTGTTAATAAAAGTTTCTTAAAGTATGATTATAGTTAAAGTATTTGATTAGAGTATGTGATTTGAGTAAAGTATGTGATTAGAGATAAAGTATTTTTCATATATATTTAAAAGGTAAAATTGTATATAACATTTACAATTTTCAAGTACTATTGTTCGAAAAAAAGATTCCAGATTTATAGGATAGATAATATTCATTATACTGAGCAAAAAATACTTAGTAAGTATAGATTGAAAAATCAACCCTTCCAGAATTATAAACATTTCGCGATTTTGGTAACACAAAATTATTTATGTACTTCCACTGCTTATGCATGAAGAATAAACAATTAAATATTGTACTACATTATCATTTTATTATTGCTTTGTTTACAATAAGTAGTCTTCCTATTTTTATATATACTGGACATCTTTAATTACAGAATTGCGAACTCTTTAAAGAATTCATAATCGTCTTCGAATTTAGTCAGTTGCATATTGAATTCGTTGGTATAATTTTTATATATTATTTGGGGATGAAATATATATATATAAACTAAGCTTTTGAAGATATTCTCATAAAAAGAAATTCAGTGAATTTAAATCGGAAAATCGAGGAAGCTATGCAATCGGTTCATTCCATCTTTTGATAAATGTTCTATTTAAATGCTCTCACAGAAGACATACGCAAAACAGCTTTCGCAAACCAAGCTCTCTTATGTTTACACTTGTATCGTTTCCATATTGACACACTTATCAGTGAATTAAGGTGTACAACTGATATTACCTAAGGCTGATATTAACTAATATCTTCTTTAAACCTTTTTTGTTAATATTTTTTTAATAAAAAATGAGGAACGACTAAAACCTTTTGAAGGTTGCTTAATGTATTTAAATGAATTAAAGATTAATTTTTACTTTATGCTTCACATATGAAACACAAGCATATAGCATTTTTTATATTATATATTTTCTAAATATTATTATTAATGATCTTGATGAAATATATTGAAGTCAATTGAATATATTGATGTTATTGAATGTAGATCCAACAATGGATTCCAGTGGATATTCGGTAAGTTCAAGCTTTTTTATTTTATTAAGGAAAAGAAAAAATCTTTATTTTACGCAACACATGATTATTTGCAATTGAGTTTCATTATTAATCATATTTCAAATGATTATAAATAATACACATAACAACAATCCATAACAGTTGTTATTTATGCTAGAATAGGGTATTTAACAACGAATAAATTTGTGTAAAAATTACATACTGTATAATATACATTAAACAAAGAAGTCAGAACTTGCCTACAGTTAATTATATGCAAAATTATACATTTTTAATAATACCTATAAAAAAAGATATATTTGTTTTTTATCCTGTAAAAATTCTTATAACATATAATCCACATGTGTAAGTTCCACTTATGATATAACTTGTTCCTGAAATCACTAGGTGTGCTACATGCTTAGCACTAGTCAAAATATTAGATGTATTATTTTCTTTATTAATCTCTTTTTCCTTATTTGTATGTATATTTTGCAAAAACTTTGTTTCAAATGAATGGAATTTGTTTTGGAGATCAGTTAATTGATTCGTGTTTACATAAATTAAAGATTTATTTTCTCCTTGTGATTCATATATAGCATTTTTTATACTGTATATCTTCTGATTATTAATTATTATTGAACCAATCAAGGATACCATTGCTACTACCACAGATGCAATAATGGATAGATATTTATATTTTTGTGCACTCATATTTTGGTTATCATGATATTCTTTAATAGCTGTTGCTAATTGTGTAAATTTATCTTTTTCTTCTTTTTCTAACAATGCAAGTGTATTGATGATTTTATTTTGTTCTTGCAAATTTTTATTTTCTACTATAGTTAAATGCACATATTTCGGATCATCCCGCTTAGTCTGTATTAATTCACCATAAACTTCTTGCAATTTAAGTGTAATATCAGTCATTTGTTTATTTAATAATCTCCTATTATCGTGGCACTCGAATAATTTATCTTGAAGTACAATTACTTGTTGTTTAGCTGCTTCAACAGTATCCAGTCCTGTCAATTGATGATACCATCCCCACCACTTAACTACCCTTTTTGGCAACAATGTACTTGGTTCTAATGGCTTGACATTCAAATCTTGTATGATATTAGTCTGGTTATTTAGCTTCTGCAATATGAAAATTAATAATTATATATAATAATTATCTCATACGTGTAGAAATGTTCCAAAAAATACTGCATATTTCTCAAATTATTTGATCAGATTTTTTCCAATTAAAAATATTGTAGCAATTATAATTTTTAAATAATTAACTTTTAGAAATAACATATTTATGATAAAATAATGATTGTTATAATATAACTAAGAAATAGTAAAACAGAATCTGCTGAGTAGCGAAAATCATTTAAAAAATTTATGAAAAGACAAAAAACATTTTACATAAGATTTTGCATTATAACAATTTAGTATAATTGATACTACTATACTACTATACATGTTTTTATTAACAACTACACATTTATTTAGAACAATAAATTTTCAGAAAAGTAATCACTTATAGGTTATCACTTATAGGAACAAGTTACAATTACATTTTGTACATGCATCAATGTAACTATAAAAAGAACAAATTAAAAAAAAAATGGAACTTCTGTATAAAATATTTCTCTACCAATTACTTTATTTGTACTATTGTTTAAAAGAGATATAGCTTGAACAAATTTCTCTAAAATTATTCTATTTATTTATAGCTAACCTTTATCAAGAAATTATATTTTTCAATGATAATATTTTGTCCATTGAAGAATTTGTTCTGTGTTCTTTCTGAAACATTTTCTGCAAGCCCTTTCACATTGTTAAACATCCAATATTTTTTCTCTTCTTGTCTTCTTATCAACTTAACCAATTTTCGATAATGTTCCGTCATTATATGACATAAAGCAACATGTAAATACAAACAGAAAAACTAGAATAATTCACATAATAAAATCAGAGAGCCATATATACCAACACTTTTCCGAACCGACAATAAAAATAAGCTAATCCTCAATCGACTACAGTCACAGTACATGTATAACCAGTAGCGACACTCCGTGTCGGAGTCTTTGATGTTAGTGTCTGAAGTCATGTGACATGTTGCCATGTTCTTGATAGTAGCAGCGCGCTATTCGATATGTCATTCTGCCTGTTTGTCTTCACCGCAGCAACCTGAAAATATAAAATATGTAATGTGAAATAATATATTTTTGCTTTGGGCAAGAATATATATAAAAGATAGCTTTTAGATGGTGTATTACCTGGATGTGACTTATCGATTTTGTTTCTGCTTAATAACAAATATGATCCAACGCTGCAATCTGCCCAGATGTCCACCGGACGTCCGTTTTATGTCCATTTTTTTTACAAAAGACGTCCATAGGACGTACGTTTATCACAACTTCGGACATCGGATGTCCTACAGGTCCGATGTCCAATAAGTACATCCTTGTTACGTCCAATTTATGTCCACGGACATAAATCGGACATACGGACATAAATTGGACGTGAAACGTACATCCATTGAATGTCCGGTGCTGCTGGGTGAAATGTGAAATATGAAGTACGAAATAATATATTCTTGTTAGGGGCAAATAAATACATATAAATACATATAATAATAAAAGATATTTTTTATAGTATTGTATATTACCTGATAGTGAATCTGTTGTGCTTCTGTTCAATAGTAATGTCCCAACGCAGCTGTGTGTAAATGTCAAATCGGTAATTATACAGAATACCCTCCTCCGATACCTACCTACCTCCGATATCGACGAAAAAATATTTACTCAACGCGTTTTTGCAAGAGAAACAACTTTCCTATTTGAAAAAAATCGTCGTTCTGCCTCGTGGAGCGAGATATAAATTGTTAAAGTTGATGACAATTTAGATTAGGAAATCTGTCACGGAGGCGACAGATAAGCAAGATTCTGAATAAGTTTGCAACTTTCCATGCGCAACGAGAGCGGGGAGGGTACAGGAGGGGGGCCGAACATATATATACTTTTGCTATTTTTATATCACTTTTGCGTCATTTATTGTCAGTGACGTTTAAGTGACAAATAAAGTCATATTGACATCAATATGTCGAGTCAGATAGTACATTTACATGCTGAAGCGTTTTTCGTTCTGTCGAATACGAAGCATTTTTCATCGTTGGCACGTTTTGTACACATTTGCTACGTACTGATATCTTATGATCACGCATTTTCACTTGAATACCAACATCCTTATATTTTGGTATCACATCATCGCTCCAATTCATTTCAACTGCAGCCACCTGATGTTCAGTTGTTGAAAAATCATCTGTAAATAAATGATTAATATCTTATTTATATACAATTCAATTAAGTGAAAATTATATTCTCAACAATACTAAATAATTTTAATATTATTTTAATTACCAATGTTACTGTCGATATGCAACGGTTCGGTTACAATAGACTCTGTGCATTCACATTCCATGCTACTATCGATTACTGTTATAGTTTGCAACATTTCGTTTAAGATTATTTTCTGCCGTTTTAGAGCTCCTGAACATGTCGGTTTGACGTGAGGAAGTTGTCTATCAGGTTGACAATTAAATATCGTAGGTAATACACCTTTTCTCAGCCGTATAGATGCATTTGGATCGAGTCGTACTCTCGTATAATTTTCTATATCTTCTTGCAACTTTAAAAGATTGTTACGATTACGTTTTGTTACTAATATATACACAATTCAGAGTTTCACTTACATAAAAATGATCTTGACAACAAAACAAACTGGTGCTGAGCGATATCGATGAAGCATCATTCTGTTTTGCGATATCGAACCATTTTTTCCTAATATTTCCTTTTGGTACCGATACAAAAATTTTAGAAGGCATAGAAACAGTTGTACTCTTACACAAGGGAACAAAACATCACTTGTAATTGCGTTTTTTAACTACATCTTGCATGTTTTCTGCGATTTCTGTCATTTTCGAAACAACATGCCGTACTTATTTACCGACTAATGACGTCACAAGACAACGCTACCAAAGCGCGCGAATAATTGAACTGTTTCAATCGATCGCAATTTTTAAACTGGTTAAAAATTTTATTTATCGACTTTTAATTATTTTTGTTATTGTAATAGTTGTTTTTAACATCAGAACTTTAATTATAAATAAAAAACCAGAAATTGTAGAGGACCCTATTTAACTTCTGCCAGAAAAATGAAGACAAGTCATAGTTACAGATTTTAAGATTTCGAATGCCACAAAATGGGGCTAAAAGCTTACGAAAGTTTGGCTATTTTCATGCAAAATAATTTAAAGTATTTTACGAGAAAATATCGATTCTTTTGTACTTAAGATTTTACACAAGAAAAGAATAAAAGTATTTAGAAAGAAAAAAGTATTTAGGAAAGAATAAAAGTATTAAGGAAAGAATAAAAGGAAAAGGTATTCACCCTTTGAGGCATAGTGATAAGTATATTTACCACCTATTTATTCTCACATTTTCATGAAATATTTCATTTTTGAAGGATTCTTGTCGGGTTTTTTGCGCTTTTTAGCTTCTTATATGATATGGGAACATATATGAAAGGTTGAAAAGTGTTTTGCATAAGTTGTCCATTTATTATAAATAAACAAAGTGTGAAAAATACACATTTCTACAGAAAAAATCATTTTCCACAAACTATGAGTGAATTTTTTGTTCAAAATCGAGATTTGAGGGTTTTTTGAGTCGCTGATTATGAATCTGAGGTCCAAATTCCAAAATTAATTTTCCAAGATGGCGGATCATAGAATTTTTATTAAATTAGCTAAAATTGTGCTCTGGTTAGTTTTTGAACTCGCTGATTATGAATCTGAGGTCCAAATTCTAAAATTTATTTTCCAAGATGGCGGATCATAAAATTTTTATATGATTAGCTGAAATTGTACTTTGGTTAGCTTTCAAGGTCGCTGATTACGAATCCGAGGTCTAAAATTCATTGTTCAAAACTGCAGATTCAAGTTGGCGAATCATGGAATTCTAATATATTTATCTGACATTGTCTTCCGGTTAGTTTTTCAAGTTTTCGATTACAAATCTGAGATGAAAAATGACGACTTTGAAATGGAAATTGTGAATGTCGATTTTCAAAATCGCGAATCATAGAATCTCTATATAATTGGCTAATATTGTACTTTAATCACTTGTTCTCTATCGTTTTGTTTACTGATCGTGAATCCAAAGTCGAAATCCAAAGATAAACTCCCAAACTTGTAGATAGAATTATTATAATGGAATGAGCTAAGATCCTGCATTGATTGATTTCCCGCAGATCCGTATTCAACAACTTCAAATATCCCTATGCCATGATTCGCTCTGACCAAGATCTCACGAATTTTGTTCAAGTATCTTCAATCTGACATCTCGAATCTCTAGAATCTGAAGACGAATTCGTAATCAGCGACCTCGATAATCCCCCCTCGTACAAATCCTTGTTAAGATTGTCGAAGTTTTCTCTTTTTTGGCCACTGAATCTTGAATCTTGAATTGAATTTGCTATCTTTAATTTTGAAAATCTGATAACAAATTTGTAATCAGCGACTCCAAAAACCCCACAATACCCATTGTCACCGAAATTATCGCGATTTTTCATATTTGTGGCCGCCATCTTGAATTTTTAAAATCTGATAACGGATTCGTCATCAGCGACCCCAGAAACTCTCGTATATAAATTTTCATGTAACTCGGATTTTTTTAAAAATACGTGCCTCAAAGGATTAAGAAAAGAATAAAGGTATTTAGAAAGAAAAAAAGAATTTTACTGACATTTTTTATTTTTCTTATTTTACATTATAAACAACCCTCAATAATTTTAATATTGATAAATTAACTTAGATAAAATAGGTTAATATAAATAGGTTAATTTTAAAATAATTTTAACATTTTAAAATAATTAATTTAAGTTAAAAATTGACAGTTCTGGAAAAATAAGTTAAATTAAACTAAAAATTAACTTTTTAATTTAACTTTTAACTAACTAATTAGTAATTACTTAATTTTCTATTTTTAATGAAGCGCATGTTTTTTGAATCTAGAGATTTGGTACTTTAGGCTTTTGCGGTGTAAATATATATTTTATTTGATTCCTGGGTTTATATATATGCTGCGTCCATCTGGGATTTATTTCCAAGGCTTCATCAATTGAAATGTACACGAAATGTTTAAACAAATCCAAGATGGACGCGGCACAAACCCAGAAATCAAATTAAATGCAGAGATTTGTTTATTATAATTAGATTAAAATTATACTAACTATAAACTACACTGGTTTATATTAAGATTTTTAGTTTTTCATTGCGCAACTTCTAATGACGTTAGGAGCAAGAAAATATATCCGAAAAATTCTCGCAAAAAATATTAAAATAAAAGAATATATTTATAAAATAACTGTATTTTCTATATTTATAAAAAAACTGTAATCAATTGAATAAATTTCTAAAATAAGTCAAACACTTTCGTTTTGCCATATCGATTAAATGACCATAAAATTAACATATACGTAGTATGCAATCTATCTTTTTAATCTATTTTTTTCCCATGATTCTATTACATTATTGTTATTTATTAGATGATGGAACAAAAGGAAAATATTCTGACTATTTTACAGATCTACTTAATCAATTGTGTCATTATTTATGAATATGTCTACCTTAACATATTTATGAATATGTCTACCTTAACATATTTGGCAAATAGAAGGAAGAGCTAGGTTTTAGAATGTATTTTTTGGTTTCTGATATCATAATTCAAGATGGCTGCAGTAAAGAAACAGAAGTCTTAATATATTGTTTTAAATAAACTTTAATTATATAATTATATAAGAAATGATACACAATTTCATTTCTTTAAGAAAACGCAATAATTCTAAATCTGAATTTTTTTTCCGAACATGCATTGTTATTCATTGGTTTTAACTTATAAATATTGTCCATAAATATTATCTTGCATAATGCAATGGTTTTTATTACATAATAATATAATATAGATTTATGAATACTGATGTTTATACTGACTAATACTGACTAGAAAATTAAGAAATAGCTCCTGAATTCGTTCTTCATTCTACAATATATATGAGCTGGACATTCTTTGAGGTTTAACTATATATAATTACAATCTATATTAGAGAAAAATAAGTATATTATGAATAATATTATTTATAAAACTCCATAAATAAAGATATTTAAAATTGTGCAATGACATACACACGCTAAGCCTCCACAGTCCACGTATCGTCTATTTTTCTTAACAGATTGTCAACAGATTCCTGCTGATTTGTGAATGAGATTTTGTCTATAAAGCTCGGTCGGTTTATCGCACACGTTCATATGCTAATATTGTTTAACTAATTATTTAGTAGAAATTAGAAAATCTGCAACTAGAAAAGATTCTCCTATCTAGTTTAACTCGGTTTATTTGTACAAGCGTTATGTCATTGGTTATTTGACACTCTGCATATATATATCGTTATACAATTTTAAATATCTTCATTTATAGGTGTTTTTGTAAATATAACAATTTATAATACGTTTGTTTTTCATACATTCTTGTATATATGATGTATAGTAAATATTTTATACGGTAGACTCCCTTTTTATTTGAACTCGATATAATTGGCAATATCGGCTCTCTCACGGATATTTTTCTACGAATCAGAATTTCGGAGTTATAGGTCTAGCTAAAAAACAAAATTAAAAATATTTCGAAATATGATACATTGTAATGATACTAATTTCTCTCATCTTAATCAGTCTTTATCTGTATTGTTCGAATTACTGTCATTTCGCGTATATATGTTTGTGTCGTAAATTTTTATTTATTTTTGATTACGATAATTTAAAATGACAAGTTTAAACAAGCATAAATAGAGTATAAACAGTACAAATAGAGTATAAACTAACAAGTATAAACAGAATATTAACTATTATAAAACTATAATATTAGAATATATTGGTAATGGAAAATATATTTTCAAATCTGCTATTTATTTTTATTTACCTATCCTGAAATTAGATTTCATAAGAGTTAAATTAATCAGGAGTCTACTATATAAGTGTGTATGTGTGCGTGCGTGCGTACGTATATATACATATATATATACATATATATATATATATGTATATATAAAATTATAATATTTACAATAAAATTGCAAATAAATATGTTTAAATATTATATACATTTAAATAAGTAATTGTTTCTCATTGTTAATTTGTGACATAGTTGTTTAAATTTTAATGATTGATATAAATATAATTAGAATATATATAATTAATATATAAGAAACAAAAGAGGCAGTATGATGTAATTACAATATATTGTATGTTTGTTAATAACTTGAAACAAATATTTTCACAGTTATAACCAAAATATTAAAAAATACATTCGTATTGAATAAATAATTTGTTATAAGAGCTATAATAACTTCCTATTATTTCATTCCTCAAGAATTTTCTTTTCAAGGAAAGAAGCTAATTCTTGAAGTTTGATAATTTGGCGAGAAACATTTAATACATCGTAATAGCATATATCATATGTATAGTCTAATAGTAATGTGTGTGTGTGTGTGTGTGTGTGCGTCTATATATATATATATATATATATACCAAGTTTTTCAAAAGTAACGAACCCCCCCCCCACTATCTCAGAATCTATGCATTATAGGAAAAAATAACGAGAACAAAAATTTTAGGGTTCATAAAGTTCTGGTTTTTATGTTCTCAAATTTGACCTTGACCTCGACCTGAAGGTCATTTGAAGGTCAACTTGCGTTTTTTAAATGGGGACCCCTATTTTTTATTATACTTTTTTTCTACCAATTAATTTGGACAACTGTTGTCTAAGACATTTTTTATTTGCCTAATATTTTTTTTAAATATTTGAGGAAAACTTGATAACTTTTTCAATATTTAACTTACAATATCTCGCTAATTATTTGTCGGAAGAAAAAGTGGTACTAGACTTTCTTGCTTTATTTAGTTCAAAAATATATTGTTACAATAGTCCCCTGACTTTTGTTAATTTGATGATTTTGAAATTTCCAAAAGTTCAGGGCGCTATTGTAACAATATATTCTTGGGACTAAATAAAATAAGAAAGTCTAATACCACTTTTTCTTCCGATAAATAGTTAGCGAGATATCGTAAGTTAAATATTGAAAAAGTTATCAAGTTTTCCTCAAATATCTCAAAAAATATTAGACAAATAAAAAAATCTTTTAGACAACAGTTGTTCAAATTAATTGATAAAAAAAGTGTAATAAAAAATAGGGGTTCCCATTTAAAAAAACGCAAGTTGACCTTCAAGGTCGAGGTCAAATTTAAAATCACAAAAAAGCTATGAACCCTAAAACTTTCGTTCAGATCATTTTTCCCTATAATGCATAGATTCTGAGATAGGGAGGTGGTTAAATAATAGACTATGTGATTCCATTGTATCCTTATAAATTTCAATCTTACATTTCAAACCATTCAAAAATTATTTAGGTAGCCCGGAACTTAGGTAGGCACTATATGTATATATATATATACATATTAAAAATACATATATATACATATATATACATATATTAGGTTGTTCGGAAAGTTCGTTTCAAATTTTTGAAATAAATTAAGAGCGCAATATTTTACACAAAGAGGAACTTTATTGAAGCAAATATGTACCGTTTTGTTCAACGACCTTGGCTCATCTTTCAGGAAGCTGCATAATGCCTTTGCTCCAAAATAAAGGTTTCTTATTGGCGAAGAATTTATCAAGATGACTTTTGAGGACTTTCAAAGACTCGAATTTCTTGTCCCGAAGAAAATTTTTTAAAGAAAGAAATAGATAGTAGTCAGATGGGGCAAAGTCGGGAGAATATGGAGGATGAGGAAGAACGTCCCATTCGAAGTGTAACAGCTTCCTACGGATAGACATTGCGACGTAAGGTCTGGCGTTATCATGATGGAAAACAATTCCACGCCTGTTGGCCAATTCAGGGCGCTTCCGTGCGATGGCAGTCTTCAGTTCGTCCAGTTGAAGGCTGTACTTCGCCGCGTTGATGGTTTCGTTTGGTTGAAGAAGCTCATAATATACCACGCCCTTAAAATCCCATCAGATACTCAGAAGAACCTTTTTCGCGTGAAGCCCCGGCTTGGCCACTGTTTGCGTAGACGCGCCGCTGGTTCCCCACGACCTCTTGCGGCTAACATAATTGTATAGAATCCAATTTTCATCGCCTGTTATGATCCTCTTCAAGAACAGTTCTTTTTGGTGCCGTTGAAGCAGCATATCGTAGACACGTTCCAGCAACTGCCGTTTATTCATTTTGTGTGGCACCCACACATCCAGTCGACTTGAGAATCCTAGCTTCTTCAGATGGTCATGCACGGTGGAAACAGACTTGTGCAGAGTGTCGGCGAGTTCTCTAACTGTCATTCGAGGATTTTGGTGCACGAGATCCATAAGAAGTTTCATCACCTCCTGAGGCTGGCCTGAGCGAGCTTGATGTTCCATGTCGAAATCGCCAGCTTCAAATCTTCGATACCATTTTCGAACTGTCTGGTGAGTGACGCAGGCATCTCTATATACTGAGAACATCTCATTCAGGGTCTGCGAAGCCGTGAAGCCACGTTTAAAGCAATATAGCATCACATGACGAAAATGGACTTTTTGGTTCTCCATTTTTCAAACTGATTTCTGACGAAATAGTTGCACTTAGGAAGATCTGCGAAGTTTCCTTAGCGGGCTCATAGATCCGGGAATGTTTGTTGACAAACATAAAATCGTTTAGAGCGTCCTCGTTCTTACTGATTACATAGAAATATGGAGCGCGCGAAATTTGAAACGAACTTTCCGAACAACCTAATATATACATATACATATATATACATATATATACATATTAAAAAGTGAATTTTAGAAAAAAACGTTTCAGACAAAAGTTGTAAGGTTTAGAAAGACGCATTCAACGGTAATATCTGCTTGACCTTGGGTGGTATTGCCAAAGTCAGGTCAAGGCCAACCTGATATTTGTAAATAGAATCCCCCACTTTTTATTACATATTCTTGTAGCTTACCTCGAAAGCTTTTCAAAACACTATACCAATGTCTTTTTCGTTAAGTACTTTCCAAGTTATGAGGCACGAAGGTTGCAGTACCGCCGACATTAGCATTATCCAAGATGTACCGCATGAAGGTTGCACGGTCAGATTTACATCTCGTGTGTGCGTGTGTGTGCAACCTTCGTGCCTCATAACTTGGAAAATACTTAACGAAAAAAAACTTTGTTATAATGTTTTGAAAAACTCTCGAGGTAAGCTACAAGAATATGTAATAAAAAGTGCGGGATTCTATTCTATTTACAAATATCAGGTTGACATTGACCTGACCTTGGCAACGCCACTCAAGGTCAAGCGGATATCACCGTTGAATCCATCTTTTTAAACCTTACTTTTGTTTGAAACTTTTGTTTGAAACGTTTTTTTCTAAAATTCATCTTTTAAGAGATATTTGAGTGCTTCCAGACTTATGCTACATCCTGTGTGTGTATATATATATATATATATATATATATATATATATATATACACATATATAAACTTTGGAGTATAAAAAAAAACTTTATACTCCAAAGTTTATACAATTAAGTAATATAATAATAATACAATATAGTGTATTCTTTTAGAATTGGAATAAGTTTGGAAGTACAATAATTAAATTAAATATTTAATCTTCTTTTCAACAGAAACATAACTTGAATAAGAAATTCTGATATCTGTGCGAAAATTTTTTTCCAAGTATTGGAAGTTATTATAATATAAAAGTACACTTTTATACACATTCATTTTATACACACTTTTATACATATTTATTTTATAAATGTTAATTATGTATAATCATTATTATGTATAATCACATTATCATCTAGATAGTTTAGAAAATGTCCTGAATAAAATAAGTATAATTTTTTTGAAGTTACTGCAAACTTGAAATAAAATTACAGATTATTAACCATTTAAAGAGAGAGATGACAATTTATAATATTACTGTATTATAATTATATCAAGTAAATTTGATTACGTAATAATAAATAATAATAAATAAATGCATATAAATCTCATCAGATTACATTCTCTTTATATATATATATGTGTGTGTGTGTGTGTGTGTGTGTGTGCACAAATTTTATAAGATAAATATTTAAATTGCTTTTACTTATAACAATTCTTCTCCATTTATTTGTTTTTAATTATTTCTTCTGTATCTTTTCTATAACAAACAGTTTATGTTATGTTTGTTTGTCCCTTCTTATTTCATCTCTTTTAATAATAAGATTAGTTCACATCACCAAAATTCCAAGAGACTTTTTGATACTAGATGTTTCTGGTAATGAAAGTGCCCATTTTCTTAGCCCCGTTAACAAAACTGAACTTGTGACCAATATTGCACCTCCTACAGAGTATCGATTTGGTATTTCATTAAAAAATAATACTTGCCAAAAAAAGGCAAAAACAATATCTGTGGATCTTGCTATGGCTACTGGGCCAGCTTGCTCAATCTGGAGTGCTAAAGTCAGTAAAATTTGACCTGCAAAACTAAACAATGCAAGTGCAACAACTAAAAGTCTATCTGTACCACAGCGTGGTAAACATAATGTACCAATAGCCCATGATATAAGTGTAGTTTGTATTAAAGCAAAGGAGCCAAAATTTGTCATTATAACAGAAAAATGAAGACCTTTTAGTGCTCTTAATAAAACATATGCATTTGCACCAAATAAAGTAGCTGAGAAAGCAGCCACAGCACCCCATAAATCTGCATGCCCCGGTTTAATATGACCATCTGACAGAGATTCTATAGTGAGACCAAAAATTAGAGGTGGTCGCGTTATTAATATTACACCAATCAGTGTTAAACATACAGTAACAACATTAAATAGCCCACATGGTTCTTTTAAAAATATTCGTGCAAATATTGCTACAAATACAGGAACAGAAAACACGACAACAGAGGCATCAGCCAATGGCATATGCCTAAATGCATAAAAACTTAACATAAGCCCTGTTGTACCAATAAAACTTCTTAAAATAAGTATTAGTCTATGCCCTTTGGGAAAAGGATGTTCACCTTTGTAAATTACAATTGGTACAGCTGGTAATAACACCCCTATAAATCTAAAGATTGCCATTTCTATAGGGTTCACTTCTACTAAACTCTTTACAATAACACTACATAATGAAAAGAACAGAGATGATAATGTTGCTAGTACCAAACCCAAGTAAGGACATGATTTGCATAATGAAATAGGTAAAGTTTTTTTACTATTTGTTGTATTATTTTCCACTTCAGCATCAACTAAATGTTGCAATTCCACGTGTTCTGACATATCTGAAAAAAATATCATGTTAAAAATATAATATGATAAAAAAGTTATTATAATAAGATAATCTCAAATAACTATTTTTATATACGCTTAATTTTACTTATGGATAATAATAGATAAAAAATAATACAGTAAAAGTAATTGTTTGTTTATAGATGTCAACATAAAATTTACTATTTTGGCTGTTATAAAATATGTCTTTATGTCTTAAAATTATATGATTATTAACTACTAATATTAAAGTTACAATAACAAAAGTAGTTATAAAGTTATAGTAATAATAGTAGTAGTTATAAAATAATAATATAAAATAATAACAAAAAACTGCAAATTTTAATAGTTAATATAATTTGATATTTCTAGTTTTTACATTAATTAATATAATCATATTATGCTTATAAATAATAAAAAATAAAAGTAATAAAAATAATATTGGAATATTTGCACAAGGTCTAATTCTTTAATTAATATTTAAATAAATGTTGAGAAAATAGAATGGATACAAGAAAGGAAAAATAATATAAAAAATAGTCCTCTCTTTTTCTTACTCTATATATATTACTTTGCATTTTAACCCATTTAACAGTTTCCTTTATTTTCAAAATCCTTCCCCACTAAATAAGGTATAGCACTTTAAGTACTTATATGCAAAGGAATTTATTATTACTTACCCAGAGCACTTCAAACACATTAAATTTGCCGGAAACGAGTAACAATAAGATATGCAATGAGCAATAATAACGAAGAATGTAGCCTAGATGGAAGACTAACGACATTAAACATCGCTAAGATTAATTTCTAATTCCAGATAACATTAACGAGTCCATATTTAATTGCCATTATATTTAGCAATCATATTATTACGAACTATCGACAAAAGTTAACATCACTATTGCATGTTTAAACTTTTGCCCGTAACACAAGTTATCTATTTACTTTTTCTATTTTCAGTGCTGTCTCTTATCTCTTTTTATATACAGAGAGAGACTGAAAATGATCGCACAGACGTTTCACTGTAAACAGTTTCGAATAACTGTTTGATATGTTATTTGCGCCCATTCTTAGACTATTTAACTGCACCCATTTTCTGGCACTATTGATAAAATCATTTGATACGTATCTTTATATATCTGCACGTTCCCCTTCACACTGAACTCTATACTGGGAAATTTAAGCCTACAGCACATGATGTTTGTTTTCTTGCTAGATCTCATGTGCTCATGTGTAGCTCATGCGTTCGGCCAGTTGCGGTTACAGGGATTTTGGCTGGTTGCATACAAGATGCGGTAACGCTTACCGTGCGGCAGAAATATAGAAACTATATTTCATTAAAGTTATAATAACAAAAAATCACAAATTTTAATAATTAATATAATTTAATAACCAATCAACGTCCCACATATCGCATGTTTCGTAAATACTATTTCCGGAGAAGCAGAATTTTGAATGGCTACCGCAATATTCCCTAGCCAACTTCCGCCGCGCAACAAGCGTAGGCCGGTTGCAATATGGACACAGTAGAGACACTGGCCACGTTTACACTTTACGACCTAATTGCGACCTGACCTATGCCGTGGCCTAAGCAGATTTAGTCCTTAACCGTTTACACCGAAAAAGACCTAAAAATTGATGAAGTTGTATTTAGTCCACTCTAGTCCGGCTTATCTTAACCTTCAAAATAGCATCTATATAACATATTTACACGTTTTTTATATTTGAAAGAAATAGGAGAAATATTGTGTACTGAAAAATTATGCAGCAAAGGAAAAAAATGTGGGACAAAATTCGACAGCTACACAGGATACAGAGAATATTATATATGGAATATATGAGAATGTTTCCTATGGCCAACATTTTGGAAATATATTTGGACATGATACAGATTGGAAGAAGTTTGTGAATGAAACCGAGAAGCAATAATTTTTGGAATGAAATAGTGCTATGTACGTATATAGACTCAAACTGGATAGAGTTTTCGAATGTGCAAGGAAACTTTCAATGAGTTATGTTTTTATTACAACCTGCTTTGGAGCCTAATACCTGTATTCATAGTCAGACCTTATATTTGAGCTTCCTTATATCCATCTTTAGATGCTACACGGATTATTTTATTGGCTACAGACCATCTGAAGATGAATTTAAGGAAGTCTTAAAATAAGGTCTGACTATGAATACAGGTGTAAACCTGTTATGTTAAAATCAAGAGAACAGTTATCAGTAGAAAAGCAAGTTGCTGTCGCTTTATACAAATTAGCAAGTTGTGCTTTAATAGGTTATACTTACGTTATATTGTCGAGTAGGAAATTACAACTAACATGCACGTTACATGTAATATTATGTTTGCTAGGTGCTGTTTGTAAAAAAATATATACATTTTCCATGTTTTTATGATTTATATCAGACCCAATGTACAAAATCAATGTAAAATTGAAAAATATATAATTAAAACCTATAATTAATATTGTTTTGATTGACGATTTTCTAATTACTAGAACACATATATGACGAAACTTATATATATTTGAATACGATGACATTGTTTAAGAAAGTTTCGGAAAATATATAAAGCTTAAAAAATAAAAGTAAAAATATTTCTCTGTAAAAATATTTTATTTATTACACTATCACTTCACACAGACAAATATATTGAAAAATGTATGCTTATCTAAAAAATGTATATGTGTGCGAAATATTTATTTCTACGTAATGAATAATATACCCAGTAAAATGCTAACAGAATGCGCGCAGATTGACGCCAATTTCGATCAGATCTCCAGATCAAAACCATAGCCATCTGTGTCCTCATTAGGCTCGTGTTTTGTCGACAGGACCTGTATAACAGGCCGTGCGAGCAGATTGTCGGCAGAAACCGTGCAGGTACTGCTGCCAAACTACACGTAGAGTCTGCACGTAGAGTTTGCTCAGTTTCTGCCGCCAATCTGCCGTCAAATTACTGCAAATCTTGCGCGGTTTTTGCTACAAATCTGCCGTCAAATATCTGACAACAGGATCTGGCGCATATTTGACCGCAGATTGGCGGCACAATTTGATATAAGATTCTGCGTTAAATTCTGCGTTGTTGCCTATTTGCCATTAAACTATGATAGCAGGCTTTGTTCGAAATCTGCTCGCGCAGGTTTGGCTATCTCTGGGATATATATTACATCTACATATAAAATATATGAAAAAAAGGAAAAAACCTATCTTTCAATCCTGAGTTCCTACCGCTGCTAACTCTTGTGTTTGCTGACTGTATCACACGATATTCGTCGACAACCCAGACAGCACACGGATGTCCATTGGACGTCCGTTATATGTCCATTTTTTTTACAAAAGACGTCCATAGGACATACGTTTGTCACAACTTCGGATGTAGAACGTCCGATGGACGTACATCGGACGTCCTACAGGTCCGATGTCCAATAAGGACATCCTTGTTACGTTCAATTTATGTCCATGGACGTAAATCGAACATAAATTGGACGTGAAACATACATCCACTGGATGTCCGGTGCTGTCTGGGAACGTATTGATCTTTATGTCTCATATCATACTGTATCAACTGTTTCTATCTTTATAAAATAAAAATACTATTTACAAGACACATTCGACGAAATGCACGGATATAACTCAACTTCTTTTTGATGTAGATTCACCATATGAAGGAAGATCAAAATCAATAAAGATTCAATCGCAACTTCCCTTTGTTAGTACTATGAGTACTATCTATCTTGTAAGTTTACGGAACTTTATATAAATAAAAAGTAGATTCCATTATTCGTTTTTATTAATTTCAAAGCCGATTATTTGAAAACTAATGCATATCGAGATTATTTAAATAACTATCGACAGAGTCTGCTCACCTTTTGTCGTTATCAGATTAATTATTAGAATGTGTTAACAGCATGGTTTCTGTCGATAAATCTTGAACTTGCGGACATAGATGGTTGTAAGTTTGTAGTGAGTTTGTGATCGAATCTGCTGCTAATTTACTAGAAAACTGCTAGAATTTTACTTACTGAACGTTTGACCTTAGGTGGTGTTGCTAAAGTCAAAGTGAACAATTCTTATATAGAAACATTTATTTTTCATTATATATTCTTGTAGTTAACGTTGAGTTAATAAAATTCACTTTCATCAAATGTTTTTCGAATTATTAGTTGACAAATGTCAAGTATCACCAATATTAGCATTATCTTAAGTGTACCACATGGAAATTGCTCGATTGTATTTACAAATCTTATATATGCGTCTACGCGCCTATGTGTATGTATGTTTATGTCGCAGCAGAAATAAGAATTCCACAGAGTTTCTCATTCCCACACATTTAATGATCCAAACCCTTTCTGCTATGTATATATGTGTGTGTGTGTGTGTGTGTGTTTGGTTTGTATATACATAATTTTTATATTATTTATAATTAACTATTATATAATCGAATACTTACCTTAAAACTGGATGGAATATTTCATATTTAAAAATTATGTTACTACTTTTTAGTAAATGTTTTCATTTGTATAATTCGTATTAACACGGCTATTTCATTGGCTATATATTACCTCAAGATTACGTAGCCAATAAAACGGTTGTAAACACAAGTCATATAAATGATAAGTACTCTATCATCAAATAATCATTCTATGATATTTTTATAAATAAAGCGCGAAGAATATATCATTAAGTTTTAGCAATATCTAATTCAATGACATATGTTGACATAAGGAAATAGTAGAAACAATACATTGTACTATTCATTATTACAAGAATTTTTCTCACTAGATACAATAGATAAATGTCAAAACAGCCAATCAAATGAAATGTTGTGACTTATTACTGAATTATATAAATAAACTATTTGTACATCATATAAGTTACAAATATATCTTTTTTACTTTCGAGTGATAATTCCTGAATATTTCCAAATGATAATTGAAAAATATCTCTACAACCATAAACTTTCACTCATTACTTATTATTCTTAAGTTTGTTTGCCAATTAATAAGTTTCCAAGTAATAAGAGTTAGGAAACAATTCTAGTTACATACGAAAGAAGAGGATTTGAAAATCAGAATAAGGTGTTTCTTTCTCATACAAAACATAGCGATTTTATTCTACAAATAATGGGATAAATTCTGGTTAGTTATTTTTTGGAATCTTGCTTATCGTCGGTTTTCTTTTTTCTATTCGTTACTGTATCTTTCTTCAATACAATACACCGAGTTCATATCATACACGGTGCATACACACGCGCGCGCGTACATACACACACAAACGCAACACGCGCACGCGCGCGCGTATGCGTACAAGTGTGTGTGTGTGTTTGATAATATTAACAAATACAGTGTAACACTCAAAATAATGCTGATGAGCACATAATCCGACTTCTTTGTGAAAATCACGGTATTGAATGCATCAAACTGCAGTGCAGCAATGTAGGCGTAAATGCCGAACAAAGTACGGTCGGCCCGGATGATCACGCTGTCGTAACGTTTGTAGATACTCTCAAATCCCTGTCACGAACGGCGATGACACTGTTGCTGACGCTGCTATCGTCGCCAGCTGCGCGGTTCTCCATCTTCATCCTCTTCTTCCTCATTTTCCTCTAGAAGTAACGCCTCTGCTGTAACGCCCTGGAAATTGAATCAATATTTAAAAATTTGACAATTAGTCGAAGATATCACTAAGATATAAAAAGAAATAGAGAATAAATATCAATGGCAATTTTATGATCAATGAAAACTTGTGATAGTGGAAAATTGATAAAAAAAATATAAGAGATAATTTATAATTATCTACATTTCTTTGAAACTTTTTACATCGATAACAAAGAGAGTATCCTTCTGCATGGACCACTCTTCTAAAATGAAACTTATTAGTTGAATTCAAGGGATCACATTAAAATTAATTCTCAAGATCCCAAATACGGACCTTGAATAGTATAAAAGACAATATTATAAAATTGAATAATTTAAAAATATTTTTATCCTTACTCCCCATATAAATAACTTTGATCTTGACATTATACTATAAAGGTCATAGTCCTGAATATTTTTTATCAAGTTTTAGCCGCTATTCATTGCTCTTTAAATAGTCAGTAACAAAAAAGTTTGAAGGTTATATCAGTTATATCTTAAAATATATTCAGTAGAATAATAACTTGACATATGTTGTCACAGTCAATGTTTTGAATAACCTTTAAAAAATTTAGAAGCCAACAATCATTGTTTATTAAAAAGTTATTAATAAGAAAATGTAACGAATAGAATTTATTTTTTTAACACTATGTAAATTATATGTTTTTCATGTGTGTGTAATTTAAATCTTTTGTTTTAATAAAAATTGATGAGGCTATCATGTCATTTGGTCAACTTGCGTTTTTTAAATGAAAACCCTTATTTTTTATTACACTGTTTTTTTCTACTAATTAATTTGAACTGTTGTCTAAAACATTTTTTTATTTGTATAATATTTTTTGAGATATTTGAGGAAAACTTGATAACTTTTTCAATATTTAACTTACGATATATCGCTAACTATTTGTCGGAAGAAAAAGTGATACTAGACTTTCTTACTTTAGTCTCAAGAATATATTGTTATAATAGCGCCCTGAACTTTTGGAAACTTCAAAATCATCAAATTAACTTTTTCTTCCGACGAATAGTTAGCGAGATATTGTAAGTTAAATATTGAAAAGGTTACCAGGTTTTCCTTAAATATCTAAAAAAATATTAGGCGTATAAAAAATGTTTCAGACAAAAGTTGTTTAAATTAATTGGTAGAAAAAGACGATGTAATAAAAAATTGGGGTTTCTATTTAAGAAAAATAATTATCAGCGAATATCTCAAAAGTGGTGCCATTTGTAAACAAAATAGCATATTTATTTTATGTCCTCCTTGAAATCATAAAACTTTTGTTCGAAACATTTTTGCTAAAAATGCTTCGTTGAAGAATTATCGAGGTACGTTTTTTAAAAAAGGGCACTCCATATATAGTGATAAAGCATTATCTCTACAAAGCTTGTTTACCATAACGCATACGATTCTTTGCTAATCTTCTTTAATAAATAACTCTAAATTTTACATGATTGATTACGAAATAGTAAAGAATCATTTTGATCTAATCTACAATCTCATGACGGATATTAATTATACTTACTGTCAGATTCTGTACATATTTATTAAACTAAAATCGGATATAGATATTTCCCGGATGTTCCTTGTAAATTACTACTAATAAAAATTATTTTACATGAAAATGAATGCTTTTAAGGTAAAACTTACTTCTAAATCGATATCATCGTCTATTGTAGGTGCAGCTTGTTCAGAATGCGATGAAAGTTGTATAGGTGCATTTGAGTTACTACCAGCTCCTCCACGATGTAAATGATGTCCGGATACCCAAGTTATTGACAACAGTCTATCTTGAAATGTGCGTCCTTTTATTAGAGCAACTTCTGCTTCTTTCCTTGATTTGAAATTGATCACAATCGAAGGAGTTGCATCGTCTACTATTTGATTTACTATTTCACCAAATTGCTGAAACAAAAGATAAGCTTCTTTAACTATATGTATTATATAAACTATTAGTTATTTAACTGTATAACTATTTAATTGTATAAACTATTACAACTATATAAACTATTTAGAATGTTATTTAAAAAGGTTCCGTTATTCCCAATTATTTCCACTTGACACATCTGATATAAAATATGTTTTCAGAAAAAACAAATATAAAACATCAGTATTTTAAATATACTGATCGTTAAATACTGTAATTTTCAATATTAATAAAATTACAAATAATTTTGTGCAAAAAGTTTTACTTGCACGGTTACTACGTTTTCGGGCGTAAATTTCTAAAATCAGAACAGCAAAAAATTATTGAGTGATAAATTTATAGTTATTATCCCTAAAACAATACAATCCATATCTTTAATATTCCAATTTCTTAGAAACTTCAAGCTGACAAAATTTTTTTTATTCAGGGGAAGAAATCCTCATGGATATTCCTTGAAGGAGACGAATTTTATTCCGGACTCTTACCGGTTAAAACTCCGCGGGATATCTACCAGCCGGGCCGGAGTAGGGGAGCTGGAGGATCGACATCACATTCCCTCGCCAAAAAAGTTTTTTTTCACACTCAGAATAACTATGACTCTACACAGTTTGTCAGTTCATTGTACAACGAGATCCTAAGCAAGCTAGGTTCGATCGTCGTACTCGGCAAACTGTTTAGGTATCATCATTGTGTGAGTAAAATCATCGTAAAATGAGAGAAGGGAAAAATTTAGAAAGAGGACGTACACACAAATCAACTATGCGTGTCATTATCTCTTCCCCCTCCCTCTCCATCCCCCTCTCCCTCTTTCTCTTCCTTCCTCTCCCCCCCCTCTCTCTCTCAAGCTAACAAAATTGGCCACAAACGAAACTTTTTCATTTAATTTATGCTATTTGTAAAGTAATCAATATTTATTACCAATGGTGGTAGAAATGTTAGCCACAAGTTTAATAATTTTCCTAACATTTTAATTTCACAAGCATGTTAACTGCATAACATCTGTTAACTGTAAACTGGTTCATGTAAATAAAACTTTCGTTCAGAGTAATAGAAATTATTTATAACTTTATTCATTTCAAAGATGTAGAAATTATTGTATATAGTTAAATAAAGCATACACGAATATTTGTGCAAAATTTCAGAATTATATAGGAGAAAATCGCCGATATTGGCTCTTAAATCGCACTACCTTTTTGTTTCATAGAATCCAAAGATTTAACGTTATTTGTATATTATGCGAAGTTTATTCATTGCTATAAAGTTAACAAAGGGAGGTGAGTATTTATGTAGGAAAACGTCTCATTAAAAGAAGTAAGTAAAGGTCCTTTTTAATTTTATAAATAAATTTTACTTTTAGAAATTTTAATTTTAGAAATAAATTTTACTTTTAGAAATTTTAATTTTAGAAATAAGTTTTACTTGTACATAAGGCATTTAGAAAGTTTCCGAAGATATGTTAATTTAATCGCTTATCATTTTTATATTAAAATTAACATACATGGTATAATTTGGTATAATAATCTTAATAATGTACTATGAATATATTTTACTGGGGGGTAAAGTTGGATAAAGCTAACTAGCAGCAGATGTAGCGAAGTAATAAAATCAACAGAACCCTAGCTTCTCCCTACTGAAGATCGTGCAAGGTAAAGAGCCTCACTCTACTAGAAGTGCCTCTATCAAGCAGAACACCACGGATCTAGACAAGTCAAGATCAATAAAAGATTCCCTGCTCCAAGCTGTGTGTCGTGATTAATAAATATTACCAGGGAAAATGGCGCCAGTTGTCTACGTACAACGGCAACTGCAACACCACTCCCTGCTGTCGTTGTCATGTCTCGCGGGCGGAAAATGGAGGTCCTGGCTTAACTGCCGAGGGGAGACAACTTCTATAAAAAACCCTAAGCCAGTGGTGGAACAGTTTATGCCAATAGCTGCGTAGTCAGGAGAGAGCTTGGTCTTTAATAAGCGAACTCTGGAGACCTGGGGGCTTCCTGTTTTATTACTCCCTTACTGTGGCATGCAGGGCTCTGCTATAGCGGACTTGTCTCTCCCTAGTGTTCGTGGGAACAAAAATGGATCCTAAAGCAGATATTTTAAAAGAGTGATCTATCCTGAGACCCACTCGAGGACGGAAGTACTTCTTCTACAAGGGGAAGAGGGTACGGAAGCGGTCACTGCCTCTCCCTCCAACTCTACTGATGGCTCCGAAGTCACGGACTTCACTATGTAGCTCCAAAAGTCCGTCAGGAAGCTCCAGCTGCGAGAAAAGAATCTCAGCGAGGCTGCCAAGAAAAGACTCAAGTGGCTGATAAAGCATGGAGTGCTTCGTAAAGAGGCCATAGACCTCAGAGGTCGTGGAAACGCTTCAGATGAAGACACCTACAGCCTCTAGTTTCAAGCAGCTATATAGGGTATAAGAGTTGACATCCTTCACAAGGGATACCCTGAAACCAGCCTCACTAACGAACAAATGAAAGCTGTTCAAGAGGCCATCTTGTAAAAAATAATTTAACTGGAGGAGGGCTCAGTAAAGCCCAAATTTCTGAGTTCCACTTTCAGGACTGGGATTGCACTCACCTGCGCGGATGATGCCACCGCGAATTGGTTCAAGGTAAGTGTCGAAACCTTGATACTCTGGAAAGGGGCTAACCTAAAAGCAGTGGAAGGGGAACTGCCAAAGGCGATCATCGCCTATTTCCCCAATAGCGTGGAAAAAATCCTGAAGCTGATTAAAGGACAAAACGAAGGCCTAAACATAGCGGAATGGAGAATGCTAAAGAGCACTCAGGAGGATGCCATTACACATCTAACGATGTTGGTGGACGGGCCCTCTGCTGAGACCCTCAAAACAAATGACTAAAGTCAATTACAAGTTTGGTCAGATTGCCATCAGACCGAAGAGTACCAAGACACACGGTCTCCGACTGGTGGGCAACCAGCCAAAGTGCCCCCAGGCAAAGGCAGTAAAAAAGTTCCTAATGCTCCTTGCGCCAAGCCCAGACCTAAAGTAAAGTAAAGAGGCCAAACGCTGAAGCCTCTACCTCCCAGCCCTCGATGGGAAAGTCCATCGAAGGACAAAAAAAGAGGAGAGGGAACGATAGTAAAGGAACCAAGGCGCTTTCCGAGGACCCTAACCCTTCTCTCGTACAGACCAAGGAAAACTAATGGTCCAAGGGAACTGCAAGTTCCTCCAAATCAACCTCCAGTATAACAAGGTGGCCTCCGATGTGCAGGAAATTTAACGACACAGACGGATATTGTGCTCATTCAAGAGCCATATGTCTATGGAGGCCTAGTCCACAGACTAACAACTCCTACAGATAAATTGGTAAGGGATATATGGTATTGATAAGGGTATATGGTAAGGGAATAGAAAGGCCTAAAGCAGCAATACTGCTAAAAGCGTATCTCATTTCTACCGCTGTCACAATTTACTTGCAGGAACCTAATTGCGGCACAAGCGTCAGTAGTAACGGAAAGAGGCAAAAGATAATAATTGCTTCGGCCTACCTCCCTGGTAAAGGAGAGGTGCCACCAATAGAGGCCGATAGTTTCACTGAATACTGCAGATTGGGAAACAGAGGACTTATCCTCGGCTGCGACGCAAATGCGCATCACCCGGTATGGGGAAGCTCAGGTGTCAACAGCAGGGATGATGTCTCTCTTAGAATTCATCTACAAAACCAATTTAGATATTATCAACAGGGAGTCAAAATCTACCTTTGTTACTAGAGTTAGACAGGAGGTTCTAGATATAACTCTAGCGACTCCACTACTCAGTATAAAAATCGCCTACTGATATGTTTCGCAAGAAGCTCTCACTCTCGGACCACATATTGTCTTTACTCTAAGGCCTGAGAAGCTACAACCAGAGCAAGTCAGGATCCCCAGGTTCATTGATTGGGCGCTATATCGTGGAAACCTGATGAACGGGATGATGGAAGTGAATGATATTGTGAAAAATAGAGGAGTTTGATATGACTTCAACCAAATTTCACAATGTCATTCATAAGGTATATGAACTAAGCTGCCCTACAAAGGTCAAAAAGTCCACAACAACTTGGTGGAAAGACCTGGTGGATAAAGACTTGGAGATATTATGCATCTCTGCGAGAAAGCTCTTCAATAAAGCCAAAGGGGCACGTAAACAGAAGCTCTGGGACCTGTATAGAGAAGCCTTAATTGAATACAACAAAGAGCTAAGAAGAGCAAAGAGGAAACATTGGAGGAGCTTCTGCGAAGGCATCATTGAATTGCCTGCAGCAGCCCGCATACAAAAAATGCTCGCTATAGAACATTCAAATCAAATAAAACATTTGCAAAAAGCAGATGGAACATATACGAAGGACACAGGTGAGGTGTCAGAGCTGCTCATTGGTACTCACTTCCCTAGTACCCTCAAAACAACAATCAATACCTGTAGTTGTGGGGTGGAGGAAGGACGGACCTGTCTGCCCCCCGCCTCTAATGCCATACGTTTAGCAAATAAAATAAAATAAAATTTTCACCCCTGACAGAGTGAAATGGGCCTTTAACACACCCTATAAATCACCTGGGGAAGATGGAATTTTTCCGGCCCTACTACAAAGAAGCATTGACATTTCAATTGACTCTCAAAAATCTGCCTTCTATACAAAAGTAGTTTCGCCCTAAGCTACATTCCAATAATATGGAGAGGCCAATGTGGTCTTTATACCAAAGGGTGGAGGACGCTCTGCAACCCAATCCAAATCACACAGGCCTATAAGTCTCAACTTCTTTATGTTAAAAAGCATAGAAAAATACTTGATAGATCAATACTTAAGAAACGAGGTACTGATACACCTCTCCACAGACCTCTCCGCAGAAGTCAACATGCGAAGTCCACTATCAAAAGGTTTACTATCACAGCCTTGCACACTCTAGTAAGCAAAATCGAGAAGACCTTAGTCGCAAAAGAGATAGCCCTATGGCTTTCATAGACATTGAAGGGGCTTTTGATAACACCTTCTTTGACTCTATTGAAGTAACAGCCAATAGAAAGGGCTTTCATCCCACTATCACCTCATCAAGGTCATGCTTAGTTATAGGAAAATCAAAGCAACCATGGCAGGAGAGTCGATGGTCGTCGGAGCGAGCAGAGGTTGCCCTCAAGAGGGATCTTATCGCCTCTCCTCTGGTCGATTGTGGTCGATGATCTCTTATACAAACTGATTGACAACGGATACACAGTACAAGGGTACGCGGATGATCTAGTCATCGTTGTTCGCAGTCAGATTGAAGCTATTGCCTCACATAATATGCAAAGAGCACTGAACATCACAGTTGAGTGGGGTCAAAAGCAGGGCCTGTATCAATCCTAATAAAACGGTCTTGGTGCCGTTCAGTAAGAGAAGAAAGCTAAATCTAACAGGTCCCACACTGGACGGCACAAAAAATGATCTTCAGAACAAGGTTAAATATCTAGAGGTTATCATTTATCAGAAACTGACATGGAACTCCCACCTCGGCAAAGCATGCAAAACTACTTTTGCTATGCACACATGCCGAAGGTTAATCGGCGGAAACTGGGGATTTAGGTCAAGTATAATACACTGGTCATACAAAGCCATAATAAGACCCATAATCACCTACGCAGCGCTGGTACAGTGGCCAAAGACCACACAATACTCAGCACAGGCTCAGCTGCGGCATCTGCAATGACTTGCCTGCCTAAATATCATAAGGGCTATATGCATCTGTCCTACAATAGCTATGGAAACTATGCTGGACCTAACGCCCCTCCACTTACAAATGCAGAGAGAGGCGGTCAGCAGTGCGCTCCTCATCTTCGTCCGAAAACAAAGCTCACTGGCCACATGGGCATTCTTAGGTCAAGCAGCCTAGGATGGATGGCCCAATATCCATCGAATAATGTCTATCAGATACAACTTTAAGCCTAAGTTCAAAGTGAGCCACATGGACCGAAACGCATAGAGGTCTGGGGAGTCCCGTTCAAAAGGGGATCACTTCAATGGTTCATGGACGGCTCTAGGAGAGGAGACGGCTCTCTCAGAGCTGATATCAGCGGACCCAACTGCCGCATATCAGCCTCGATGGGCCAAATCTCCACAGACGGAGATTTACGCTATAAATTTCTGTACCCTAATCATCCGGAAAAAGGATATGAAGGGCGCAACCATAGACCATTCACGGACATTCTCACGGATAGTGAAGCTGCGTTAAAAGCCTTGACTGCCTATACATGCGAATCAAAGCTGGATTGGGAATGTCTAAACCTGGTGGAATTATCGAAAGATAACCATGTGACACTCTAGTAGGTTTCAGGTCACGAAGGTATCAAAGGAGGCAGACAGACTCGCCAAGTAGGGAGCGAGCCGGCCCCTCTATGAACTTGAAACCTTGTTGCGGAGCAACTAAAAGTCACCACAAAATGCACATCCGTAAGTGAGAGGAGGACCAAAAGGCCTCACACTGGCTGCGCACAACTGGCTTACACCAGGCGAAAAAGTTTATTAGCGTTTCGCCACAAAAGGCTAAAGAACTTCTCATCTTGGATAAAAGGGACTTGGGCATCCTCATTGGCCTTTATACTACTTTAGGCTACTGCAGCCTAAAGTACCATCTATATAAGGTAGGTAAGGCGGAGAATGATATATGTCGACTGTGCGGCGAGCAGAAATGGCGGAACACATACTGTGTCTATGCTCTGCTGCTGTCCCTCAAAGACAAATTGCTCTGGGTCACTTAATCATGACCCCAGCAGAAATAAGGGAAATAAAACCTAGGCAGGTTATAGGATTCTTCAAGGAACTCAATCTGTCTCACGCTTAAAGCAGTGGGAAGGGTTACAATAGACTTTTTAGGTCGCAGTGACTAGGGGCTGCTATACTGCCCTCCTGACTCACTTGCGGGCACCTCTATCATTATTATTATCATTATCATATATTTTACTGCCATAATTTAAAAAACATGACTGGTTTCTTAAATCGTATCATCTATTGATTGCCTATATTGTACCGGTACAATTCAAAAATTTCCAAGGAAAATTACATACATGACAATTGTTCTTTAAGCTTATAGAAAACAGTTTATTTCTCTCTTGTGTGTTACTTATATTTATTTTTTACTTTAATTAAAATTAGATTTTTGTTTAATAGTTGTTTCTAAACTATCTTCCAAAATTGCACCACTTGCAGAGGTTTTAAACAAGACGTATCTGCAGAAGACATTGTACAAAAGATCTCAGAAAGTTAGAGAATATTACAAACAAATAAAGAATAACTTCCAATTAGTCCTTATCTTATTTTATTAAATATTTGCAAATTATAAAAAAAAGAAATTAAAAATTAGTTCAATAGAAACAACCTACTTCATAATCTTTTTGTAAAAGAGAGAGAAGGAGAGGGAGAGAGGGAGAGAGAGAGCGAGAACGAGGACAAGAGAGAGAGAGAGAGAGAGGGAGAAGGAAAAAAATCCTGGAAATCACCTACAAAAACAAGTTTCAAATGAGAATACTCTTTTAAAAGAATAACAACGAAATCTACAATAATGTCCTTCTTTAATTTTGATCAGTTGTAACATGGTAATTTAGACCAAAGTAAGGGACATGTATTTCTTTATTATAGGTTCATTATTATTGATTTTCTAATAAATTTCTAAGTTTATAAAGTACAGGGAGATGTTGTAAATTTTAGTGATATAGTATTTTTTCTATAAACTTTACGTGTATTAGTTGCACAAAATCACGAATGTTTTTACACGATAAAAGAATATACAAGATGATTCAGAATAATTAGCTATCCTTAAAATGACATTTTTTAACGAATTCTGGCACAGTTTTCCCTCTTGCAAAATGTTATCTAAAGCTTAGTTTTAGAGTTATAAAGTAGTTTGCTTACAACTCGAATATAGAAGATAAACGAGGCAGTCCTCATCACAAGTTACCTAACAGGCGCTTATGTTGGCCTAATAAGCTTATCGTTGTACGTAATAATATTGCACACATTATTTCTACAACTTCCGTTGAACTGCGATCGACGGAATTTGAACCTCTGTTCTCTTGAATTTTGCCCGTCACAAGAAGAAAGGATCCATAACTCACGATCGAACTGAATGTAAAATTGAAAATAAAACTTTTTAATATTACGGGAATGAACATGCGCTAACAAGTGCTGTCATTTTCAAAACAAGTAATCTTTACAAGAGAATATAAATTCGTCGGTTTTTATTAAAAGTAAGAATACCTTATGCTTTTCAGACCAAGATTAATATTCTTTCTCGTTTATATTTTCCGTTTTTCTCATTTATATTTTCAAAGCTTATTTTCCAGCTTGGGAACGCTCGCGTAATCAAATATTTTATCCTCAAACATTAAAACACATCAACTTAATTTGATTATAATTAATCTGATTTTATAAAATTTTGTATAATTTCATATAATCAATTTAATATATATTTTACATAATTAATGTAATATAATAATTAATTTAAAACGTCGTTCGTTATTAATCTTCGCATTAATCCTCGCTGTTTGACAGTCACATTAATCCATTTATGTCGAAGAACATTGCCGTGAACTATTGCATTTTGCTGTGCAATCACGCGTTTGTAAAAGAGAGAGTATAGGCTTCTCTTCAAATCCCTTCGTGGCATTCGATACAATCATTAACGAAAGTTATAAAAATGATGTATGCAATGTTATTACGTGCAATGATAAGCTCATTGCATTAGGCTCAATGTAAGCACCTGCGTTTGACGGTGAGTTGTGCCGTCTCTGCCTATCTCCTATACCCGATCTATAATAAGCAAACTATTTATCTTTACAACTCAAAAACTAAGTCTCGGATAACATCTTAACATGCAAGAGGCAGAATCGTATTAGAATTTGTTCAAGAATATATTTTAAGAACAGCAAGTTCTAAATCGCCCTGTATATAAAATTGAGTTCGAACATTATTCAATAAATGACGAAAACAATAAAAATTTAATAAAAAAATTACAAAATTGACAATTTGAGTTTCCAACATAAATATTTGCTTAATACAAAAATTTTTTAACGTGCGAATACCAAAAACATATCATTCGCTCCATTCAGAAAAATTTCAAAGAATATTGCTTTACAACTAAATTCAAAAGAACAAAAAATATACGAGAGAATTTTTATGCACGTGTAATTATGTTTATTATTAAATATAATAAAACAAAGCATATATTTATGTGAGGTATATAATAAATACGAAAAGAATAGATCCGAAAGATAGGTATATGTTAGTGCTTACCTGACACAATATTTAGACAATCATTTTTAGATTATTTTTCCTTAGTTTCCATTATACAAGAAATGAAACTATATAATATAATGTTATTACATTATATTATGTTATATTTTATTGCATTATATTATAACTGGATATGTTAAAGATGTAAAAAACATAAAGGAACATAAGTATTCATTTTTATATAAATTAATAAAATAATATATAACATAGGAATTTGAAAATGTTGATTAGGTATATACAGAAATTATAAATAGGATTGATTAAAAAAAATATTTTTTTTCGTTTCTATCTTAATCCCATATTTCTATGTATGATCCAGTTTACTTTATCTGAATAAGTAATATAAATTCGTATCAAGTTCTGATTTAATGATTAGTTTTAAGTAAATTTGTAATTAAAATTTATATGACTTATTCTTTAAACAAACAGCATATGTCAGGAACATATTTGTTGTACTAAAGACACTATAACAATTAATATATTATAATCAAGAATTAATATATTATAATCATATCTTACTTGAAAATGTGCTAAGACTTCTGTTTTTTCCTCAGTTTCGTATCCGGAGACTAGAAGACTTGTTGGTCGATGATCAACTGAGACATGAGTGAAACTTCCTCTACCGCGACCTCTGTACAGCATATGTGCACCACGTGTCACTCTATTAGCTCTCATGCCTCTATTAACGCCAGAATTTGTATTCAAACCTAATACAGCCGCTTGAGCTCGCAATTCATTTAGTCTCTTCTGTAATTCTCCAGCATCTTGACCTTCTTGTTGCGCTGTCATTAAATCTAATTCAGCATCTAATATTTCTTTCTGAGTTTGCTCTCTAGATTTCACTTGTGGCTTACTACTGTTGATTTGGCCGTTTGCGGCTAAATCCTTGCGCAAATTATCGACAGATTGCTGCATAGCTTTTATCGTTGGCATGATCGATTCTTTTTGCTCTGGGTTCTTTTCGGCCTTGTCGATCAAGGCACGTAACTCAATGAGATGTTTATCTAACAATTCTTGTTTCCTTTTGCGTAAATCGGCGGTAAGTTTCAACGCTTCTTTACGCTTCTCTTCTTGTTTTTTCTTTAATGTCTCTTTAGCTGCTAATATCTCTTGTGTTTTCTTTATTGCAAGAACTTTATCTTCTCTAGTAGAAACAACGATGGTTTTAGGTGAAGTTGGAATTAAAGTTTGCGTAACTTGTTCCTCACTAGAACGGCGTGTGGGAACATATTCGTTATCTTCAGTTTTAGTTGGTGGTAATGTCACAGCAGCACCTAGCCTTTCTTTCACTGAAGGACGACATCCTAAAAGTAAGAAAATTTAAATATTAGGCAAATATTCACATAAGATCAATCCCTTTAAAGTATTGATAAATAAAGTGTAATTAATGATCTTGACTTATTTTATCAAGATTATACTTTTGAATAATATTTAAAAGTTCTTAGCCATCGTTTACTATTTATAAAGTTATTAAAAAAGTTTGGAAAAAAAAATAAATTAGGAACGTATATATTGGAATAGTTATACAGGGTCTGTCAAAAGTTCCGGAACGGCTAATTATTTTAAAAATAATGATTGTTTAAAACAATGTTTGAAATAAAAGTTGTAGGGCTTAAAAAAAGCTATCAGATATTGATAATTGTTTGACCTTGGGATGACCTTGAGAAACGTTATCAAGGTCGACATAAAAATCTTAAACGGAACCCCTATTTTTTGTTACATATTCTTATAGCTGACGTTGAGACGTTTCCGACACATTGGTTACAAATCTTCTTCCCATAAGAACTTTTCTAGTTATGGGACTTGAAAGTTAAAATACCACCGGTATTAGCATTACCGTGTAATGCTAATAAAGGTGTACCACGTAGAGTGTTGCGCGCCCCCCCACACACACGCACACGCACACACACACACGCGCGTGCACACATACACACACGCGCGCGCGCGCACGCACGCACGCACGCACGCACGCACGCACGCACGCACGCACGCACGCACGCACGCACGCACGCACGCACGCACGCACGCACGCACGCACGCACACAGAAAATACGTTTATATAAAAAATATTTTGTTATATTAGATATACAAATTAATTGTACTTTGTTTTTAATTTAACTTCATTTTAAAATTAAATATTTTCTGCCCTTTTGTGGTTTGCAAGTATAGATTTCTGTTTTCAAAACATTATCATGCCATGAAAAAACAAACAACATAACTTTATAAGGAAATAATAAACATGATAACATCCAAAAAGCAATAGTTGAAGCACTGTATCTTAATTTTTTCATGACTTTAAAGAGTATTTTTGTTAGATTAGGTTAACTTAAATAATACTTTACTATCAAAATTGCAATACTTATATTTAATATAAAAATGTTTTCAAAGTTTTTACAGTTAATGAAATAAGTTTGCTTTATAGCTTTGGCTATCGAAATAAAGTCAATTAATTAAAATTCTTATTTTATGTGATTGAGAGTAAAACTTATAGAATGTAAAACGTGAAACCTTATAATAAAAAAAATCTATATATATATGTAATGTACAAAGTATAATTGTCTTACCTGGTGGTACATTTTCGATAGCTCCAGCAGCCGTATTATTATTGATACTGTTATGCCAAAATACTTTAATAAATCTATTGTTCAACACAGCCTCTGTACTTCTATAAGCAGCTTTTGCTTCTGCTGGCAGTTGGAAGGTAACCAATGCCGCCTCAGGATCTCCACCAAAATTAACTTGAATATTTACAATTTTACCAAATTTAGAAAAATGATTATTCAATTGGGTTATATTGTTTAAACTTCGTGGAACTTTTTTTAGCTCAAGAGAACAGTTGGCCGGGTTATGTACTACTCTTTGCTTTGGCCCTAGGCGATTAAAATCAAATGCTTGTTTGCGCTTTAAAGGATTGCTTTGAGTATGAGTTATTTCTGAAGAATTTGTGTGTGGAATAACTGGCACACTGATCAGTTCCCTTTGTCCTCTGCCATAAATCCCAGGTCCAGATTGTGGATGTCTACCCCACTGTATACGTGGTTCCATGCTGGGCGCATCCGGATTATATTCTGCAAAAGCATCTGAGATGTTTTATTCGTTATATTTTAAATATATCCAACTTGTTGCATTTATATTATAACTTACGAAGTAACCAAATGATTGTAAGACAACATAATATTTTTGTTAACTACAAACACATTTGATAATCTACTATTAATAGAGACAAAGGTCTTATTAGATTTTAAATCACAGTTTTTATTATATAAAAGATAAGTCGTTTAATCTCTGTTGTTTCCTATAGTAAATGAAAATATATATATAAAACATACTAAACAGCATCATAACAACATTATAATGTATATGTATACAGGGTGTCTGATAATTAACTGCCAATCCGAAATGGTGAAGGATTGGGTTAAGCTGAAAAGAAAAGTAAAATATAATTTTGCAAGAATCGCAATAATTATCGAGTTATTAATAACAGAAATCTGAGCAGTGGGAGCGTGCTGACATAGATGATTGGAGAAACGTTACAGCTGCTCGGGCCACAGCGCAACCCAGTCGATTCAGAAATTGTGGCAACGCGCCACTATTTGTGTTTTATCACGTCGCACCTACATCTCGCCGCACGCCAACAGTTGCTAGGTGGACTGAGCCGCATTATGGCCTGAGAGGCTGCAACGCCCCTCTAATCACCCATCTCAGCGCGCGCTCATTTGTCAGATTTCTGTCATTAATAACTCTATAACTATTGCGATTCTTGCAAAATTGTACTTTTCAGCTTAACCCAATCTATCTTCACACTTCGGGTTGCTAATTACCGGATACCCTGTATAATGTATGTAACGACGTTACACCTAAACAAATACATAATAGAATATTTTAAAAACTTGTGAAATACAAGATAAAAACATATAGGAAAGAAAACAATAATATTAGCATGGATTCTAATACACAGTGTTAAAGAAAATAAAGTTGCAAACTAACTAGTTAAAGTTCTTGTGATGACCCAAAAAGAACCAACAAGAGTTTAAAATTCAGTAAATATTAATATCAATGATGACGTTACCAATTTTAATGACCTTGTTGATGACAATTTTTGTTTTTGTTTTAAGAGTTTTTCTCTATCTGCAATAGTTATCGAGATAGCACAAAGAGAATGGAACTTTAAGGGGTAGTTGCATCCTTTAAACCTGCGCCATTGCTAATAAAAAAATACGGATCTTTTATTTTTGGCTATTCTACAAATATGCCAAATTTCGTCGAAATCGGGGACACATACTCCGCGGATGTTCCTTGTTAGTGCAGGTAACGATCTGTGCCGCTCGATACTTCAATACGATCTGCTTTCAGCTTTGAAAGTCTTTTTTTCTTAGGCTACAGTCTAAGGCTTGCTTGTTTATCTTCTCAAATGGCACCATATCATGTAGTATATCACCGAAAAAACATCTATCTTTGAAAAATTTGCGTTCGCATAAGTTTATCCTGTATAATCACTAATAGAGTCTTTATGTCCCCTGAAAGGGGACATCCGAGTAATTTGCTAGACTTACGATGTTTTTTCAGAGGGGACATCCAAGTGGAGTTAATAACACGATAATCTATTATTGCGAAATCGTCAAAATGATATGAAACTTTTATATTTGTTTTTAGTTCTACATCTCCATTGGCTATATAAGTTATATAAAACTATATAGGCTATATAAGGCTATATAACTTGTATTATAAAAGTTATATTATTTGACCGATCCTGTAATCATCATTGTAAACCCAATAAATAACCCATAAACATCACAAATAGTGAAATATATAATATATAGAATTGTTAAAATTAACATTAGAACCAATATGGAATATTTTATAAGCTTCCAAATTGTTAAATTTTTTTCCATTAAGGGGGTTCTACAAAATGCGGAATAAGTAATAATCTAATATTGCAAAATATGGAAAGTACGCTGAATGAGACTAAACATCCCAGCTAAATTCCAACAATTATGGAGAAATAGTCGAAGAAATATGAGGTCGAGCATTGTCTTAACACAACACAGCGCCTTCCCCATTGATCAATTCTGGATGCTTCTCATCGATTTCAGTTTTCAATGTATCCAATTATAGACAGTACTTATGCAGATTAAGAGTTTAATTGCTTGATAATAGCTCGCAGTATACAACGCCTTTCTAATTTTATCAAGAGCAAGATATTATTATTTTTATATAAAAACTAGCTATTTTCTGAAGTGGTCAGTGATAGTTCATTTTGCTTAGTCCAAGTTGTCTTGCAGTGAAAGTTATTATAAATAATTCATTTCTCATCGCATCGTTTGTTTAAGAAATGGATCGATTTCTTTGCGTTTGAGCAATAAATCATAAATGAAAAAGCGATCAATTAAATTCTTTTTCGTTAAATTGTGGTATACAAATATTCTAACAAGTCACATATTCAACCCTGCAGATGGATTTCGATGTATTAAGCATCTCTCCGATCTCTCGAATTATTTGACGTGATTTATTTCTCACTGGTGCCTATTTTATTTGATCCTCATCAATCTTACAAAGAGAGATCACAATCAGTCATACTAGTCGACTTCAACGAAACTTGTTAACGATTCATAACCTATTCATGTCCAGTAATATCGAGTAAAGGGTGCGCTTCTCAAATGTTTATAAGAAAATCGAAGAATGTCGAGAAACGTACAAACAATTCGAATATTTAATTAAAGAACATACAGCACAACAGCAGCAGCACGCCTAACATGGTAACGTTGACGTTGCTGGTTCGAATCCCGACGAACTATTTCTTTAGAATTTTTGTTTTTACAGTAGAATGCAATTTTTACACAAAATAAATGGATGGATGAATACATTTTGTTAATGTATATTACAAAAGTGCATTTTCCCCTTTTATGTCCACTGCCTAGAAACGTTTATGAAATAGCTGTATGGTAAAAATAAATTAATGTAATTAATGATAAATGAGAGACATATTTTTTAATGTTAATTTTTAATGTTAAAGGTAAGTTTTGCGCGCCTTATCTCATTATTTAATATTATTTAACATGAATATCTATCGCTACAACAAGTTTCGTTAAAATTGATTAGTACCACGTCGTGACTTCTTGTTAGTCGATTTTCCCAAACATAGAATGTTTCTGACAAAAAAATTTCTTATACAAAACTTCGTAAACCAAAATTAGCACAATCGATAAAACAATTTATAGTCTCTTCTGACTGGATGTCGCACATATCTTTTTTCTGGTTTACACCGCATTTTTCCCCTTACAATAATAATAAAACATAATGTGCCGAAAATGCATTTTATTTTCCTCTATCTTCAAAGTTATGGCGAATGTAATAAATACAATCTGCACTTCTTCTTTTAATAATGTGCTGTTAATTTTTAGATTAAATATAACATTAATGCTATTAAAAAAACAAAGAAACTTATTGGTCAACCTAATATAACATGGTGTTCTATATTATTCAATTATATTAGAAAATTCAATTAATTAAAAAATAACACATAATCGCAACTAATGGCAAAAATTAATTATTAAAATATTTAACATGAAAAATATTTTTGCAGATTTCTTTTATTTGAAAAAAGAAATAATCAATTATTTGACGATTTTAATCGATATCATGTCTTTTAAAAATACTAAAATATTTTATGTTGTTTTTGTTTAGATATTCTAAATCCAAGAGTAAATATTAAACAGTTTTAGAGTAATATTAAACATCTTATTGGAAATTCAGGTACTATTATCTTAACGGGATTATTAATGAGAACTGCGGTTTAGAACAGTTAAGGCCTTCTCTATTTTCTATTATTAATATTGCATATCGTATGCATGGTAATTATCGTTATACAGAATATCTGTAAAGTCCGACCTCACCCCTGGATCTCGAAAACGGCTTTAAATATGGAAAAATATTTCAAACAAAAGTTGTAGGATATTGAGGGAAACATATGATAAAAATATGGACTTGACCTTGAGCGACTTTATTAAGGCCAGGTCAATGTGATCGATCTGTCTGTCTATCTGTGTGTGTCACAGTAAAAATAAGAACCCCACGGTTCGTCACTCCCGTAGTATTTTTTGACTCCAAACCCTCTCCACTGTGTGTGCGTGTGTTGTGGTCCTAAAAAGGAGCAATTTATGTGTATGTTTCTTCAGTCAAAATTCTCGCCCTCCCCTCTCTCTCTCTCTCTTCATCATTCTTCTTCGCCTTTCCCTTACATTAGTTATTTTCTTGCCGTTACACACACACACACACACACGCACGCACACACAAGAGGTGTAAATCCGACCGTGCAACCTCCACGCGGTACACCTTGGGTAATGCGAATGCCGGCGGTATGTCAACTTTGAAGCTTTATATCTTGGGAATGGCTTGCGCAAAAAACAAAAATAGGTTTTTGAAAACGTCTCGACAAGGGCTACAAGAATATGCAATAAAAAATAGGAGGTTCCATTTAAGAAAACATCGATCACATTGACCTGGCGTTGATAAAGTTACTCAAGGTCAAGTCCATATTTTTATCATATATCCCCCTCAATATCCTACAACTTTTGTCTGAAACATTTTTCCATATTTAAAGCCGTTTCCGAGATCCAGAGGTGGGGTCGAACTTTACAGATAATCTGTATATATACAATGTTTAATATAACATCTCACGAAATCAACATTTTTTACATTTTTAAATTGATTAAAAATAAAAACGAATTTTTATCAATACCTTATTTCAATAATATAATGCAATAAATGAATAATTAATAATTCATTATTCTACTATGACTATTTCTATGAGAAAGCAAGATCGATAAAAACACTAGATTGATAATAAATAAAAACTACAGATATTGTTATGTGGATACTATACCCATATTAGAATGATGATTTCTTAAGTGAGGTGGTGGTAGATTGCTAAGAGGAAGATGTGGCGGTGGCGCATTACCATTTGGACCCTGTGATGGTTCTGGTACCGTAGTCACTGGAACTGTCCCTGGGGTTTGAGCATTATGTGGCCCAAAAGTTAAAACCCGACTTAGCGCCACATCTTCCAAGACCACTGGGTCAGTACCATGATCATAAGGACAAAGATCTCCTCTCATACAATAGCCTTTTTCTAAAAAAAAGTAGAAAACAATATATATACATACAGTACAATCTCATATATACATGTGCATGTGTGCACAACAGTGTGGTCCCACTTTAACTTCCGTTCTAGAAACTATCAATATAGATTAGTAAGTAATATTTCATTACTAATATAAAGTTTTATATTTTTCTTTTACGCAAAATCAGAATCTGCGATAAACTACCATTTTCTCTTTAAGAGAAGTCAATTTCGATCCAGACTATAAATTTTCTCAAAACGAAAATTAAAAGTGGTAACAATAGGTAGTTTTCTATGAATCTTACACACTTCTATTTAAAACAGCGCTCGAATTATTTTCACTTTTCAGGTGATTTTCGGGAATTTTCCCACTTATTCCCACTTACTTATCCTTACTTTTACTATACTTGCTTACTTTTATTTTATCCTTTCTTTTACTATACCTGCACGCCCACTAGCCATATATTTGACAGTCGCGCTCTCCGCCTCAGGGCCGTTGACATTATAATATCTAAACAACGCTTACCAACAACTGTAAAAATTAACTGTAAGTAGAGTTATTGATAAGCGCTTATAATATCAATGGACCTGAGACGAGGAATGCGATTATCAGATTTATGGCTAACGGACGTGCAGTAAAGGGATGGTAAGGAGAAACAAGTAGAAAAAAACTCCTGAAGATCGTCTGAGAAGTGAAAGTAATCCGAAACATTGATTTAAAACAACTTTTATTTAAAATATTCTTTCCCAGAATGTCTTGCTTCGTGTATAATTTAATATAAAAGTTAAAATAGTACATTCTGTACATAAGATGTGAAGTATAATCCGGATATATTATTTATATCATTCGTATAGAATTTATATTAATTATTTGTAAATTTGGCAATTACTAATAAAACGGCGTGAAAAAGTACATTTCACGTCAAATAAGATGATACTCCAAACTCTTGCATCTTGCGGCGCTCGATTGCAAGAGTTTGGAATGCTAGTAGTCTAGCAATAAATGCAAAAGTTTAAATTCTGGTCATTATTTATAATGAATCTTATAAGTGATATATGATTTCGATAGTTTAAGAACATTTAAAATAATGACATTCCTTTAAATAACAAAATTCTTCGTTTTCTAATTTGCAAGAATACATACCATCAAAATCTCTGCAACGTCTCTTCGTTTGAAAAGATCCTGTCTGGTTATTTGGAATATTACTTGCAACAGCCACAACACTTTGTATTGATTGACTAGTCGTAGACAACCTCATATCTACATCCCCGTGATTACTATCTTGGGTTGGAGTACCGCCACCGGGGCTTCCTTCAATTCGATCCGTTCTATCTATTTCCATCCTCTCAAAATGGTCCATTATTTTTTTCCGCTCTATTGATCTTGAACGTGAATGAGATCGAAGTGGAGTAGGAGACCTATTCCTAAACCTTGCTCGATGATCACGATTATCTGGACCATCTCGTATTCTGGACCGTATAGGTGATGTACTGCGACTTCTTGTACGTCTACAGAAAAAAGTAACACAAATTAACTTTTTATATATTCATTTTTTAATATTTTTTATATGTTTAGTTTTTAGTTTTCTATGTAATTTGCATTTATAAATAAAAGTAAAACTGGTAAATTTAAGAAAGGACTATGTTAGAAACTGAACACAAATATATTTAAGAAAAAAACAGAATGAAATATAGCTAGCCGGGAATTAATGTTTTTATTCGATTCTCCTTCGTACGAATAACGATATGTTGATATCGTATGAATAACGATATGAGATGTATGATAATACATCGAGTCAATTCGGTAATTATGACAGTTAAAACGCCAAGTTAACTAAGGTAATCGCTAATCATAGCCAACCATCAGTTAATATAGCCTACACAGCCTACAGGGTCGCGAGTTCGAATCGTGGTCTCGATGCAAACAACTTGATTTCATATATTTCTTCCTTTATTTTTTACGACTCAAATGGCCGATATGCGGTCTCTTCAATGATCGAAACACATCGTAGGTTCTCCAAACATTGTCCTAAGGAGCTTGTAAAAATAGTCAATAATAATGTAAGGGCAAAGGAGACTTTTATTACTGCTCATCAACTCAATGTTGATATGTTATAGTTATGATTAAAATTAATTTGCTGCCTATGTACAATCATTATAATGCTGAAATCTTATACCGATTTTTTTCAAGATTTGAGATTGTTCCGTCAAAACTTGATGATCTGAATAATAAGATATTGCGAAGTATTTTCATATTTCCTTTTTGTACTACGAAGCAGATAGCTTCTGGTAGAGACAACATGCGATGACAATTAAATATAATCAATTCTACTGGAACTGGTATAATCTGTTTTGCAGAATTCACGGGAAAATTGAACTTACACAAAATGTTATTCAGTAAGGCAATTAACTGTTAAAAAGTGAAAGTAGGATCTCATTCAGACACTCATGCTCGTTCTTGTACGGGTTAAAACATGAGTATTTATATTGTAACATTTAAAATAATGACTACTCATATTTCATTGATAAGTCCTTTAGTTCCTTTGCATTTTAATGACCTCACCTGAAGTATGGGGACCTACATAGAGCTGATGTGGGAGGGGAAAAAGAAGATAAGAGAAGGGGAGGGAAAAAAGAAGGAAGAGAAAAGAGTTTTGAAAAAGAATATGAAGATAAGAAGCCGACAGGAGGGGGAGGAAGAGGGGGAAGAAGGGAAACTGAGGCAGAGGAGGAGGAAGGAAGGGTGGATAAAGGAAGGAGAGGTGAAGATAATGGTGTGGAAATTAATGGAGGAAGTAAGAGGTTGTAAAGAGGAAGTGAAGAGGGAGGGAGAGAGGAGAGAAAGAGAGATCAGGGAACTAAGAGAGGAGTTGGGAAAGGAGAAAGAAGAGAGGAGGAAGGAGTGGGAGGAATGGAAAAGGGAGAAGGGGAAGGGGGAGGAAAAGATAAAGGAAATACAGGAAAGGATAAGGAGATGGGAGGAACGGGAGAGGGAAGGGGGTAAGGAAGGAGGATTAGGGGAGAAGAGAGAAAAGATAAGGGAGTTGGAGATAAAAATAGATAAAAAGGAAAGGGAGGAGAGAAGAAATGTAGTGGTGAGGGGAGTGGAGATTGGAGGGAAAGGAATGGAGGAGGGAATGAAGGAGATATGGCAGAAATTGGAACTGAAAGTGGAAATGAGAGAAGTGAAAAGGATAAAAAAAGGGGGAGAAAGAGGGGGAGGGGATGATACTGGTAAAATTAGGCAGTGTGGAGGAGAAAAGGAAAGTGATGGAGGCGAAGAAGTTGAGAGGAAGGAGGGAGAGGATAGAAGATGATCTAACATTAGAAAAAAGGAAGACAAAATGGAGGACAGAGAGAGAGAGAGAAGCAGAAGTAGAGAGAAGGAAGGGTAAGAATGTGCAGGTAGGGTACGTGAAGATGTGGGTGAATGGGAGGATATAGAGATGGGATGAAATAAGAGAGAAGTGGTGGGAGATGAAGGGAAACTAAGGTGAGGCGAGGTGAAGGGAGAGGGGAGACAGAGAGGGGGAGAGAGAAGGGAGGAAGAAGAGGGAGAGAAGGGGAGGGTGGAGGGAAAGGGGGAAAGGTGTACAAGGTAGCTTTTTGGAATGTTGCGGGGTTAGGGAATAAAGATAGGGAATTCTGGGAGGACCTCGCAGGATGGGATGTAATGGTGTTGTTTGAGACATGGATAGATGGGAAGGGGTGGGGAAGACTGAAAAAGAAGTTGCCGAAGGGGTTCAGGTGGGAATGTCAGGAAGCGAGAAGAAGGAACAAGAAGGAAAGGGCGATAGGGAGAATGGTGGTAGAAGTGAGAGAGGGGGGAAGAGGTGAGGGAGAAGGAGGAGGAGGAAGGGATAATGGTTAGGAAGGTGAGATCAGGGAGAGAGTGGTGGAGTAATAGGGATATATGTGAATGGGGATGTGGAAAAAAAGTTGGAGAGAATGAAGAAGTGGATGGAAGAGAGGGGGAAGGATGGACGGTAAAAGGAGGAGACTGGAACGCGAAAACAGGGAGAGAGTAGGAAAGTATGTAAGAAGGGAAGAAAGCTATGCGAATTTTTGGGGGAGAGGGGATGGTGGATCCTAAATGGGAAGATGAAGGAGGATGAGAAAGGGGAATGGACATGCAAGGGGAAGGGGATGTCAGTGATCGACTATGTGATCGGGAACATAGAGACGGTGGAAGGAGTGGAGAGGATGGAAGTGGGAGAGAGAGGAGAATCGGACCAGCAGCCAGTAGTGGTATGGATAAGGGGAAGAAGGGAAGGAAGGGAGGAGGGAAGAGAAGGAGGAACGGGAGGGGAGGGGAAGGAAAAAGTAGGTGGATAAAGGAAATAGAAGGGTTTGGAGAAAAATTCAAGAGAAAGGGGGAAGGGAGAGTGCAGGAGGAATGGAAGGATCTAGAGGGAGGGATAAGGGAAACGTTAAGAGGGTTGGGTGGGAAAAAGGAGAAGAACAAGGGGAGCGAGTGGTGGGATGAAGAATGTATGGAGGCGAAAAAGAGATTGAGGGGGGAGCTGAGGGAATGGAGAAAAAGGGGGGAGAGGGAGAGAGATAAGGAAGAGAGGTTAAGGTACAAGAGGGTATGTAAAGAGGAGAAGAAGAGGGAAGAAAGAGAGAGGTAGGAGAAGGAGTTCGAGGAAGTGAGGACAGAACAGCAGATATGGAAGATGATAAATAGGAAAAGAAGGAGGAGGAGGGGAGTGAATAAGGAGATAGAAATGAATGAATGAGAGGAATATTTCAGGAGATTATTATTAATATTTCAGGAGTGGAGGGAAGGGTAAGGAGGGAAATAAATAGGGGAGGGGAGGATGATGGGGAAGGACTGGGGTAAGAGGAGATAAGGAAGGTGGTGAAGGGACTGAAAGATGGCAAAGCGGTAGGAGACGGAATTCCAAGTGAGGTATGGAAATATGGGGGGCAGGAGGTACAGGGATGGTTAGGGGAGATATGTGAGAGGGTGTGGAGGGGGAGGGGTGGCCAGAGGAATGGAGTGAGGAAATGGTACTACCAATTGTGAAGAAAGGGGAGGAAGAACGGGTGGAGGAATACAGAGGGGTAACATTAACGCAAACAGCGTAAAAGGTGTATACGGCAACGCTAATGAAAAGACTAAGGGAGGAGGTAAAGAGGAAGAGGATTTTGCCGGAGAGACAGACAGGATTTAGAAGGGGAATGGGGACAATAGACAATATATACGCATTAAACTATTTAATAAACAGGCACGTGGAGAGGAGAGATAAGAGACTGGTGATATTATTCGTGGACTTCAAGGCAGCGTTTAATGCGGTAAATAGGGCGGTATTAGGAAAAATCATGAGGGAGAGGGGAGTAAGAGAAGGATTGGTAAGAAAATGTAAGGAAGTGCTGGGGGAGACAAGGAGTAGAATGAGAGTAGGGGGGAGAGAGGGAGAAAATTTTTGGACAAGTAGAGGGGTGAGGCAGGAGTGTCTGTTGAGTCCGCTGTTATTTACAATATTGATAGCGGATATAGATGAGAAGCTGAAGAAGGGGAGATGAGGGGGGTAAGGTTGGGGAAGGAGAGGGTGTACACGCTGGCATATACAGACGACCTGGCAGTATTGGCAGAAGACGAGGAGGGGATGAAGGGAATGATAGGGAGGTTGGAGGGATACTTAGAAAGGAAGGGTTTGGAGGTGAACATAAAAAAACGAAAGTAATGAGGTGCAGGAGGAATGGAGAGAGATAGAGGAAGGTGGACTGGAGATGGAAGTGGAAGAGACTAGAGGAAGTGAAGGAATATAAATACTTAGGATATGTGGTGATGAGGAACGGGGGCAGGTGAAAGATAGGGTAAGGAAGGGAGCGAAGGTGATGGGCAAGTATGGGGGATAGGAAAAAGGAGGTTTGGAAAGGATTGGGGAAGGAAGGTATGGTTGTTTGATAAACTGGTGTGGCCAGTGATAAGTTACGAAATAGAGCTGTGGGGATGGAGAAAGAGGAGAAAAATAGAGCTGCAAGAAAGGTACATGAAATGGATATTGGGGGTAGAGAGGTGGACGCCATGGTATATGGTAAGAGAGGAGGTGCAGAGGGAGTTATTGAGGAGTAGAGCGGGGATGAGAGAGTGAAGATATGAGAAGAGATTGGAAGAGGGGAAGAGAGAGAGATAGCAAGAAGGTGCTGGATGGTAATGAGGGATAGGACGAAGAGAGGAAAAGAAGTGGGGAAATAGGAGGAAGAGAGGAGAAAGTTCTTTGAGGATAGGGGGTGGAAAATAGACAAGATAGAGGAGATAAGGGAAAGGGAGGGGAAATAAAGGGAGAGAAAATAAAGTAGAGAAGTAGAAAAAAAAGGCAGGAGGGGAAAAGATAAGAGAAAAAAGATAAGAGAATCAAGATATAATGAGAGATACGGAAGGACGAAAGGGAGGGAGGTACTAGAATATCTGAAAATGGGGAGAGAAAAGATGGAGGAAGATAGCGAGATTTAGGCTGGGGTGTAAATTGAGAAGGAAGGTACTGGGAGGAGGAGGAAGAGGAGGTACAGGATGCGTGGGAGGAGAGAGAAAACATGGAAGCATATATGGGAAAAGTGCACAAGATCTGGGGAGGAAAGAGGATGGCAGGAGATGGAGGGCGAGGTGCTGGGAGAGGAGATAAGGGGGGAGGGGTGGATGAAAGAAGTGGAAAAATGGTGGGGAGGAGAGGGTGAGGGGGAAGGGGAGGGAAAAGGAGATAAAAGGAGCGGCGGAAACGGAGGTCACGGTATGAGAGGAAATGAATGGAGAATGAGAGAGAGGGAGAGAATGGAGGAGTGAAGGAGTATGATGTGTGCAGAGCGCTCTCTCTCTCTCTCTCTCGCAAGTAGTGTGTAAGAGGCAGGAAATCGAGAGTTAGCATGTAAAGGACAGGTTAAGGATTGTACCCCAAGGGGAGTCAATAAAATATCTATCTATAATGCACACATATACAATAATATTTATCTTATTATATAAAAAAATAACAAGAACGATTTAATTATTTGTTATAAAATTCAATTTTATAATATTTTACAATATTTAATATTTTAATATTTTATTTTATATTTTAAAATATTTTAGAATAAATATTTTAATTATTTATTCTAAAATTCAATTTTATAATAAATAATTAAAACGCTTTATTCTTGCTATTTTTTATATAATAAAATATATATTATTCTATATGTGTGTATTATATTTTTGTCCTATGAAAAATAATAAAAATATTAAAAATATAGAAATATTACAAAATATAGTAATACATATTATAAAAAAAGAAAGTTGGCACTGCGAGGACTCTAACACTCCTCGAACGACAGAATACTAGTACGCACCTTAGCTTCCGCAGCTACCGCGCTTCATGCTTATTGATTCCAAGTTACTACACTTAACTATTTTCTTAATTGCAAATTTCTTGCAAACGAAGGCCCATGCACGCAAACCCTTTTAGGGTCTTTATGTACTCAACCTCCCCATTCGAATGAAATTTGACTCATTCAATTATCGATTTTACATGTCTTATCATCTCCTTGTGTTTTATAGTGTTTTATTTCACATTATATTTCCAGAAATTTTATTTATTTCAATTCGAAAAATATAAATACATATAGTTAATCCATTTTTTTTTAAATACCCTGTATATGTATAATAGTTGTAATAGATGATGACGTGATCCCTGTTATCGATATTTTTCATTCCATTTAAATAACGACATTTTTACATCGAAGTGCACCGTCTATTTTGGCATCCTTTTATTAATAACTGCAAATAACTGCTTTGTCATATTTCAATTCAGACACGTTACATGCGTGCACGCACACATATATACATAAACAGGAAACTTCAGAACTCATAAAATTAATTTTACCGAGTTTTCGGTAAAATTTTGATATAATTCTTTTCTTCATCAAATTGCTAAGGGAAGTCATTATTTATAACATTTATATTTACTTCAAATTGATTGAAGAAAATTTTGTCATTCAGTTGTTTACCTAAATTTAATTTGTGAAAAATCTTACTTCCTTAGCCGCTTGTATCTCACAATCAGAAACTATCGGCACCTCAATGTTTTTTCAATAAACAAATCTTAACTTTAAATATGTTAAGAAAACTTCAATTAAATACAATTAGAGTTACAAGTCTAAAACCCGTAATTCTAATTTCTACTTTCTGTACACACGCGTGCAATATATGCACACATATACCTGCGATCATGTCGTCTGGTACTAATTGGTGGAGATTCATTTCTCCATGGTCGACTTCTGTCTCTTTCTCTGTCACGTCGAATATGTTCTCTACTTCTGGATCTACGTCTATCCCTTTCCCAAGATCGTGATCGTGATCGTGTCCTTGATCTCATTCTGCCACTTCTGTATTACATATAATAAAAATTTATGTAATACAATATAAATTTAAAAAGATGTATAAAAAGGACTAAAATGAAAATATATTCAGGTCATAATTCTTAATTTTTTATAGAGTCGATCTCAAGACAACAACATTCATGTATGAATAGAATATAATAAACTGAAAGTTTACTACTATTTTTCAAACTACATAACATTTTACGATATTAATGTAAGAAAATTGACAAACCATTGCGCGTGACGCAATGAGACAAGTTCTGGTAAGTACAATTTCATCGAAAATGACCGAGACTTTATGATTTTACTATTATTTGTTACAATTCATGTACATAATACACAAATAAATCTTCGGAATATTAAAACTGAAGAATTTAAACTGCAGAAACGACGCTATAACGTAGTAATGTTAATGTTATACCAGTGCCGTTTATAGAACTTGCTATCACTATCTATTAGCTCTACAAACAGTGCTTGTAACGTTTGCGTTTATAGCGCTAATAACATCTCTCTGAATGCACATTAAGAAGCAGTTGTAAATCTCGATCATCTTTATGAAATTGTGCTTACAGAGCTAATCTCATCGCATCGCGTACACTAATTCGCCAATATTCTTTCATTAATATTTCGAAATTTTACGTGATTGAAAAATAGCAGAAAATCTTTTGTTCAGTTCGCATATATTTTATCTGCACCTAGACGTTATCGTGCCTTGCGTCAAACACTTTGTACATAATATATTGATATATACATATATATTAGGACATCTGTATATAATATCATTATATATAATAAAAAATTACAAACATTTTACGTTTAATAATTTTTATATAAGTAATTTTAGATTTCCGAAAATGAAACGATTATATTTGTCGTTGTAATTTTATGAAACAATGTATATGTTATTTTGATCTACGATCTTCTGCCATCATTCGACTTCTTTGAATAAAGGCTCGCCCCTGCAATCGTATTCAGTATTTCATCTCATTTGCTTCAGGATTTTTTATACTCGACATTATTATAGACGATCCATTTTTTATCGTTACCATACGTTTCAAAACGGGTTTTTTTTATTATGCTTAAGTAGCATGTTGTTATTATCTTAGTTTTTCTTCGATAAATCATACGGCAATCAAATATCACCGGTTCATATAGTTTTTTCAAATATAATGCAACGGTTTTATTAGATATTTTTAGTGTCTCTGTTATCTCTCAAATTGCTGCCCATTGATTATTTTACATTAATGTTTTGATTTGATCGACATCTGTCGTTATAGGTCTCTCAGAGCGCTCCCAATTTTTAAGTGTTATGTCACCAGCACAAAATTTTGTAAACCATATTTAACACACACGATCACTTACGGCATCTCTTCCGTACACGGCACAAATCTTTTTTTCATGTTTACGTCGTATTTTTTCTTTGCCGAAGATAAAAAGGCATCAGATACCGAAAATATACCTTATTTTACTCCATTTTAATATTAAAATTAAATTCACAGAACTCAATCTATTTCAATAATGGAATATATAATACGTAATTAAAGTGGTAGTTATCAACCTGCATATACTTGCATATCGAGCTCCTTCTAGGAATGCGCATACTGCAAACGAATAGTAACTATATCCATTGAAAAATATGAAATTACTTATTATATAACCTAATATATTCTTTGATACATAAAAATATAAATAATACATAAAAAATATGAATTGAAATCATGAAGTTTAATTTTCGGTGCTCGCGTGATCTATCTTTCAGTGTCAAATTATACGCAAATAACTTTAAATAAATATCATATGTATACTTAGCTAACTTCCGATATAAAATTAATGTTAACATGATACAATATATTACTTACATGTTTTCAAAAGTAAAACCAAAAATTACACACACACGCACACACACACACACATACACACACAAATTTTCAATGAATATATACATAAATAAAATGCCCAACTAATAACTGTACTAATAACAAGGTATTTAGCAAAATAGCATTTGATCAAATTGCATTTGATTTAGCATATATATAAAATTTCGATTAATTGTGCACTCTTAACATAAAATAATTTTTGTTCTGCAATACTTAAAAGAGCCCCCTTTTTTTGACATAGAGAATAAAATATTTTATTTAATTTTTTTATACTACCATTTAGCTTTTCCTCTCTTTTTATAATTTTTATTATTTTTCTTTTTTCTTTTTGCATATCTTTTCTTCTTACCTTAATGTATCTTTGAAAATTATGTGATCAATTACTAGTTATGTTCAATATATTAAAATAACCATTTTCTATAAATATTAGATGTGTATAATTCGATATCTCATAATTCCATTTTAGAATTGAATATTTTTCCACCCTTTTGTAATGTTTTAAATATAGTATTTAGATATAGTACTTAAATACTGTATTTAAATATAGTATTTAAGTATATATATAAATGAGGAATTCTCTTTCATGCAGGTTTATTCAGCAGACTTAATTCCATCGAAGTACTAACTATTTTGATGGCTTCAACATTGCCTGACTGATATACAGTTCAAGACAATGGAAGAGGATTTAAAAAATTTATCGATTTAGAACTAAGTTTCTTTTATAAGAATATTCGGGATCATCTGATAGGTGCAAAGTCATAGAAAATAATGGAGATTAACAACATACTTGCATTTGATTTTCTGTAAATAAATTTAGAATTTTGGAAAGATACCAAATTAATTTGCGTATTTAAAAAATAGTCTAATATTGAAGATATCGACAATTATACACAATAATCTTTTGCGATTTATATATTCTCGTATCTAAGTGGTCGCGAAGGCACAATCTTAAGTTAAGTTCGGACAAGGTCCGATTTACTGAGTATAGAAAATCTTTAAAGAGCACGAAACCCAAAACTGTAACAATTTTTCGCAAAAAATAGTTTCTGCGTCCCTAAAAAGCATAACATTTATAATTTAAAAAATCAAGATCTAATAGTAAAATAGCGAGATCTAGTAGGGCAAAAAAAGGATTTTGCCAATAATTATGTAACAGTTACAAAAATTCCATAACAATTTTACCTTAAAGGCAAATGCTAAAGACTTGTTAGACCAATTATATTTGACCTAAAGCTCAATCTACAATCGATATCCTTTCTTGTATGTAAATTTTAGCAAAACACGATTATCACACTATTAAAAAAATGTCATGATTCTAAAATATTAAACGTTTCTACGATTTTATTTGGCAGCGCAGAAAACATTTTTTGTTATAAATTATGTTACAGTTTTGAGTTTATAAGTACCTGACAAAAAAAGTAGAAAATTAGTTCTCCGTTAAAAATTTTCATAATTAACTTGACAGGTCCTTATTAATCATGTAAAACATTAATATAATATATAGCTCCTTATTTTTAAATATCAAATATTAACTTAAAGTATCAAATATTAACTTAATAAAGTTATTCAAAGTCAAAATCCCAAAATTCTTCTAGTGTTTTTTCACATCATATGATTGCTATGGCGTAGTAACAAAACGCATACTTATTAACTTTACCTGCGTATCATTAGTTCGGATCATATTACTCATTTCTTTCTTACGTTTTTCTACAATATGAACTAAATATATAATATATTAAATAATTTTTCTGAAATTTTAATTAAAAACATACATATATGAGGTATCCGATGTAAACCAATGCTCATACGCATGTAGAATATATTAAACTGAGCAAAAAGATCCTATTTTGCAAACAATCACGTAAAATTTTGTCATTAACGAAAGATTTACGCAACAGCGTTTACGATATGATGGAACAAACCCTATTGCATGAAAAGTGGGAATCATATGAAAAATAACTGACTACGCGATTGTCTCTTAGCAGCGGTCAATATTGGATGACTACGATAAATAAATAATTGTTTACATATCGCTTGCATTTTTCTTCATCCAATACTGATTGCTAATTTTAATTTCAGGTTGCTCTTTTCTTTAAAGAAGTGGATTGGAATGTTCACTAAATAGAAACAAATCCACGATGAACACGGTACTAAACTGAAAGTCAGATAAAACTTTTCTTATGATTTTGTCACGTTCTTCTTTGCTTGTCAAATTCTTTGCTTATTTACTGATTGCTTCGACAAAAAGGAAATTTTCGAAAAATTATAGAAATATATTCAATCAACTACAAATATCATTTTATGAATATGATACATTTTATGGGTATAAGATACATTTTATATATCTTTTTTTTTATTTTGATGTAATCCGTAGAAATTTTTGGCATGAATTTTCTCGCTTCTGACATCACCATTCAAAATAGCTGTCGCGAGTAAATAGGAATTTTAAATTGCGATGCTACTGATAATAAATGTGCAATAATCACATTAATCACATTAATCTTTTCATTACGACTGAATTGGGTGCAGTCTATTGCTATATACATAATTCTGCTATTAAACACACATAATAATTAATAATAATGCGATTAGCACCTGCTGCTTCACACTATATAATTCAATATATCTATGTTAATATAAATGTTTAATAAATTAATAAAACTTACATTTACGATGTTATCTGTATTTTGATATTTATATTTATAATTTTTAAGCAAATAAAAAAACTGTTACTTAATAATAAACTATTCGTCAGCTTTCAATCCAAGTCAGAAGAAAGCTACTATAGTAGCGTTTCTTCCTAATGATTACTTAACGAGAAGTCACTAAAATGACGTGGTAGCACAAGAATTAATTAAAACTTTAGGTCAATTATCTTTTATCTATTTCTGTTATCAAAAAATATTATTTATCGCTTAAATATTTAATTAAAACTGGTTTAATTATTTTACAAAAAATATCTCTCAGTTATATATTATAAATCCTCTGTTATAATATAAAATATCTTTTTCAGTTTTTTTAAGAAATATAATATTATATACCTGCTTCGAGAACGTTTTTCCTTTTCTTTGTCGACCTTATCTGAATCGGATTTTCTAGCTTCGCGCTTATTACCTACAGTAGGTGCAGATCCATTAATTTGAAGTGGAGCAGAAGGATTCGTGATCATAGGTACCAGCTGAATTGCTGTATCAATCATTTTTTCTGTTGATAAAACTGGTGCTGGTGGATTTATGCCAGGTGGTGTCCCACCACTATCAGGCTCACTTTTGGAGAGTGGAAGTATGTACTCTTGAGTTTCCAATGTTTTAAAAAGTAATTCAACGAAATTTTTGGTTTCTAAAAGAACAACAATTATATCATTTAATATTATAAATATATGTATAAATTATAAATATAAATTTCTTTTTAATACAAACGAATTCCTTAAAAAAATATAAAAAGAGTATGATATATAATATATAATAAGAAAGATATTTATATATTCTTCTATCTTCTTATGATATAATTCTATACCATTTTATATTAATATTTTATATTAGAATATTCTCTTTTCTTTCATATAAAATAATTATACAAAAAGGAAAGAAAATATAAATATGTTGTTTATTTATTCTACAATTTCTATTAACATTGTGATTTTCACATTCTATAATTAAAGCTTTTTATTATTTTTCGGCCAAGTTTTAGATCTAAAAATGAATAAATATTTAAACTCTTCGCAGTCTTGCACAATTTTTTCTCAATTACATTTAAGTGCCAAAATGCACATTTGTATTGAATACTTTAGGTACAAAAAATATATCAATGAATATTATCATACTCCTTTCTTTTATCTGATTATTTTAAGATTGTTATACAATTGTTAATTCGAAAATATATTTTGCAATACAATTGCAATTGTGCAATTGTGCAGTTTAATTTATTCATTTACTCTTTGAATGTTCACATTTAAACACACATATATACATATATTATCTTATCTAATATTTATATTACATATTGTGAAGAATTCTCTTAACATTGAAACAGTTAATTACTAGAAATTCCATTTTATATTTGCTTTACATTAACAAAAAAAATTATTTATAATGTCACCTAATTGATAAACACCAAAAAAGTTAATATCTAATTGTATTTGTATAAACCCACCTTGTTGTAGAAAAACATCCAATTGCTCAAGCATGTCACCACGTAACTCTTCCAAAGTTTTATCCTTCTTAGCTAATGCATAGACATATTTAGCCAAAGCAGCAGGATCTGCGTCACATCTAATAAAAAACGAAATTATTTTATTAATAGATATTTAAAATTTATAATCAGTTTTAAGATAACAATATATAAAAAACAAATATTATTGTATCTACTTAAATATACACACACATATGCAATCTAATTTTATTTATTACTTATTCTTTTATCATGAGAAAAATTAGAAAAATATATCTACGAATTTTATTTTTGTTGATATTAAATTAATATTTATATTACAATCTGCATGCAAGTTGGATGCAAATTAATATTATGTATTATATATCATATAAAGAAAATCAATTTTGAATAAATATTGTTATTTTCGCTCTCTCTCTTTCTCTTAGAATAATGAGCAATTACTATATTCAAAGACAATAGTTAAAATAATACATTTCCATTTCAAAAAACAAAAATTTTATAATTAAAATATTTAATATTGAAACAATTTATCTATTTACTATTCATCAAACGATCCAATAAAGGTCTTATTAAAACTGTGATTAAACTGGTATTAAATTTACTAAAGAGTTAAAATTATCAATATTATATAATATTAAAATTAAGAACATATTTGTAAAATATCAAATAAAAAGATTACAAATCATAATTTTATGAGCAATTAATTGAAATGGAATTTTACATAAAATATTTTACAAAAATATTATGATAATTATTCTTCATTATATGTAAATAATATATTTACAATCATTGATATTGTATACTATATGCTAACATACTATAATATTATACATATATATATTTATTCATTGAATCAAATATTATCCCTTTTCTTTTTTAGTTACATAATTTTTGAAATATAAATATTACATATATCTAAAAAATTTATAATCTCAATAAAAATATCAACACAATATTATTTGATATAACATAGATTAGATACATGCAAGAGAAAAGATACACAATATACTAAATATAAGTTATAAAGATTGACAAAAAGAATTATATGATTAAGAAAACTATGAATATAAAATAAATTTGAAATAAGAGTACTTTAATAAATATGTGTTAACTATGTTAAATGTATATTAACTTGATAAGAAAAATTGTTTATTAAAATATATAATTGTGTAAATATATATAGTATCATGTCAACATATATAGTTAAATTATGTCATTTATGTAGATAATTTATGGAACATCTCTTTATAAAAATTGCTTTCTATATTTAATTTTATTATCTACATTTTTAATATCTATATTTTATTATATATATTTAAGTATTATTTTTACAATTATTTAATTTACAGGACAAACTTTAATATTTTGCAATTGCATTAAAAAATTAACAACAATCTTAACATAAATTTTACTTGAAATTTATGAAAAGAAAAATAAATAATAGTGTATTAAGTATATATGCTATGTAAAATCATAAAATATATAATTTTCTTCTGCCTCTTCTCTTTATATTAATATCATAATAAATATGAATATTAGAAACAGGTTAATATTTGCATAAACTATGATATTAAATATCTTCATAATTAGTTTTGTATTGAATAAATTAACTATCTTATAATTTAATAATTCTTACACACTTTGTTCTATAATTTATAATCTGTATAATTCATATTGTCTATATCAAAGTTTATACAAAAAAGTAATATATAAAAATATAAGTATTTATAAATATACTATATTAAAATTTGTGATATAACAATGGATACAATCAATAGAAATAGAAATATTAAAATAATTGTTCTTATATCAATAAAACAATATAACTTCTACATTTGCTTGTGTGTATGTCGTATGTACATGTCCATACATACACATATATAACTTCTATATATTACAAGCAAATAATCTAACAACAATTAATAAACAACTGACAATTTAGGGAAATATTATGTTGCTGAAGCAATTTATATATTTATATATAGCAATATATTAATTATAAGAATATTATACATGCAGTATTATAAAAGTTAACGGAACTTATACAGAAATGATATTGTCTGATAAATACCATGGAGTTGACTATTTTATAAAATAACATTTAAAATTATTTAACACGTTGACTGCCAACTATGAGATATCTCGTAGGTTGTTTACTTGCCCAGGACGCCTAACTACGAGTTATCTCGTCCCTTCATTACTTGCCATATTTGTACAGCTACGAGGAAACTCGTAGCATAACAGTGTAAATATGAATAGATGGCCTCAGGAAAGAAAAAAAAAAATGTTTAAAAAAAAACATTTTTTAAGCTTTTTGATTATTACTATGTACTATTATTAAAGTTTTTAATAATATAACATGATTAAATCAAATTGGCTCTTTAGACCAGAATCGTGAAAAATTCCATGGCAGTCAACATGTTAAATATTATATATATTTTAATTTATAAAAGTATATATATATATATATACACGAACCTCCCAATAATTATAGAGCATACACAAAGAAAAATTAACATACAAAATATAATTAATATATTAACTACTACAAAGATCAATGCTATAAGTTTAATGAACCTCATTGATTGAAACATAAAGTAGTTAACAGCACCTAACAAATTAATCTTCTGATCAATAAAGAGTTAATAAACTGGTTAACAAATATATAAATCATAAAACATATGTATTTACTAGTTTCGTTACTCAATCTTCAGTTAAATATTAGAATATTCAATGCAAATCAGTACAATAGTTGATATATTAATCGCTTGTTTTAATTTATAATTAATTTAAAAAATATAATAGAAGACGTGATGAGAATGTAGAGTTCATGCTGTAGAAGATTTGTTATTGTTATTGTTTGAATGGTCACTGAATAATCGTATGACTATTCATACGTCATTACTAATAAAAATAAAAGAATTTATCAAATCAGACAAAGGTTAATCGGTAACACATCTTGCGTAAATAACATTCTACACAGAAAGCAGACGCACCACATGTACGGCCATTTACAACATCAAGCGAGTATAACACGTACATAAAAGCACACTCGGACAAGCTGGCCTACTTACAGCGGTTCCAAGACAGCGGTAAGCCACGCCTTAAATTGATCTGGATTGTCGATTATCATTTTTAACAAGTTCCACGTTGAGAGCACATAGACAGTTTTATATGCACGCGTTAATCACACGAATTTCAACTAGCAAGAACAAGTATTCTCCTAACTAGAGTCAGTCGCCATTCTGAAATCAGTCGCTGTTATACATATGCAACCATACATACATAGAACTAATTCCTTTCCAGAAATTGTCACGAGGTCGCTGATGTAGCTTGTGAAGTAATGCTGGATTCACACTGCAACCGATATCCAACGGCTGTGTTCCAATATTCACTGCCAGCACTGAAAATCTATAAAGCGTGGTCTACAATGGCCGTAAGCAGTAAGAAAAAAGCGTGAACAGTAAGAAATGGACCAACCACAGTTGATTATTTTTGTCATAATCGACTGTGATTGGTTTATTTCTTACCGCTTACTCTTACTTCTTACTGCTTACTGCCATTGTAGACGACGCTTTATATATGTAAAGGCTCGTCTACAATAGCTGTAAGAGTAAAGCCAGCGGCACACGGTGCTTGTTTTCGTGCTGGATTGCTTGCTGGATGAAAATACTGCGTTCTGATTGGTATATTTCCATCCATCTTCGGAACCGTGTGCCACTGGCTTAAGGCTGTAACGTAAGCTGTCAGCGAATGAAAATATTTCATTTCGTGTCTTGCAACCTTATAGCCTATAGACTCGTCTACAATAGCTGTAAGAGTAAGGCTGTAAGGCTGTAACGTAAGCTGTCAGCGAATGAAAATATTTCATTTCGTGCCTTGCAACCTTACAGCCTTACTCTTACAGCTAATGTAGACGAGCCTTAAGGGCCATTGCACGTACAAAAGTTTTAGTCGTAACCGTAAGTCCGTAAGCAAATTGACCAATCACAATTCATATATTTCGAGATGCTGGATTGTTATTGGTCAATTTGCTTACGGACTTACGGTTACGACTAAAACTTTTGTACGTGCAATGGCCTTTACTCTTACAGCTAATGTAGACGAGCCTTAACAGAAACTATGTATTTTCAGTACTGGCCATTGAAATATAACCATACTGGAAGAAGCATTGCCCTACTCTCTTCACGATACCGAGCGGTCAGAGAGAGAGAGAGATACTTAAGCTGGGTCCATAGACATAGTATGAATAGATGGAGCATATAGTCTTTCGGCTGACGCCTGCGAATAATGGAAGTGAGATAAAGCAAGAAGTGTACGCGCACTCTCTCTGTCTTCTTGCGCCTGCGCAATTTCTAAAAAGGCGTAAAGCCCGTTCTACATTAGTCGCAAGGCACAAAATGCAAGTCGCAAATCGTAGGAATTCACCAATTACAATCGAATATTCTCTCAACATTCGACTATTATTGGTGGATTTCTACGACTAGCGACTTGCGTTCTGTGTCCTGCGACTAATGTAGAACGGGCTTAATGCGAATATTTGTACAAATTATTGACGCAAATTAAATCGACCAAATTAACTAAAATCATTATTTATATTGTATTTATGATATATAGACTATAAAATGTCTTTTATTATGATAGATACATCTTAAGATACGTTTAAATTTTCCGGTCTTTATGTCGATGGGGCTGGGTTTAAATCTCGAAAACTATTGAAGATGTTGGATACATTTTTCCTGCAGCCATTCAGCAGACTCAACAGTTGGACAACATTACTAGATTTTCTATTGAATCTCGCTCCTGATTGGTAAATACTTCTGGGTCTATGAAGAATCTAAAAGAATGCTCCAATCACAGACAATAATCATTAAACGCTCTCTGATCACTTTGTTCTACTGAACGCGGCCAATAGAAATCTAGGAAATAACGGAATAAATTCAATCGCAATCGATTCCAACGAGTTCCATAATAGGTACCCTGAGGAGGGAAATGAAGAAAACTAATTGGTTTATTCTCTTATGCGTTATGTATTATGTGTTATGCAATAGCCTATGCTCTTGCCCATACTATGTCTATGGTCCTGTCTAATATGCACAGGAGCGAATGAACCTAATAGCGAATTCGGTCGCTTGCCCTGGCGCACACTGAGTGCGATTAAGGTTTGTTCATAGTCCGTTCTTATATTTAAAATTGTTTCAAATACATTTTCATAAACTTCTTAGTCAACAAACAATCCGTACGGATGTTATATAAAGCATTCTACTAGCCAAGAAGTATTTAAAGATGTATTTAAGATGTTCTTAAATGAAAAAATGGACTATGAACAAGCCTTACTCGCATTCAGTGTACACCAGTGCAAGCGGCCAATTCACTATATATTATATGTAATGTGAACTGTACATTTTCGCATACGCATCTAAAGCCAGCGGCACACGGTGCTTGTTTTTGTGCTGGATTGCTTGCTGGTGAAAATATTGGTTCTGATTGGTGCATTTCCATCCATCTTTGGAAATGTACCAATCAGAATGCAGTATTTTCATCCAGCAAACAATCTAGCACGAAAATAAGCACCGTGTGTCGCTGGCTTTACTCGCACGCCGTCAGAAATTGAGCCCCTGGCAGCATGTTTCGTAAATACTATTTTCAGGCAAGCAAGATGCTAGCGCAATATTCCCTAGCTAACTTTCGTCATACGGCAAACATTCCGCGTTCTATGTGCAACCGACCTCAATCGATAGTGTTGAGGATTGGAAGTCGTCGATGTGTTTTGAATCTACCTTTGTAGAGAGCGCTTTAAGAATAGAGTCTCAAGAATGATGTAATCATATATGTATGTGTTAAAACTCTTCTTTTTATGCGATTTGATATATAAAAAAATATATTAGCACATAAAAAGGTGCTAAGAGTGTAGAAAATAGTGATGTATAATCATGACGCGACTATAAAAAGGAATTATCTGTTTGTTGTGTGAATGATAACATATCTTACGTTCATGATACTTGTTATTCTGTACATAAGCTCAGTGAGTTGTCTAACAAATTTACAAATTGTATTATTTTATTATTTTTATCGTTTTAGGCAAATTATCAATAGGTTAAATTAGATGGTTTTAATAACAAATAGACAAAATTATACTAGCAGATTTATAAGAAAGATCATTTCTTGTGCAAAACAATGTAAAACAGCAAGATTTAGAACATAATAATTTTTTATAGTGACTGCTTCGTTATAAAGGACGTACATAGTGCAAGAAAATGAGTTGGTTGCGGAACAGTCCGCTGCGAACGAGTTTTAGCAAGCAGCGATCCAGAGATTCACCTCCAAAAGATGCTGATCCATCCGCATGTTATGATAGTTTCTGCAAACACTGGCAACAAACTTATGAAATCATCCGATATTCTTTTGTAAGAACATTTTTCTCATAAATCAATTTTCTCGATAGTTTAATATTTTTACTTTATTTTATTAATATCTTAATAAAAGTTAAATATACATAGAAAGTTAAAAATATTTTAATAACCATATGATCTATATACATATGTACATACATATATATGTATATGTATATAAATATATTTACATAAATAGCATAAGCCAATTTAACAATTTCTAATGTTGTGACTATTAGTCTTACATGTATAAATAATTCTGTTATGTGTAATATAATATACAACATGTAACGAGTTATGTTATACAATGTGTAATACTAATAATAATGATAGCAACATTATTGAGAATATCAAATTAATTTTATATTGGTTATATATGAATATGAATAGATTGTGATATTAATAATTTAGTTTTAGGTTGCTATGTAAGTATAGTTTATATTTAAACAAACATTCACTGTTTTTTCAAGTTTTTCATATAATAATAATTGAAAACTGTGAATAAATTGTCTCTTAGCACATATTGCACTGCATATTATTTGAATAAAATGATATTCAATCATAAATTATAATCTTTTGATTATTTTGGTATTTCGATTTACAGTTATAGACAAATATTGTGACAATGAAGTACAAAAAAGAAACATTTAATAGAATATTTACATATTTAAATATTAGAACAGTAATGTTTTATATTAGTTAATATGTTAATTATTACTAAATCTTTCATAAAGATAATATATTTTCATATGTGAATATAAATATCATTATAATTAAATCATGAGATTAATATATAAGAAGATAATTTATTATTAATAATATATATGTACATATACATGTATGTGTATATGTATTTATACGTGTGTGTATGTGTATATCTGTATGTGTGTGTATGTATATGTGTATGTGTGTGTATGTGTGTGTGTGTGTGTATGTGTGTGTATATATGTATGTATGTTCAATTAGGAAGACATGGTATTAGAACATTGTATGAAATATATATTGCAATTTGTTTAACATTGCTAGAAAAACAAATGATTCAAATTGATACATGAAAACATTTGGCACATTTAAATTTACTTTTTTTTATGTGCAATTAAAATATATAAAATTATACTTGCACGTCTTATAATATATTCTCTTGATAAAATTATATTATTTTTGAAAGATGTGTGGGTAAATATGCATATAAGGTCAATCTCAAAAGTTCATGAGCTTGACATATGCTGTTAAGGACATGTTCCTGAGTGTTATACAAAAAGTTGCAGCCATGCTCATTGTTCATTAAAAAGTTAACAAAAAAGTTAACAAAAGAAATTTCGGTAATTATGCATATTAAGGGATACCTCGCCGATGATCTTCAACTTCATATATATTATCAAAGACATAGTTCTGGGTAACTTACAAAATTAATTTAAAAATAATTAAATAATTAAAAAATTTCAGTCGGCGATTATTGTTTATTAAAAAGTTATTAACAAAAGAAGCTTCATTAATCGAGCGTAATTTTTCGACATTTTTCGACAGTGTACATTTAACACCTAAAATTTGTAGGTTATATTGAAACGTAGTATATATAAGCAAGGAAGGGGCTATGCCCCTCCCCCACATCCCCTTTCCAAGAAAATCCTAACTTAACCTAACTTATTACATCTTCATATATTGTTCAATATGGGTTTTAAAGGTTTTAATCTTTTCAACACCTAACAATATATAAGGATGTAAGTTCGATTAGATTAGGATTTTCTTGGGGAGGGGGCGGAGCTCGTCCCTCGCTTGTACTATTTAACATTTTTAATGTATACTGGAGATTTAATGTATATTCAAGATATATTATCCGACCACGGATTATTTTATAATAGTAAAATATGTACACGTTGTTCGAAAATCACAAAATCATATTCTATTCAACTTCTTTTGTTAATAACTTTTTAATGAACAATGAGCGACCGCTGAAACTTTTTGTATAACACTCAGGGACATGTTCTTAACAACATATGTCAAGGTCATGGACTTTTGAGGAGATTGACCTTATGTGCATATTTACCTTTTTCTGATAAGACATGCAATAAATCTTTCATTAGTTTTCGGAAGAATGTGTGGTCGACTACTTTTAGGTGAATTTTTACCATTTTCCTGACTTAAAATCGGTCTATAATAGATTGAATTATTGAGTGATTCCGACTAATAATATTCAAAATTTCCGCAAGACATTTGCAGGACATTGATTATCCGATAATAATTTTCTTTTCATTATTGGTAGTCTCGTTTCTTTTTTTTCAATTCAATTTTGTCAAAAAGAGAACGACTATGGAATTTTGCATCCGGAGATCTGATTCCACGTGTGTGTGTGCGTGTGTGATAGCGCGCGTGTGTGTGTATGTGTACACACTTTTATTACACATACAGACACCATGCTTATATGTAAATTCAACATTTAAACAATTTTATTATGCATATTAATTATAACGCTATATGGCGTTATTTTGGCGAATAGAATCATTATTATTTTGCAAACAACCATGTAAAATTTTAAGTTATTAATGAAATTTAAGTTATTAATGAAAGAAGATTGACGAATCAACAATGCATTGCAATGGGGTGAGCTTCTTCGACGTGATTGCATAGCATAGAATATAATTGACCGCGCGATTGTTTCTAAGCAGCGATTAGCATCGGATGACTGTGACAAATAATTGATAAATAATTGTCCACGCACTGCTTACATGGTTTCTCTGCTTTTCGCTGACATTCAATATTAATTACTAGTAAGGAACAATCGTATGGTCAATTTTATCATACGATCGCATTGACAAAATTCGTCTCATCGCGCGCACTGATTCGTCTTTCTTCATTGATCTTTTTTCATTGATAATAGAAAATTTATGTGGCTGTTTGTAAAATGGCAGTGGTCCTACTATTTAATATGTGTTCTAGAGGTACATGAATGTTGCTATGGCTTGCGTTAGACACATCCTTATAAAGTTAATGTAAGCTATATATATCGCACTTATTTTAAACCATACATGTGACAAAGTGTCACACTCCTTGTCATTAAATGTTGATTGTAATTATATAGGGTGTCTGGTAATTAGCTGCCAACCTGAAGTGTGAAGGTAGATTGAGTTAAGCTGAAAAGAAAAATAAAATATAGTTTTGCAAGAATCGCAATAATTATCGAGTTATTAATGACAGAAATTTAAGGAGTGGGAGTGCGCCGATATAGATGATTGGAGGAGCATCGCAGCCTCTCCGGCCATAGCGCGGTCTAGTCGATCCAGAAACTATTGCCGATACATAGCAGGGGAAGGACAACGCGTCGCTATTCGTGTTTTATCTCGCTGCACTTACGACTCGCTACACGCCGCCAACAGTTGCTGGATCGACTGGGCCACGCTATGGCCGGAGAGGCTGCGATGCTCCTCTAATCATCCATCTCGGCGCGTGCTTATTTGTCAGATTCCTGTCATTAATAATTTGATAATTATTGCGATTCTTGCAAAATTGTATTTTACTTTTCTTTTCAGCTTAACCCAATCTACCTTCACACTTCGGGTTGGCAGTTAATTACCGGACACTCTGTGTAAAATAAAACAAACTATATATATAATTTAATAGAACAAACAAATTATGTTTAGGAAATTATAAATTTATACGTTTTCCAGCCTCCTAAAGGGATACCTAGTCAAGATGATGTACTTGGAGTTGTTAATCATATTGATCAAATGGTGACATTGTTAATGCTAGAACTACGGGATTTGAGCTTGCACAGTCGCTATCGACAAGGTAGCACCGCAACGCATTCTCCATGTTTGGAATATTTATTAAGTGAAAATTTACTTGTTAAACTTTATGATTGGAGTTTGCATACAGGAAGGTACATTTTTTATTTTTACAATATTTATTTGTATCATAAATATTAGCAAGGTTGGGAAGTAACTCGTTATTTGTAATGAAATTATAGTTACAGTTATTTTCTTTGGTAATTATAGTTATAGTTACGAAGTTATAATTACAGTTATAGTTACAGTTATTTTCTTTGGTAACTTAACTTCGTTCCATTTTTTCCATCTATAACTTCCATCTGTAACTTAATTTAATTAAATTTGTTTGATAACTAGTAACTAATTTAATAGTTACTTTATATATTTCAAACTTAAGTTTCTGGCAGATTAATACGATAACGTGATTTGCGATGCTTGATATCCAATAAGGATAGTTTCTGGCAGCATTTGGAAAACGCGCTATTGCGTCATCTATCATTGTCGTTCATTAGATGTAAAGCAAGGATAAAATAATGCAATAGCGCTGATAGTCTCCTCTCCGAACGCAGTCTGTATTTCTTTCAAAAAAATTGTATGCCTATTGGACATTTCCGTTGCGCGTCGCTAGTTCTTATTTGTTAACATAATCTGCGTTCAGCATGAAGTGCGCTGCGTGATTTCAGTTATATAAAAAATTAAAGTAATAGATAAAACATCTCAATCTTTCGAGAAGGATTGTAAAATGCCATTGCCTGCATATGTAGAAATATTCGAGTTATAGCAAAAACTTAAAAACGAGAACAACTAGACATTTTTCTGCCCAGTTGTTATTAATAGTCTTAAATAATAAATATAAATTATTTATTTAAATTAATGAATTTAATTTATAAAAATTATATACAATATGAGGAATATAATAAACAAACCACTTTTATATAAAATTGAAGGAATTTACACAATTACGAAATTTAAAATAATAGCATAATGATTGTAAAAGAGTAACTGAAAAGTAACGACTCGTTACTTTCTAAATAACTATAACTGTAACATGTTATTTTTAAAGGTCAGCAACTTGTAACTGTAATTAGTTACTTTTTCAATGAAAAAAACTATAACTGTAATTAGATATTTTTACAAAGTAACTTTCCCAACTCTGAATATTAATAATTATGCGAAATAGAGCATCACACCGATTTCAACAGCTTTGAAATGTTATTTATGAATTGAAGTCATAATCCTGTATAATAATCTTTAATAGCTTTAGCCATCGTTCATTATCTATTAAAAATTTATTAATTTTTATTTTATTTATTAATATATATAATAATATTTATTAATATTTATTTATTAATTAACGAAAAAAACTTGAAGAACATAAATAATCTCAATGCTCAAGGACGTGATCTTGGACCGAAAATTAAACTTTTAGAATAATCGTATGAATAATTCTATCAATATATCCTAAAAGCAATTTCATTATAAAGCTACGAATAATTTCTGTTACAGGTTCAATAATGCTGTACGATTAGAGCAAATAAAGCTTTACGAATTACTAGTTTCGTACAGTGGTACTCTTCTCGCACACGAGTCAGTTACAAGGCCACTTTTACGCTTATTAGAAGAATGTGCGAATGACATTATGCCATTAGAAGTAGAAAAAAAATTAGTAATATTATTGAATCAGTTGTGTGTAGCCTTAATGCAAAATATGGCTTTACTTGATTTATTTTTTCATCCTACTTCAACTGGAAAAAACAAGTAAAAAGTTATTTATTATAATAAAACAAATAATTTTATATAAATATGTAATTCTATATAAATGTATAAATAAAATATATAATTGTATATATAATATCGATAAGTTACTAAGTGTTATATACTATATTTAAATTATTTTTAGATTCATCATATTCAATCTACTGATACCTCATGTTCATCGAGAGGGTGGTGTCGGTCAACAAGCGCGCGACGCTATGTTATTGTGCATGTCACTCTCAAAAAAGAATGACGAAGTTGGAATATATATAGCCAATCATTCCAATATATGTCCTGTAAGTAATATAATTACTACATTGTTCTGCGTTCTGAATTGACATATATTTGACAAAAATGCTAGGTGTTTATAGTAAAGGTGTGATATAGTAAAAATATAAATTATCTTATTTGTATTCATTTAGGTATTAGCTACAGGCTTGAGCGGACTTTATTCTTTACTTCCACGAAAACTTGATATTGAAACAGATGATTGGCACCAATTGACACCAGATGATGTAAATGATTTACCTGCACTTATGCAACTTATGAATTCTTTGGAATTTTGCAACGCAGTCGCGCAAGTGGCACATCCGATGATACAAAAGCAGTTACTTGAATTTTTATATCAAGGTTTCTTGGTACCGGTGATGGGTCCTGCATTATTACAAGTAAGTATTTATTTAATAAAGAAACACAGCTATACAAAAAGATTCCTCAATATTAATTTTTTATAAACTAATAATTTCCAGTAGAACTTTAATTTTATGTGCTTCTTAAATTATAAATTTATGTAACAATATTGATTTATCTATGATGAATAATATAACATATTGACTTAATATTTATATATCAAATTTATATAATAGTATAACTATATAATTGTATAATATAACTATATATTATACAATTTAATTATAATATAAGTATATATATATCATAGTAACATCTAATATTTATACTAAAATATAATATGTATACTATTATTCATATTATATTTGATTGCATGTGGTGAAAGAAAATATTTACTTTCGTAGCATACAAATATATGTTGGGTATTGTAATATTGTAATATTGTTTTGCATATTGCCTTATAAAGTAAATGTGAGAAATATGAGAAATTGTGAAGTATTAAATCATAAATTAAGTAAAGATCATTGCTTTATGAAGACATTTTAAGTTGTATTTATGCAATAAAAGATATAAGTTCATTAAAGTTTTAATACTATAATATTTCTCTTTTATATATGTTGAATAAAAAAATCTAAATAATATAAAAAATCTTAATATTTGAAATATTTCTTTATTCTAATAAATACATTTCTATGTGTTATATAGTGTTAACTATTTAAAATATATATTATTTTCGGAAAATGTTAACATGACTTAAGTTTTATAACCATTGTATAATTCATATTTAATTAATTTTTATATACAAGTGCAATTGTTTACTACTCTTAGATATTTCTATAATTTTGCATATATAATGCATCTTATGCACTTTATTTTGCGTATACAATATAGCGCTTTAATAGCATATGTTATCAAATATATGAATTTATTCATATATAATGATTATAGTGATGGTATTGAATACTAGCATTATCATGCTTAATGATATTAATTCATTGATGTTGTGGCTTATATGGTTGTTGGTATCTGTTTAGTGATATTTCTGTAATGCTCATAGGATTCTCTTGGCTTGACCCTAGAACAGCTAGATGCACAACAACACTGGGTTAGTACAAATTCACTCCATAATATGGTATCTCAGTTGATGCATATCTAGATAGCACATCATCTTTAACATACTCAGAATATCTTGGGATATTCTACAAGACATTCTGAATATTTTTAGGATAGTTCTGGGATGTATAGTGTTATCTGGGTTATATATCAAATGAAATTATATGTGCATTTTTCATCATTCATTTAAGAAATAACATATGCTTATAATTTTCTATAAAATACGTTTTTTAACACATAATACTTTATATCTTTCTTTTTTTTCTTCAGAAATGTTCTGTTACATCAAAGGAATATAAAATGCTATTTTTAATGTTTAGTTAATTATTAAAATTTTTTTATTACAATATTGCAATTGTGTTTTGTGTAATATATATTATAAAATAATTAAAATTTATACAAATTATATCTACTGAAATACTAATACTTACTGATATATTAATTTATATGTAATATAGTAGCAAAGTTTTGTGTTATGAATTATAAATCACAAATATGTTCATTAATCATATCATGTCATATAATGTTATTGTATCGTATGATTAATCATATTCATTAATCGTATCATGTCACATGATGTTATTGTCTGATATCATAAGGAATATCTATTGATAAATATAAAAGCTGTGGCTTAAGATTATGTGACTGCATGTGGTTTAAGATTATGTGGCTTGTAGTTTATAACATATATTAAAATGCACATTATTGTTTTATTTATTGCAGTTATAATTTATGTTCTTTCTGTCCTCTCTTTCTCTCTCTCTCTCTCTTTCTCTCTCTCATTTATTATTAACCATTATTTTTTTTATTTGGTTATTATTTTTATATAAATTGATAATAGCTATCATAAGCAGTATTATATGCAAAATTTTGCACAACTGTAGCATGATATAATTTTCCATGGTATAATTTAAGTCTAGTGAAAGCTTCTTATGTTTCATATATAACATATATATGTAGTAGTATATGTGCTTCAAGCATGTCTATTTCAATAATTTCTATATCTGCTAAAGATTCTGATACACATATATTCACCAACAAATATAAAGTAGCAATATCTTAAGGATTGTACATTTCCTTCTTAAGATATTTATTAGAATTTATTAGGATTAGGATATTTTATCTACCTAGGGAGCAACGTGTGCAAACGCGAAAATTCTGATTTTAAAACTTGGTATAAATATAAGTTGAGTACTTAAAACTTGGTATAAATATAAGTTGAATAAATAGATGAATTTTCAAAAATATTATTTTCAATTGATACTAAATAGTAATTTGAACCATCCTCTCTAAATTTTTAACATCAAATGAGAATTTTCAAATTTATCTATTTATCAACTAGATATCTAAACTAAAAATACTGACGTTAATTTTTTTATCAAAAAGAAGAAAAAGGGTTATATAATATATAATGGTGGACGTCATATATTCTATTTCTGCTTTTCATAACATTTTTTCTTTTTTAAAAATATACAATCAAATGAATTATTAATATATTAGACAACTATATCATTTCCGAATTAATAAAATTGTTCGCATATTTTAAAAGAAATTGTAGGAAAAAGAAATTGTTTGTAAATTGTAAAACATACTTTATGTATATAAAATTATAATTCTGTCGCAGTTACGTTATTTATCGCTCTCTGCATATTCTTATTAAGAGATTAAAGCGTTTTATTAGGACGTTTGTATGCTCACTCTTTTACTTATCGTTCATCTGTTCTGTTGTTGCGCTCGCGCTTTCGAGGATAAGGATTGTTTCGAGAATCATCAATGTTGTCATTGATCATAGGCCGGTATTTATAGTCGGATCTTATATTTAAGACCGTCTCAAGTTCATCTTCAGATGTTGTACAAATTATTTCATTGGCTACTGTGTATCTGAAGATGAACTTAAGATGGTCTTAAATATAAGATCTGACTATGAATACCGGCCATAGACATAATATGTCTAGACTGCGTGTTTTTTCAAATTTCAGGAGTAGAGATAGAGCTCATTTAGAAAAAGATGCCCTCAATTTTGTATCTATATGTTTTCTGTCATGTGTGCGAGAGAGAATGCACAAACACAAACCAGAGTACATCCTTTTTTACATAAACTTATTCCTATTTCTTAAACACGCAATCTAGATATATCATGTCCTATGATCTTGATGCGATCGAGGCATCGAGACAAAATAGTGTGTTCTCTGTGGCAAGTCCATGCTGTGAAACAACAGTTGATGAGTGAATCGCACACGAATCTCTGAGCTGGACGGACGTGTAGCAAATTCGAGACTATGAGATTACAATTATTTTTATCACGTTGTAAACTTATTAAACGTTGAGTCTTTTTATAAATGTGTATTTATTTTCTGATCGTATGCGAGCACAAGTGAGCATAATACTATGTTCTCGAAACTGGAAATGTTTTCCTCTACGTGACTGTTTTCATGTTCTATTTTTTCACTCATCCTTTGTAATCCTGTGTAATCCTGTGTAATCGGTTGAATATTGTGAAAAACAGCATTTTTTGGCTATTTTAACCTAATTATCTCGAAAGCCTGACGTGATAGAGAAATGCTAAGGCCGGATTCGTATTCAGCGGACAAAATTACGTAGGAAATGACAATTGAAATTCAAAACGCAAAATCATGCAGACCAGTGTAATCAGTCTTATAAATAGGGAAGATAACTTACATTGCAAATGTAAAAGAAAATATTTAATTGATGATAATAATTTGACTATAGCTGTTTTAGGGATGACAGCCATAAATCCTCAAATTAGTCAACGTACAATCAGTCGAGAACTTAATATTTGTCAAAAATCTGTTCAACAAATTTGAAAAGCGAATCATTTTCACGCTTATCATATTCAACGATGTCAGACACTTATTGAAAATCAAAAACGAAAACGCGTTGAATTTCGTCATTGGGGTTTGAGAAAATTACAGGAAGATCCGACTTTTTTTGACAAGGTTTTATTTACCGATGAATCTAGTTTTTAGAATACCGGTGATTTAAATCGTAATTGCCATTATTATTCAGATGTAAATCCATTTTGGGTTCATAATGCAGATCATCAGCATCAGTGGAAAGTAAATGTTTGGTGTGGCATATTGTATGGCCAAATTATTGGACTCTATTTTTTTGAAGGTAATCTTAATCGAGAAATGTATTTACAATTCTTGCAAAATAATCTACTTGAAGAGTAAAGGTCTTCCTTTTTAGAGGATATTAATTTAGAAACTAAAGGACTCATGTGGTTTCAACACGATGGTGCGTCTCTGCATAGAACTAACATTGTGCGAGACTATTTACACCAAAGATATCCTGAACATTGGATAGGATTTAACGGATATATCCAATGGCCTCCAAATTCCCTTGCTTTAACACTATGTGATTTTTTTCTATGGGGGTTCATTAAACGGATTGTTTTTGCTACGGAGCCAATAAGTCCGATCGATATGAAAAATCGCTCTGGCAACTATTCCCAAAGAAGTCCTTCAAAGGATTATTATTGCGTGATAAGTTCCAAATATGTATTGAAGTGAATGGTGATACATTTGAACAAATGTTATAAATTCACGTAAATCGTGAGAGACAAGGGGACTCACAGAAATCAAGCACCCCGAATAGTGAGAGGCAAGGGGACTCATGGAAATCAAGCACCCCAAAAGGAACAGAAAATTACTATGTCCACGCCGTTGTTGCTGGGTAGCGCTAAAAGTAGAATTAGAATAAAAGTGTATTTAAAAAATTCAAGGTGACCTCGACCTGAGCTTGAGTACAGCAGTATGTCGAAGTCAACCAAAGTCATCATTCTTTCGCCTGAATGAAGTTAGCCCCCCACTTTTAAGATAACCCAAATTTGGCAGTTGTGCTGAATTGTGTTAGGTTTGTACTACATTGTACCAGAATTACAAAACTGAAATATGAAAAATGCGTCCAAAAATTAAAAACAATTAAAAAGCAATTTTTTTAACTAGCCTCCCACTTTGCGATTTTTGAAATTTTAACAGTTATGCTAGGTTGTGCTAAGTTGTGCTAGCATTGTACTAAAACAATAATTATTAAAAATAATAAAAGTTATAATAAAAAAATTATTTCGGAAAAATTGCTAAAAAACCTTCAATTTCCATGATACGTATGATCCGAGAAGCACTAAATTATAAATTTGAGTTGTGCTGGCTTAGTACAACTCAGCACAACCGTCGGTTTTGCCAGCACAAGCATACAAAGGGCACTTTACTCTTGAGAGCGGCCCTATGCTCTCAAGAATAAAATGCCTTTTTTATGCTTGTGCTGGCAAAACCGACGGTTGTGCTGAGTTATGCTAAGCCAGCACAACTCAAATTTATAATTTACTATTTCTCGGATCATAGGTATCATGGAAATTGAAGGTTCTTTTTCCGTATTTTTCTCTGAAGTCATTTTTTTATTATAACTTCTGTTGTTATTATTTTTAAGAATTATTGTTTTAGCATCACAATTTAACACAACCTAGTACAACTGTTAAAATTTCAAAAATCGCAAAGTGGGGGGCAAGTTCAAAAATTGCTTTTTTTAATTTTTGGACGCATTTTTCATACTTCAGTTTTGTAATTCTGGCACAATGTAGCACAAACCTAGCACAATTAAGTACAACTGCCAAATTTGAGTTATCTTAAAAATGGGGGCTAACTTCGTTCGGGCCATTTTTTCTTTGTCTCAAACCTAATCGTTTTAAAATAGTGGATTGACTTAACCTTCACCTGTTAACTTTTGAGTCTCATAACTCGGAAAGTACTCAATAAAAAAATACTTTATCATAGCATTTTGAAAAGGTCTTGAAGTCAACTATAAGGATGAAGATATGAAAAATAGGAGGTTCCATTAGAGAAAATTAGGTTGACTATCCTCTGACCTTAAATGGATATCCCAAGGTCAAATCAAGGTATTATTATATGTCCCCTCCAATATCATACAACTTTTATTTAGAAGGTTTTTTTGTAAAATTGCATATTTTCGAAATATTTGCCTGTTAAAAATACTCACCCTATAGAGGGTGTCCCATTTTAATGTCCCACCTCAAATAACTCTTCAGTATTGAAGTTTCAAGGAAAATGATCTGAATAAAAGTTGTAGGGATTTAAGTGAGCTACCATATGATGACCTTGATTTTGACCATGACCTCTGTTTTCAAGGTCATTTGAAGATCAACTTACGTTTTTTAAATGGGAACCTCTATTTTTTATTACACTGTTTTCTTCTACTAGTTAATTTGGACAACTTTGTCTAAAACATTTTTTTATTTGTCTAATATTTTTTTAGATATTTGAGGAAAACTTGGTAACTTTTTCAATATTTAACTTACGATATCTCGCTAATTATTTCTTGGAAGAAAAAGTGGTACTAGATTCTCTTGTTTTATTTAGTCTCAAGAATATATTGTTACAATAGCGTCCTGATTTTTGTTAATTTGATGATTTTGAAATTTCAAAAACTCAGTAAGTTAACAAAAGTCAAGGCGCTATTGTAACAATATATTCTATTCTTGTAATAATATATTCTGAGACTAAATAAAGCAAGAAAGTCTAGTACCACTTTTTCTTCCGACAAATAGTTAACGAGATATCGTAAGTTAAATATTGAAAAAGATATCAAGTTTTCCTCAAATGTCTCAAAAAATATTAGACAAATAAAAAAATGTTTTAGACAAAAGTTGCTCAAATTATCTAATAGAAAAAAAACATTGTAATAAAAAATAAGGGTTCCCATTTAAGAAACGCAAGTTAACTATCAAATGGCCTTGAAAATAGAAGTCGAGTTCAAAATCAAGGTCATCATAAGGTAGCTTATGTAAATCCCTACAACTTTTATTCAGATTATTTTCCTTGAAACTTCAATACTGAAGAGTTATTTGGGGTGGGACATTAAAATGGGACACCCTGTATATTGGTATTAATATTAAATTTAAAGTAATATAAAGAAAAAGAGAAAAAAAGAAAAAAACCGCAGCATTTTTCAGCTATAATCGGACTCAGATTATACTCATTAGCTTACTAGTCAGGGGTCTAGGACATGATCTAGAGATGATCGCGGCTCTTGACAAATATTTCTTTGAATATTCTACTTCACCCGCTATGTCTATCTGCCTAAATTTTATTATTGAATAACTGCAAAAGTAGCGAGTATGTGAGCAAATGACAAAACACGGATCAAATATTTCTCTATTTTTAACCTACGTACAAAAATTCAGACAAATCTATGATTTACATCTCATGCAGTTCTTTTATTAGCTAGGATGTCTTGCAGCACCCGGAGTATTCATCAGATATGGTTCCATCTAATTACCACATGTTCCAGTTGATGCACGATGCCTTGTCCGATATATATTTCTAATCAGATAAGATCTGAAAATAACTTAACGACTTTATCGTATCCAAATCACAGCATTTTTCCGAGATACTGAATTCATCAACTGCTTGAAAGATAGCAGATTAAAATTATAGAAAATAACGACGAATATTTTGATTAAGAAATTTGTTTTACTTTCTTTTAAAATAAATCTAAAATTTAGCTGAAAAATTTGGATTATTATTTGTACACCTAATATATACGTATGTGTATGAATATTTGTATAGTTTGCTTATGTCACCTTGTATAAGATTTAACGTATATTTCTGTTAACTATTTATTGTTTTTCTTTATTGTCTTGCATGTTTATGTTGAAAATAAGTATGTAATTTTATATGATATCAATGTAATTTTAATTGAATTAATGATTAAGTGAAATTTTATTTTATGTAGCATTAAAGAAATTTGTATATAAACTGCTAAATAGTAATAAATATATTTCTTATTAGATACTAAAAATTAATTTGTCAATGGGATTCGATTTTACATATTTGTAATTTTGTTTTTAATTATTTGGAAATATTTGCAGACTACTGTGGAAGAATTGGTTGCAGCAACAGCTTATTTCGATTTGTTTCTTCGATCTGTTACTGATCCTGGCTTATTAGGGTCACTTATTAGATTCCTACTTGAAGATAATTATGATGACAATAGAATACTGGACAGTCTAATACAGAGGATTTCTTCTCGATCAAGGGTAAATTACAAAGTGTCTTTCTTATAATTGTTTTTGAGAGAATATATTTAGAGAATAAACTTGTTTTTAATATTCCATTTCTCTAATTTAGTTATGTATAGTAACTCTGGCATTGTTTGAGACTCTGGTTAATTTAAACTGTGAAGACGTTATGCTGGAATTATGCTTGGGTGCATTAAATCCATGTTCACATGTAATGCTCTCCCAACGTAGTCGATTGAGAGATGTTGATCCCTTTGGACGAGCAGCAGAAAAGTTTTTATCTTTGACACCACGTTGTTGTTCCATGTTTATATCTTCGGACTCATATACAAGTTCTTTACCTGTCACTATATCATGTACATATGACAAATATGGAAATCCCGTATCCGATTCAGTAAAATCATTACCAGCATCGATAAATTACGGTACTAAATTATCGGATAGTTTATACGGAAATTATCACGCATACCTTTGTGATGCGAGACAAAAAATAAAAACTTGCCGAATTGCATGTTCCAATTGGTCTTGCCAATACGACGGTAACTTACCACAAAATAATAATGCTAACAGCGTAATTCCATTGATAGATGAAAATACTACACATGATCAGTCACAAAAGAAAACAGCAGAATCAAAAACGTTACTACTGGAAACAATGAGAAATGCAATAAGTTTGTGTGAGAATGAAAACAGTTTACAAATGGATAATATATTACATAATATTCAATCTTTATTGTCAGAAGACAAAGATTTTAATAGCAACAAACATAATATTAAAAATGAAATAAACGCGAATATTATATTATCTCTGGATGAGCGAGCACAATTAGATGCTGGTACCACTGAGTTGTTCAACGAAGATATTGGGATGACAGAATATACAAAGGAAATTTGTTTAAATAAAAAATCAGATATCTGTATAGATGAATCGACTACAACTATGAATTCGCTTATGTCGTTAGGTGAAAGTAGTGGTTATGAGAGTTTTGCGTTAAAAGGATCAGCGGAGTCAACGCCAGACAATGAACCAAATGAAGATCGTATGAATAAACACGAACAAATAAATATATCAAGCAAAACGGAACCTAATATTGGTGTTTTTTATGATGCCGTAGAAACAACTTCGACAACAGAAATATTACCAAATAATAAATCAAACAAGGATGTTACGTATCGACAGGATGTTTTTAATGGGCAACCAAATGTTGGCATATTTTTAGATGTGATTTTACGGAAGCTCGAATGCATGACAAGCAATAATTTGTATGTTAATTTACATCTCACGGGTCTTATCAGCAGACTAGCAATATACTCGCAACCATTATTACAGTCTTTTCTGTTGAACCATTCTCTTATATTCCAGCCTAGCATCAGATCCTTGTTTCAGGTATATATTTATTGGAAGATCAAGTTCTATTTTCAAACATTGAATTACACACGCACGCATTCACACACGTGCAAGCAAAAAAAAGAATGTCCCACACATATAACATTTATTTTAGCAGTGGATAGTGTAAGCATGAAAATAATGAAAAGTTTATTTAAATATGTATCCTATTTAATTTTGTTTCTAAGTTACAAACATTTTAATATTTCAATAATGTAGAGCTGCTTACCTATACAGGGTGTCCCATTTTAATGTCCCACCCCAAATAACTCTTCAGTATTGAGGTTTCAAGGAAAATGATCCAAATAAAAATTGTAGGGATTTAAATGAGCTACCTTATGGTGACCTTGACTTTGACCTTGACTTCTATTTTCAAGGTCATTTGAAAGTCAACTTACGTTTTTTAAATAGGAATCCTTATTTTTTATTACAGTTTCTTTCTGCTAGTTAATTTGAACAACTTTTGTCTAAAACTTTTTTTATTTGTCTAATATTTTTTTAGATATCTGTGGAGAACTTGATAACTTTTTCAATATTTAACTTACGATATCTCGCTTACTATTTGTCGGAAGAAAAAGTGATACTAGACTTTCTTGTTTTATTTATTCTCAAGAATATATTGTTATAATAGCGCCCTGATTTTTGTTAATTTGATGATTTTGAAATTTCCAAAAATCAGTAAGTTAACAAAAGTCAAGGCGCTATTGTAACAATATATTCTTGAGACTAAATAAAGCAAGAAAATCTAGTACCACTTTTTCTTCCGACAAATAGTTAGCGAGATATCGTAAGTTAAATATTGAAAAGGTTATCAAGTTTTCCTCAAATGTCTAAAAAAATATTAGACAAATAAAAAAATGTTTTAGATAAAAGTTGTTCAAATTATCTAGTAGAAAAAAACAGTGTAATAAAAAATAAGGGTTCCCATTTAAAAAACGCAAATTGACCTTCAAATGACCTTGAAAATAGAGGTCAAGGGCAAAGTCAAGGTCATCATAAGGTAACTCACTTAAATCCCTACAACTTTTATTCAGATCATTTTCTTTGAACCTTCAATACTGAAGAGTTATTTGGGGTGGGATATTAAAATGGGACACCCTATATAGAGTGTGTTCAAAATATTCAGTCTTTGACCTGAATGCAAACTTGCCATTGTGGCATAAAGTTTCTTAATCTTTCAAAATTTGTTTCAGACTTGTTAAATTTGTTGACAACCTTATCTTATCTGTTGGCAAAGTATTTCAGCATTAGCAATAGATGTTAGATAAACAATAATTTTCAGCTAACTCTAGAAATAAAACCATAAAATGTATGCCCGCAATTTACTGATTTGTATATCTGCTTTAATTTCTGACACAAAAAGTAAATTATATATTTAAAAAAAAATAGATTATGATTTACAGAATACTTAACAAGTTTAACGACATCAAGGAGATTCCGAGTAATATATAAGGTGTCCCATTTAAAATCCACCAGGTAAATATCTCGGCAAATATGGAAAATACGGAAAAATGTTTCAGACAAAAGACGTATGGTTTCAAGAGGGAACTATATTAATTTGTTTACAGATGGCGCCATTTTCGAGATATTCACTGATTACTTTTCTTAAATAGAAACCCCAATTTCTTATTACACCATCTTTTTCTACCAATTAATTTGAATAATTTTTGTCTGAAACATTTTTTTTATTTACTTAATATTTTTTTAGATGTTTAAGGAAAACTTGGTAACTTTTTCAATATTTAACTTATGATATCTCGCTAACTATTTGTCGGAAGAAAAAATAATACTAGACTTTTACTCTATTTAATCTTAAGAATATGTTGTTACAATAGTGCCCTAACTTTTGTTAACTTATCGACTTTTGGAAATTTCAAAATCATCAGATTAACAAAAATCAGGATGCTATTATAACAATATATTTTTGAGATTAAATAAAGCAAGAAAGTCTAGTATCACTTTTTCTTCCGAGAAATAATTAGCGAGATATCATAAGTTAAATATTGAAAAAATTACTAAGTTTTCCTTAAATATCTAAAAAAATATTAGGTAATACAAAAAAATGTTTCAGACGAAAATTGTTCAAATTAATTGGTAGGAAAAGATGATATAATAAAATATTGGGATTTCCATTTAAGAAAAGTAACGATCAGTGAATATCTCGAAAATAGCGTTATCTGTATTCAAACTGATATAGTTGTTTTATGTTCCCCTTAAAACCATGCAACTTTTGTTTGAAATATTTTTTCGTATCTTCCATATTTTTCAAGATATTTGCCTGGGAGATTTAAAATGGGACACTCTGTACATACAAACAGTTTAGTAGAATTAGTTACATTAGTTCAATTTATGGAACATTGAAATACAAACTTTTTTTCATTGTTTTCATGTCCCGTGTCCACCGCTAAGATGGATTCCACATGCTACGAAACACCCTACATGTGTGTTGCGTGTCGCGCACACAAGGTATCTGATTTTAAATAAAACACGCTGGGGACTCCAAAACTGTTATTGAAAAAAATATTCCAGAAAAAAATTTTAGTTTTTAAGTTTCAAGAGGAATATATGATAATACTGTTTATTAACTTTCAGTTAGCAAGCTAACTAAAGTTATGTAAAACATCTTTATTTTTATTAATATAACAATATGATTTTTGTAACATGAATCAGTTTCTATAGTCATAATTTGATTTTTTGAAGGAGCTACATGATTGTTTTTTAATATAAATTAAGTTTTATTGATCCTACGTATAAAAGTATTGAAGCAAAAGAGTCGAAAAGTGAATACATTTCAAAATATATTATGTTTTATCCTGACTGATGATACAAAAATATGTACAATTCTGGTATAAAAGCTGGAATAGGATCATTGAAAGTGCATATTTTACAAGTTATATTTTTTACATTTGATTTAATATCTGTCACTACAAAATGTGAAATATCTCTTAAAGTATATACTTTTTGGCAATGACGAATTATATTGATTGTTATAAAATTGACATAAAGGAACTTTAAATGTAAGTTCATTATATTTTACAATCTTATTGGTATACCGATATGCAAAGATTAGCATCACCGATTGATTTCTTTCACCATCTTACGTGTAAGAAAGTATAAAACCTAACTATTTGAAAAATGAATACTTCATAAGATATTTCACATTTTGACTGAAAGGTATCCGAATAAAATAGAACATATGAATATAAATAATCGAAGATTATTTACTTCCCAATTATTTTACTCTGGTAATTTTATATGAAAAATAAAGGAGGAAAAAAAATGAATAAATAAGTGAATAAGGATTGATTTATATTAAAAAGAAAATCACATAGTTCTTAAAAAAAATCAAAGTTAATCTTCATGACAGACGAAACAATCAAAAGTTAAATAAATAGCATCCTAATATGTTCCATTCAAAATCCTAATATCTCTAATAATTCTTTCTTGAAACATTTTTTTCAATAATGCGTAATTTCGGTTATTAACATTTTTCATTTGAAAAAGGAACATGTTTATCCCAAACGTGTGTATCCGTGCGTGCGTGTGTATATGTGTGTGTATGTGTGTGCGCACGTATGCACGTATATATGTGTGAAGTATATATTTAATATATAAATAAATGAAGGTATGTAAGTAAAGGTAAATAAATAAATAAAAGTGTGTATATGTGTGCGTACGCACGTATGTGTGCGTGTGCGCGCGCGCGTATGTGTGTGCGCGCGCGCATACATATACGTATACAGGGTGTTTCGTATATCTTGTCCATTTGAAATATTTCTACTGTGTTTGATGATACAAAAACATGTATAAAGAAAAAGTTGCATTGTTCAAGCGAGCAATAGGAAATTTTCTCAAAGTTGCTTATACAGGGTATCTATAAAGTCCGACCCCACCCTTGGATTTCGGAAACGGCTTTAAATATGGAAAAATGTTTCAGACAAAAGTTGTAGGATATTGAGGGGAAAACATGATAAAAATACAGACTTGACCTTGAGTGACTTTATCAAGGCCAGGTCAATGTAATCGATGTTTTCTTAAATGGAACCTCCTATTTTTTATTACATATTCTTGTAGCCCTTGTCAAGACGTTTTCAAAATACTACCTATTTTTGTTTTTTGCGCAAGCCATTCCCAAGATATGAAGCTTCAAAGTTGACATATCGCCGGCATTCGCATTACCCAAGGTGTACTACATGGAAGTTGCACGGTCGAATTTACTTACGCCTCTTGTGTGTGCATGTGTGTGTGTTCATATCTTTGAAATGGCTTGCGCAAAAAACAAAAATAGGTAGTGTTTTGAAAACGTCTTGACAAGGGCTACAAGAATATGTAATAAAAAATAGGAGGTTCCATTTAAGAAAACATCGATTACATTGACCTGGCCTTGATAAAGTCACTCAAGGTCAAGTCCATATTTTTATCATGTGTCCCCCTCAATATCTTACAACTTTTGTTTGAAACATTTTTCCATTTAATGCCGTTTCCGAGATCCAAGGGTGAGATCGGACTTTATAGATACCCTATATACAGGGTGTCCCATTTTAATGCCCCACCCTAAATAACTTTTTTATTTTTGATTGTAAAAGACAATGTTTCAGACAAAAGTTGTATGGTTTTGAGGAGGGCATAAGATGATGCTATTAGTTTGACATTGAATAGTTTCTTGAAGGTCACATGAAGGTCATCTTTAATTTCTTAAATGGAACTACCTTTCATTACTAACTTCCATTTACATATTCTTCTAGCTTATATCGAGAGTTTTCCAAAACCCTATAATTAAGTACCTTTTCATTAAGTACTTTTTAAGTTATAAGGCAAGATTGAAAGCACGATCCGGCCGGTTAAGGCAAGATCGGGGCATGTACAGTTATTGTAGGTGTTCGAAAAGACCGCCATTTACTTGGACAAATGTCCAACCTACTGCGAAAATCATCTCTCACTTTTTGAAAGACATTTGCGTTTATGTTCGTACATGTCTCTCGAGTACGTTCCTTCATGTT